CAGATCTTTCAAACTGGTCAGTTCCCCCCCCCCCCTCTTTTTCGTCCAAGATATTCTGAGAATCTTTCTATAGCATTTCAGCTCAAAAGCTGATCAATATTACAGACATCAATAAATGGGACAGTGTGTACGCGAGGAAGAATGCATCTTCATCAGTGCTACGGAGCTTGGTAGTTGCGAAAAAAAAAATGCAGACACTCAACACAATAGCGACCCCAGCGCTTTTAATTTTCTGGGGGGGGGGGGGGGAGGGGCTGGAGGCTGAAGAACTTAAACCTTGTTTAAGCACTAATAATAATAATGTGATGAAATGATAATGCATATCCTATATTTTAAATAAAGCGATTACATCTACAAACAAACACTTTAGAAAAGGAAATATATGCGTGGTTAAGGGACTGGCTTCTCTTAGCCCTATTTCAGTAGTATAGGGGCAGGTTAGGGGCCTCAGTTCCGCACTCCCCCCTCCCCCTCCCCCCCCCCTCCAAAGGGGGAGGGTATGCTCAAAGGGCCTCTGCTTCTAAGTAAAGTTTCTTTAGTTTAATTGTGCCACATCCCACAATTCCCATACGTATTAAATTCTTCCCTGAAAATAAAATCTGGTTCCATGAATGCCTTTTCTGTCATTGATTTCTAACACATCGCGTTTAATCTGTTTTTCTTTCTGCCTGGCCAAGCACTAATTTATCTGTGCAAATTATTTTTTAAATTATTTTTTTTAAATATATATAATGGAATGTAATTTAGCTTTACTGCATTGCTTCCATTTTTAAGTATTTTAAAATTCTTTTATCTCTTATTTCTTTAACCATCCTTTTATGTTTTTCTTTGCCTTTACTTTTTGAGTGTGTCTGCATTTATGCATGTATTCCTTAGGCTTTTTAAATTTTTTTTTATCGAAAAAAATCACCGCGTTTGCAAGATCGGAGGTGTTTGGTGTTATCTCTTTGTTTAATCTTCATTTACTGCAGGTGACAACAGTTTCGTCATTTTTAGGATGAAATTTTTTGTTGTTTGAAGCCCCAGCCTGGCTTTTGCCAGGGGCCGCAATATAGGCAGGCCATAAATATGGCCAATTGTCTGAACGCCGTTTCTGGGACCTCTCCACGGCGATCCTCATCCACATGGTGGCACTCTGTGTCATCGGGTGTTTATCGCTTGTGTGATGTCCTAGTGGGGTAGAAAGTCAGTCAGGTAAAATCATTATTTGTCTGTGGCAAGTTTGGTATATATACGCTTAGATGAGTTAAATCCCGACATTACAACACTTGTGATACTCCCGTAAGTGTTCTGTCCTTATCTTCAGCAGCCAGTGCAGAGTTCCATTTTCGATGTTGCTGTTGGGGCGCGGGGAAGTTCCTGTGGGCTGCCAAAAGCTTCTGCCGAATCATGTAACCTGATAGGGTAGGTGGTTTTTCTTTATTCCAGTCTCTAGGATCAACTCCTCATGGACTTTGTGTAAAAAGACTTTATCCAGCATGTTAATAATTAAAAAAAGTGGCATCGAATAAACGTTAGTGTAGTGCTGCGCATATCATAAACAACACTCCAACCTTATATATAAGATTTGCTAGCCTCTAAGCAGATGCAGAAAAGCTGAAAATTATTTAAATAATATCAGATTTAACAAATAAACTGATAACTACATTTGTTTTCTTTCGCGTGTAGTTTCTATCGGGTGAGCCAAGACAATTTTTACTGTTTTGATGAGCCGCGGATTTGGAACACCGATGTAGACGGGTTGAAGTCGTCGAGGTCGGCCTCTACTACAATATATCAGGAACAGATGTAAAACCGAAGGAAAAGTATATTAGCAATCTTCACAATGTTTACTTCTGACGATATTACATGGGTCAGCCTGGCAACCAAGGTCTTTTCTTTTTAAACAATCCGGCTCGATGCGGGTTCGAAGCCATAACCTCCAGTCTGGAGGTGGAGCATCTAACCTCTCCGCCACCGCTTTTCTATAAGACACTATAATAGCATCATAACACTCGACTCGTGTTAATGTGGTGGCGATGTATCGGAGGAAGGGCCGGCACACAAAACCGGCCATCATCCCCCTGTCTCTCGAGGAGCGGCTGTATGAATGGTTAGAACGCCGGGCGGGCTTTCAAGCGGGAGACCCAGGCTCGAATCCTCGGTAAACTGGGGATTATTTCTGTCCGGGGCAAAATAAAATCCTCACCTGCACAGTCGTGGCGACAGCACTAGCCTAAAGGCCGTAAATTCTCACGCTCAAAGATCTCCATCCCTGCCTACACAAGTGGTAAAATAAAGTCAGTAATTGGCAGTTCGTTGCGAACGCGCATCGTAATGCCATGGTGCCGGGTTCGATCCCAACTGCGGGCCTTGCGTTGGTTTCGACAGTAGTATCAAGAAACTGACCGTCCAGAAAGCAGTGGCAAATTACTGGAAGTAAATGTGCCTTGAAAAACCACAAACAACCAACAAATGCTGAGGTTGGTTCTGCAACATTCTGTAAAGGATTCGCAACTAATTTTAAATTGGCAGTTATCTGTCTTTTGCTTGTTGAACAAGTGTATAGTAATTTGCTGCTGTCCGTTTCTTGTTGTCATTACAGGTTCTTCTTTGCCCCCTTATACCCTTCCCCACCCTCACACCCAGTGTGCCTCAAAGTATAGACTTTGCAATCGAATCATGCCTCACCATGTGGGCCGAACCAAACAAGCTTGCGACATTTCCTCACTGCCAACAGGCTTTTGATATTTTAAGCAAATTTGTTTTATTTTGGCTATTACATATTTGTTTTATGTTAGACAGGTTAATTCGTTACATCCGTCTAGAAGGTTCATATTCGAAAGCATACTTTCCATTTCCACAGTGTTAGTCCAACTCTTCCATCCGTACAAAAACATAATAGACAATATTGTAAAGATCTCTTTTCACGTCTTTAGGCGCATCGGGCATATAGGAAGAGCACCCATATTTTTAGAGTCCAATAGTCACCAGGTGGGTAATGTGGTCAGCATTACGCCGGCCGTCTTTACTTCCCTAGGACATACATCCTGGTACCCATTTCAGGCTGGGTCGACCTGCTACCCCCCATACCATGATAAAAGCAGCCAGCAGTATCGCAGTATCGCAGTATCGATACGTTGGAATTACGAGCCGGACTCGCAACGTCTAAAACACGAACGCCGCTAGCAGACAACATGGTTAGTTGCGTATCCTTTACAGGACGTTGCAGAACCAACCCCCAACAGCCCTTGGCTGTTGTGTGGTTTTTCTATGCAAATTACGTCCAGTAGTTTGCCATTGCTTTTTGGTCGGTCGGTTTTCTTGATATCACTGTCTAAACCAACGCAAGGCGCATGACCCGCAGCTGGGATCTAACCCGGCATCCCGGCATTACGAAGCGTTCGCATCGACTTAGCCACAGAGCCGACAGCAGGCAATATACACATGATTTATTCTGCGCTCTGTGAATACTCAGGGTTTTCTTTCTTTTTTCAGGTGGTAAGCAGCGGTGCACAGTACCAGCACCATTAATTATACGTCTTAGTTTTAAAGCTATCGCAATAGGCGCTTTGTGGCTAGTACCGTCACCACTTATAGATCCGTTGTGGTGAGTACCGGCACATTTTTATTCTGCGCTCTGTGAATACTCAGGCTTTTCTTTATTTTTCAGGTGGTAAGCAGCGGTGCACAGCACCAGCACCGTTTATTAGATGTCTTAGTTTAAGAGCTACCGTAATAGGCACTTTGTGGCAAGTACCGACACCACTTTTAGGTCCTTTGTTGTGAGCACCGGCACTTTTGCTAGGGAATAAAGCACTGTATATTGAAATATATTTCCCATGTTTTAATATAGACAGGATAGCGGCTGAACAAGCAGTGTAACACGCTGGACACTCATCCGAGAGACCCGAGTTTGAAAACTCAGTAAGAGAAGATGAGAGGGCAACAATACAAATCCCAACCTGCACAGTTCTGTACAACTTCACCAGCCATACTGCCCTAAATCCTTAGTCGGCACCACATCCCTGTGCCCCTCCTACTCTGACCTAAAAGTTGCCTGGATAGAGGCAGCAAGGTTTTATTTTTACAAAGACCTGCAGTCGCCACACCAGAGACTTGTATCTGTGTCTCTACGTGGTGAGCACGTGTGTTCTCATCCTCCACACGAGACAAGACACAACGGTCCCTGTGTTCTTAGAAAAGCTCGTCTATGCCAGGGCGCTTGTCTGTCAAACAGGGAACAATGCATGTTCAATGCTTAATTGGGTCACACCTCCCCCTGCGCTTCATTCACGCCTTCGGTATATTCCCTCTGAAGTCAAACTTAAACACCATTTTGTTTTATATATAAAGTGTAAAAAGCTATACGGTGTTTTCTATTCGTTTGTATTAATTAATTTATTAAGGTAGAATTAGTTGTAGTGATGTCGGTAAGTTATGTTCGGTGGGAGGCGAGCATGGCTGTTCTGTCCTTGCTGGCCGTGTGTGTGAAGAGAAAGTAGGTCGCGGCAGATGCCTACAGCCTGGGCCGTGGTTTAGTTTAGAGAGAGAGGTACCGGTGTGATGTCATTCACAGGTATCTTCGGGGAAGGTTCAAGTTGTCTAGCAGGGATCAGGAGTGGGTGATTCGTGTCTGGATTAGTTTGTTAGTGTCGGATTAGTGATTTCTTTCCTGTGGATTTTGTGAGAGATTCCAGGAGTTGATCGGGTCGGGTAGAGGAAGAAGGGTTATCGATCTGTTTCATCGGCAGCAAGGTTCTAACGGCTCGGGGACAAATCTGGCGGATCGAAGAAATTCCCCCACAGTGGTAGTTACTAGACCTAGTTTTCCTAGACAGACGGAAGTTTATGTCCTGTGCATTTGAAGGATTTAAGTAGTGATTCATACATTGAGGAGGCCGTAAAGAGTTTTCTTTGAAATTCAAACAATGGCTGGCGAGGAGAACAAGTCCTTGTGTCGGGAGTAAAGATTGGCTGCTAACTAACGGTTTTTATTCTCTACAATAACGGTAATCAAAATGGCGTTCCCAAGAACTTGTATTGTTCTTACCTTAGTGCTTGTAAATTATCTTTACACTGTTGATACAACAGCCGCGTATTCTGTCAAAAATTGCGAACAGATGGTGAAAGAATCAGAGGACACACGCTCGTTACATCGAAATCGTCGGCACGCCGAAAGCACAAAGTACGACGAAATATTAAGAAGCGACCCGTTTCCAGAAAATATCAACTCTAGCACTGTTTTATACGATTTTAATGCTTTAAGTTTACACAACGAGGCAGCATCATCATTCAGATTTAATGTCATCACGGCAGCGGATAGTCTTCCCCGATATGACGGTTTATTTGTAGTGGATGACAGTAGACAGTTGAGGCTTGGACCTTCTCTGTCCAGTGCTGAACGAAAAAAGTACTTCGACTATGAACAGTACCCTACCATTGTTGTCATCATTAATGCCACCAGAGATCTGGACAAAGAAGGCTTGAGTAAGTATTTCATTTTCTTCTAGTACTTTCTGGTTCTGCTACAATCACTACTACTAGGGTTTAGTTTCTCCCTACAGTTAAAAAGTTCTGGTGCTCACCACAGAAGGTGTCTATTATTATAGTAGTAGAACAAACATTTGCATAAAAAGATGCTGGTGCTCTGAACTGCAGAAATAAAAACCCTGGCTACTACTATTAATCTTCTTCTTCGCGTTCACCAGCTGTACACTGTGGTGGAAAGTTCTGGTTGTTCGTCCACTACTGAACTGCAGTCCTGCCCCAGAACCTGAGTGTTGCGTGTGCATCAGTTTTACAGATCTGATTCACTTGAATGCAGACTGTTGGTTCCTTGCCTCTCAGGCAGATGCACTCCGACTTCAAAGGAAGCTCCCCAATTAGTCGACTCTTACGACATGCTTTTGGGTAGGCAGAGGGTCTATTCTTGTTTTCCCCACGATGGGGCCCCGGAACCCACACAATATTAATATTAATATTATTTCGGCTATCCTTCGAATAACGGTCCAAAATTATCGAGGCCGAAAATCTACCCTAACAGGGCCTCAGTCACGTGTCAATTGCAAACTTCCGGCGACTCATATAAATGATTACAAGATATATACATTTAAAATAATTCAATTAACACTGTCTAACACAATTATAACCCTAAGGGTTGAACAGAATATTTTTGAAAAATTACTACTACTAACTACTCTGGTTTGAATTAAAATCTCACCATGTGGATTCTGGCATCCCATTGTGGGGAGAACATGAACAGACCCACTGTCTCAAACAAGCATGTCGCAGAAGTCAGCTAATTTGGGCTTCCTTGTAAGTTGGAGTGCATCTGCCTGAGAGATGAGGTACCAAGAGCTTGCACACAGATAAAATAGATTTGTAAAATGGATGTGCATGCACACTTCAATTTCTAGAACAAAACTAAAGTCCAGAAGGGAATGAACAACCATAATGTTTTGCCGGAGTTTAAATCACTTTTCTTAGCTCTGAGTCATGCTTTCTTGGATCCAGTACATTCCTCCCTTCTTACCTCTGATACACTCATTCATTGTTACCTGTAACACCTTCACCAATTGTTACCTGTAATACTCTCACCCACTCTTACCTCTAATACACTCACCCATTCTGACCTCTAATACACTCACCCATTCTTACCTCTAATACACTCACACATTCTCACCTCTAATACACAGCCCTTCTCACCTCTAGTACATTCACCCATTCTTACCTCTAATACATTCAGCCACTCCTACCTCTAATGCACTCACCCATTCTGACCTCTAATACACTCAGCCATTCTGACCTCAAATGCACTCAGCCATTCCTACCTCTAATGCACTCAGCCATTCCTACCTCTAATACACTCAGCCATTCCTACCTCTAATACACTCAGCCATTCCTACCTCTAATACACTCAGCCATTCCTACCTCTAATACACTCAGCCATTCCTACCTCTAATACACTCAGCCATTCCTACCTCTAATGCACTCAGCCATTCCTACCTCTAATACACTCAGCCATTCCTACCTCTAATACACTCAGCCATTCCTACCTCTAATACACTCAGCCATTCCTACCTCTAATACACTCAGCCATTCCTACCTCTAATACACTCAGCCATTCTTACCTCTAAAACGCTCACTCATTCTTACACAGCCATGCTGACCTCTAACACACGGTCCCACTGTGACCTCAGTTACACTCTTTCAGTGACCTGTAACCTCTCTCTCTCCTCAGATTCAAAACTGATCAAACTGACAATCCCACTGAAGGATGTCAATGATGAGATTCCTGTTGTCAAGAACCAGCCGGTGCCCTACCTGGCAGCCGTGCCCCAGGAACCAGATCCGGGGCACACTGTCTATGTTCTGCTGGCAGAAGATCCGGACACCGACTCGGATTTGGAGTATATCATTCCGGATGAAGCTGGTAGGGAACGCTTGATGTGCTTTGTTCTTAACATCTTGATTGAATGGCTTGTTGCTTGTTTGAATGGCTGATTGGTTAAAGGATTGGTTGGTTGGTTCAAGGATTGTTGGGCGATTTGTTTGTTGTTTGGACGAATGCCTGGCTGGGTGAAGGGTTGTTGGTAAGGCTTCTGGAAGACTAGATTTCTGACACTTTTGGTCCACTGAAGTTTAGTTCATCTGAGTTTATGTTCTTGGCCTAATATTTATCAGAGTAAGGTCAGTGTAAAGACTTTTCTGTTGCATGTCTGTGTCAATAGAAACTGGTGCTGAGTTCCTCCTCCCCCCCCCCCCCCCCCCCCCAGCCCCCTCCCTCTTCAAGTGAAGAAAGCAACGAGGCACTACAGTCTTGACCAGTGTCTGGTCCTAGTTCTGTAACCTCTTGTGTCCAGTCTTCTTGATTAAGTTGTGACTGTTTTACCATTCTTTTTACAGTTGTTTTTATCTGTACTGTGTTAGGAATTCCTAGTGGTTATTTTGCGTTCAGTTATTCAAGACTGAGAAAACCAATCTGCCCACTGTCATTTTGGTATCTCCTTATGATGAACATGGATCCAGTTGGTAGTTCGGACGGCAGTGACGATTGTTGTTGTTGATTCTGGAGTGAAACAATGTCTGCCTCGATCCCAGACCTTGTGTGATTCACAGTGAGAACTGTATAGTTGTTTCCTCCCCCCCCCCCCCCCCCCCAAATACTGACAAGTTGTTGCTCAGCGTTAAAAAAAATCAGTGGGGGGGGGGGGGGGGGGGTTATATATAAATATTTTTTTCTTTTTTTCATCTTCTTTGTGTTCACCAGCTGTAAACTCTGGTGGAAAGTTCTGGTTGTTCATCCACTTCTGGACTGTTGCATGTGCATCCGTTTTACATATCTGACTCATTTATATGTTTCCTTGCCTCTCAGGCAGATGCACTCCGACTTCAAAGGAAGCTCCCAATTAGTTGACTCTTACGACATGCTTTTGGGTAGGCAGTGGGTCTATTCTTGTTTTCCCCAAATGGGGCCCCGGAACCCACATGGGGGATATAAATATTTGAAAAGAGTGTTTCAGTGCGAGAGGATGACGTCATTGCTCTGGGTTTACATGACTTAAGACTTTGCAGAATGACTTGTCGTCAGCAAGAGAATGGAGTGAAGAATGAACCCAAACACCACCCCCCTTCCCCACCCCCCAATCCCCCAGGGATCTCAGAAATACCGGTCTTTGATGTCTGATAGACAGGGTCTGAAATTGAACCCACAGCCGTCAAAGCATGAGGCAGACGGCTTAACTACTTGGCCACGGAAATGCTGAAATAATCACTCGCCTAACGTCTCATCACACAAGATCCCAGTGCATGAAACACTGATAAAATCAGTCGCCATGTGTGGCTGTGAAAGCTGAAGTACAATCAAAAGAGAGAACCTTTTTACCTTCTCTGTCTTTACCCTCATAGGGATGCAGGTTACAAATGGCTGCTGTTGCCGTTATAGGGGCCCTAATTATAACTTCTTTTGGAGATTGAAAGGGGTATCTGAAATCTACCTTGCTGGTCTGCTGCATAATAAGTTGAACTGTTTGCCTCATGTTCTGAAGGTTGTAGGTTCGTTTCACGGCTGCCGTTCAATTCATGGGTAAAATGTTTACGGGAATTGCGTGGAATTGTCGCCTGAGTTAAAAGTAACACTGTCAGCAGGCAGCTAGCCACTTTGCAGAGAGACTGGGCCATATGGGATAAAACCCGCTGCATGTGAAGTTGTTTTTACACACAAAAAAGTCTTTACTCACATTTTAAAAAATCTGCTTTCTAAAAAGTTTAAATAAATAAAATTAGTCAGACCCAGGAAGTACCCATCTGGAACATCAGACCCAGCAAGTACCCATCTGGAACACTAGACCCAAGAGTTGTTATACGTCAAATGACTGAAAGGATGACTCAGACCTGTGTTGGACTTTCAGATCCGTTAATTGTTTTTGGTTAATGCTAACAACACAGCACAAGGGGGAAGGACATCATCCAGTTGTCACAGTTAAATAAATAACTGATTGTAAACTAGCTGCTTGTGTTATTTTGTTGACTCCTGCTGTTTCTACTGGTGTACATGTTGAAGGTGGAGTTGCAGTAGTGTGTCGGCTTGACTAGTGTTCTCAAACCTTCTTTTTTCAGGTGGTGCCCCCTTAAGAACATGGCAAGGCCCATATTCTAAGCCCACTAACATAACAAAAATGTGACTAAAAAGAGGACAGACAAAAAAAATCTGAAGTACTGTTGACAAGAACTTGGAGAAAAAACACATAATGCAGTGTCAGATAAAAAAAAAAAAAATAACCACCAAATATCAGTGTGATGGTTGACACTCTTTAGTCTTGATATCTGATGTTGGACAAGGCACAGTGCTGATCACTCTCCATATCAGTCTGGCAGCACTGTTTTGTTTTCAGGACTGTTAAAGGTGAACATCTGGATTATTGCAAGTACACATGCACTTAATTTTAAACAATTGCTGGATGCCTCCCTTGAAACTTCCTCACGCCCTCTGAGAGGGGGGAACACACCCTGCAGGTCATAGACCACCAAGCTAGACACTTGCCTAGCAGCCTAAAGTTTTGAGTTTGAATCCGATTTTTTTTAAAACTGACCCTGGCTTCCAGATCAGTTTACCCTATAATATAAAATGGTTACCAGGTCAGTTTTTGGGAAGTAAAGGTGGCCATCATGATGTTGACTGCCTTGACCTGTAGAGTGCTGACTGGGCTATACAAATATAATGGTAGCATCATTTGTCTGATGCCGCACTGGTGGGAAAAGGCTAGGCACCAGACTACCTCTTCTTCTCTTGCACCATTTACCTCAGCGAGATGTTGGGGGGAGATGTAAGAATCATTTGTGAACTTTTTCTAGTGCATTGTACAAGTAAGTTGGAGTTCATTTCTGTTAGGTTGCTCTTGATGGTGTCACTACATCTCTTGAGTGGTCTTCCCCCTGCTCTGTGTTCGTTGTATTTCTGGCAGTTGATACCAGGGCATTCTCTTCAGGTGGCCAAACCATCTCTTTTATTGTCCTTTAATGAATTGTATGACTGGTTTCAGTTTCAGTATCTTCTAATTTTTTAAATTCTTGATTTGATCTCTTTTTGTCACACCGGCAGCTCTTCTAAGATTTCTTATCTCTGTTGTTACGATCTTCCGCTTATTAGATGTAGCAAAGGTTCATGTTTGGCACTGGTAGCACAATGTCTGCCAAAAAAAATTCTTATGAGATTTGCTTTGGTTGATACCTTTATGTGCATCAGAAGCGGTGTTAATTGTCCCATAACCTGATTTGCTTTCGCACATCGCATGTTTATTTCTCTATCAGTTCTTCTATCTGAGGTGAAAAAATGACCCTAAAAATTAAAAATTCACTCGTTTATGTTATATCTGTGTTATTTACTTTCATTGATATGGTTTCTTCTTGTCTACCTGTTACATTGCCTCTGTCTTATCAGTATTTATCCTCATATTATTCTCATAGTCAGATTTTGAAAATGGATCTAGGCTCTCTTCTCCACCTATCAGCCTGGGTGGAAATGTACTGCCTAGAAATTTCCTGTTAACTTTTTTTTTTCAGACCCAAAAAAAAAAACATGTGTGTTGGGATAATAGTCTTTAGTCATAACTGAAGAATAGTGTGTTTACAAAAATTTTACATTTGGTCAAATCCTAATCAGGAAACCTGGCTATGCAAGTGACCACACTCACTGTTTTCCCCCCGCTTAGTTTTTATAACAATTGAATACATCTTTCCCCATTTGGGCATATGCTGGCAGATCTGATACTTTATTCGTTTCATCGACGGATCATCATCATGGCACACGGGTGTTGCCCTTAAGTGCTCTGTTCTACTTCTATCTCAAGCCTGAGTTTGAAGAACGCAGTGCACGAACTCTGTTGCACCGGCGGGGATCCTGAAATACTTTGGGTAGATTTTTAACTCCAAATTTTGCCCGGGCAGTGTCGGTTATGCTACTCTTTTCGATTTCAGACTGCCAAGAGATTATTTTATGTGCACACGAATACACACACGTCTGATCTTACTACCCAGAGACCAGGAGAAATTACTAGATGTCCATGTGAAAAAAATTCCAGCCTTTGCTGGGGCTTGAACCCAGGACCTCCAGCACTCAAAGCAGACACCATACCTTGAGACCACTCAGCCCCCTGAATATGGTACTGAAAGAATTAAGTCTGGTGGATGGGAAGATGTTAACCACCACCTAACCCACTGAGCGCTGATTATTCTGTAAATTTATTGGATTAACACTGTCTGCCCCATGCAACAGTGGTGTCCACACGGATTCTTGATTTACATGCATATATCAGTAGATAGAACAGCATTGTTGAACACTGTCTTCCTGCTAGCATGTTGCTACCACTGACAGAACTGTCTGGTGCTGTCTTCCTACTAATATATATTCAGAACTGTCTGGTGCTGTCTTCCTACTAACATGAAACTGCTAGTGTTAGAACTGGCCAACACTGTCTTCCTGCAAACGTAGAGCCACCACTATCAGAACTGTAGAAAATAGAATTGAAACAGTAGATGCAATGCCTGAGAAGTGTACTTAATTTGATAAGAAAAGATAATGTTAAAAAAGCAAGTATCTGTTGGTCATCAGAAGGACCTATTACAGCAGATGTTATTGTTTCCGAAGAACAGCTGAAGAATTCACCCAAGCAGTAGGCCCAAATGTTCATGAACTTGACAAACCTCCCCCAGCCAGCGAACATAAATTTCCCAGAAATGACAAATTCCTTTCCCCCCAAATCCCAGAAGATTTATTGCGGGCGTCATCCTTTCAAGTTTCTGTTCATAGAAAATACGCTTTTTTGATTTTATTGCAGTGTTAAAATCTGTGTTTTTCATGTTGTTTAAAATTGTATTGATGGTTGGCTGTTAATGATTCACCTCACAGGGGCTGACATAAAGAACTTCTTTTTTGTGGATCCTGTGGCAGAAGGAACTGGTACTGAAAGAATTGTGGAGGGCCAGATAAAGATTCTTCGCCGCACCAGATTTACATTAGGAAGCAGTTATCTCATTCCTGTAAGTTATCTCTCTCTAAACTGTTACTTTCCTCTCAGTGATTGTGGTCAGTCACTCATCCGCAAAGTTATCTCACTCTAAACTGTTACTTTCCTATCAGTGATTGTGGTCAGTCGCTCATCCACAAAGTTATCTCACTCTAAACAGTTTCTTTCCTCTCAATGATTGTGGTCAGTCACTCATCCACAAAGTTATCTCACTCTAAACAGTTTCTTTCCTCTCAATGATTGTGGTCAGTCTCTCATCCACAAAGTTATCTCACTCTAAACTGTTTCTTTCCTCTCAATGATTGTGGCCAGTCTCTCATCCACAAAGTTATCTCACTCTAAACTGTTTCTTTCCTCTCAATGATTGTGGTCAGTCACTCATCCACAAAGTTATCTCACTCTAAACTGTTACTTTCCTCTCAATGATTGTGGTCAGTCACTCATCCACAAAGTTATCTCACTCTAAACTGTTTCTTTCCTCTCAATGATTGTGGTCAGTCGCTCATCCACAAAGTTATCTCACTCTAAACTTTTACTTTCCTCTCAGTGATTGTGGTCAGTCGCTCATCCACAAAGTTATCTCACTCTAAACTGTTTCTTTCCTCTCAGTGATTGTGGTCAGTCGCTCATCCACAAAGTTATCTCACTCTAAACTGTTTCTTTCCTCTCAATGATTGTGGTCAGTCACTCATCCACAAAGTTATCTCACTCTAAACTGTTACTTTCCTCTTAGTGATTGTGGTCAGGCACTCATCCATAAAGTTATCTCACTCTAAACTGTTACTTTCCTATCAGTGATTGTGGTCAGTCACTCATCCACACAGTTATCATTAATCATCTCAGTTGATGAAATTGTCATTGTCCCATGTCACTAAGTTATCTCACTGTCAGAAACTGCCTTACTTCACTGTTATCTCACTATGTAAGTAATCCCATTCCACTAAGTTACAGTGTAATAAAAAAAAACAACTCTCAATTTCAGCATTTGAATTTTTTCATGGTGTAAATCACAAACAGTGTCTCAGCTGTGTTTTTAGAAACATTTTCATCGACAAATTTGACTTCGCTAATCTTCTGTTTTCTTTTCTTTATGGACATTTCGGCAAAATACAATTATACAGGAGAAAATTGTGTTGTGAAATGTTGTAACTTGACACGAAACACGCCTAGTTCCCATAAAATTAGGTTACTCTTGTGTAGTTCATTACTTGTTCAGTAAAGGCCACCAGTATTAGCTTGACAGCAGTCACTCCCATATTTTCACCAATTCCCATAAGTTGGACCATGAGGTACAGTGAGAAACAACAGCAGAGATAAGTACCATGGACCAGATTGCCAATTCCCTCTAGGTCAGCTGTTGGGTACAAATGACAGCCAGTGATCGAGGATGTTACAGTGCGTCTGACAATCTCCTGTATCGTCTGTGATTGATGCCAGACAGTGAGTCAGACAGATTGTCATCATGTGGTCCCTTTCTGCTGGAAGTGTCTGTTTGCAGTTAAACAACCTGTAACCTGTAGAGAATCATTAGCAGTCTAGACCTGACCTCTGTCAGTCTGTGTGTGTGGCATGTTTTCAATGATCTCTTGTATATACCTCACTGGAGATGGGAAGTTACTGTACAGTTGTTGCACTGTATGCTGGTTTATGAGCTCCAAATGAAAATATGAAGTTCCTGCACACATCTTATACTCTGTATTGGTTTATGAGTTCTGGTGATGTGAAGTTCATGTTCACATATTGCACTTGGTGTAGGTTTATGAGCTCTGGTGATGTGAAGTTCATGTTCACTTATTGCACTCTGTGTGTAGGTTTATGATCTCTGCAGATGTGGTTCCTGAACACGTCTTTCTTGCATTCTATGCTGGTTTATGAGCTCTGGAGAGGTGAAGAAAAGCTCTGCAATACATATCTGAAGAAAAAAGTGTCTACATGAACCCATTTGTGATAAGTCCATGCACCTTTTCAGGGCTGCGATGATCTAAGCTCCATTTCTTTTGACTTGCAGAATTGACTAACCAGTAAATCAACTAGTTTGATAGACATCACCAGCATTGGGCCAAGACTGGCTCTAGCTGACGGGCCATGCTGCTGACGTCACCAGATAGGTTTAACAATATGTTAACGCAGCGGTTCTCAAACTGGGTGCGTGTATCAGGGGTGCAGTGGCAACAATCAAGAATTTTTCCAAATCTGTTTGATATTAAAGTTGCATTTTTTTGGGGTTTTTTTTCTTCTTCTTTTCTCAAGTATTGAAACCACTTTAAGGGTAGGTGTACTTCGATTTTTGTGTGTGGAGGAATGCTGCGTTAATGTATCGTTAGCCCGGTTTGGTGACGTCAGAAGCCTGGCCCGTCAGCTGGAGCCGGTCTTGGTTGGGCATTCTGAGTGGTTTACATTGGCACAGGAAGGGGTAACTGTGAGGTGACCTACTTGCTGTGAAGGAACTGCAATTATCAGATGATTACATGATGTTTCAAGTGTGGTGAATATTATCAGTTATTTCCACCAGGTTACCATCCGAGACAGGAAGCAACCTGTGACCCAGGTAGTGACAGTGGAGGTCAATGTCACTGTAGGGCCAAGGCCACCCCAGTTTTTCCAGCAGAAGTACGAGGGATGGATCTTTGAGACAAAGAGCACCAACAATCCGTGAGTTGTGTTTCTAGGCACATTTTTTTCGTTGTGTTTTACTTAGTATTCTTCTTCTTAGATAGTATGTTGCTGTTATTTACTTTATTTCTGGACATGGGTAATCCACTGGCGCCACTTAATTTGCCATCTATTTTATTTTTGTAAATTTATGCCGACTTGCCAGTTTTTGTTGTTGTCTTGTTTTAAAAAAGAAATAACTTCTTCTTCTCTTACTCCAGTTAGTCATAGGAAAGGGGTGGGGGATGTAAGAATCTCCTATATGTTCTTTCCAGTGCATATTATAAGGTGGTCTTCATTTCCGTAAGGCTTCTTGATTCTATCGTTCCATCTTCTTGCTGTTGTGTTTCCTCTCTGTGGCAGTTGGTACCAGGGCATTCTCGTCAGATAGCCAAGCCATTTTTACTACACTGTATGAGTGGTTTCAGGTTTAGTTTTTTGTGCTGCAGATTTCGGCCTTGATTCCATAAATATGGGAAAAATGTGGCTTTTTTTTGCCTACCCACCCGGTCGCCTCACAAAGGGTTTTAACCAACTGTGCTAGCGAGCTGGGTGATCATTTACTTTTATTGATATGATTTCTGGTTGTCTGTCACCATTGTCTCCGTCTTTTCTGAGCATATTTTTTTATGTTATCCTTTTGGCAATTAGTATTGAAATGATTCTAGAATCTCTCTTCTGTGTTTGCTAATAATTAATGCTTAATTGTTTGCAAATAACAATTCCAAAATATCTTCTTCACTGTCAGCTTCTTTGCATATACTGCCGAGAAAAAGCATAATAGTTAAAAGTAGTCCTGTGAAGTACCACTTAATTGGTAGTGCTGCAGCCATGGAACCACTAGTTGGATCTAACAAACCCAAACATTTTTAAAAGCATGTTTTCACTTTTGTTTAAAGTCTGTGTTGCGAAAGAGTTTCATCACCACCCTATTGTACTGTTATACATAAGGTGTTTGTAGTTGATTTCTCCATTCCATTCTCTAACCTGTGCAGTTGTTCCTTGTGAAAGAGGTAAAGAAACCACATCCCACAAACATTAGGAAAAGTCAGCAGCGATGCTTGTGCCACATAATGAGGAGAGAAACACTGAAGCCTGTAACAACTGGAATGATTTATGGAAATAGATACAGGGGCCAGAAAGAGAAGATTTCTTCAACCGTTCATCTTGGCATGACAAATGGGTCAAGATACAATTTGGTAAATTCTGCTGGAAACACGTAGACAGCATTTGGAATAATTCATGAGCCAGACCCATCTCACAGGAGCCAGCGCAATTATTTTGCACATATAGGCTTAAAAAACCATTTGAAAGTTCTGGTGCTAGACAGAGAAATGACAAATGTCATTGCAAGTGAGCACTCCTTATTGTTTGGCTTTGTTCACAATAATGAGATGTGGAGGAATGTGATTGCCCACACCAGTTGGCCTGGCACTTGATGATGATGAATGGTAAATCTTTGGCTCTACAACTATACATGCACTGGTAATGTGGAATTAGAGGGAGAGGTCTTCCATACCTAGGCATGGACTCTGGCACTTCGTGGCTGTGAAACGTACTGTCGGTTAACATATCGAGGAATGATTTGAGGTATGGCACTATAGCAGAATAGAAAGAATACACAGTTCAATAATAATTTTGTGGCAGGTATTTCCATGGGAATGTGGTGTTTACACTCTTGATTATTTTTTTAGGTTCCTTGAATTTATGTTAATGACATTTTTCCTTATTAGAATCACAAGAAGGATTGCATACTAAAGTTGAAGGGTGTTTTGTTCTTGAGAATAACATGGGCTTCTTATGTGTATCCTTTGGACCACTAAATGGGAATTACTGTTCTAGGCCATGATTTAATGGCTGGTCTGTGCTGGTAAAAAAAAAAAAAATTGCTGCCGCTTCTGGGAATCGAACCCAAACTTCTATCTTAAGAGTCTACCAATCTGCATGTGGCCGCACAGAGCAGGATCCCCAGGGACAATCCTACGTAGATCAAGGGCATGATGAAGTCACCATATGAATGAGGCTACAGATGTCCCGAAAAAAAGCAACCAGGAAGGTTAACCCAGATAAAAAATGCCTGAAGAAGTTAAAATATGTCGGCCAAAAGGTAGAAATACTGTAGCTGTGCAGTAAACAGGCCAGCACATTGACATCACTCGCACGAACAGTAGAAGAAGGAGAATACAGAGAAAGTTATTTATAGCCTGGCCAAAGCTTGCAGCATGATGACCCCATATCCTTCACCTTTTGTTCTTCTGTGGGAATCTCTGGACACATAGCTACTTTTTTTCCTGTGTGGGTTCCGTGGCCCTATTATAGGGAAAACAAGAATAGTCACACTGCCAAACCAAAAGCATGTCGTCAGAGTCGACTAATTGGGAGCTTTTTTCAAAGTCGGAGTGCATCTTCCTGAGAGGCAAGGAACCAACACTCTTGCATACAAATTAGTCAGATCTGTCAAACGGATGCATACGCAACACTCAGGTTCTGGAACAGAACTGCAGTCCAGAAGTGGACAAACAATCAGAACTTTCCACCGGAGTTTACAGCTGGTAAACGCGATGAAGAAAAAAGAAGCTACTTTTTTGTCATTGCACTCTATCTTCTGTCAGCACATCTGTGGTATAGAATATATCTGTTTACTTTGGCAGACTCCTGTTGGCATCCTTGAATAAACACATGTTGAATTCTTGCCAAAGATGATCGTTCATTTTCTTGTACACATGAGTGATTGGGAATACTGTTTTGAAGATGTGTTCTGTAAAATTCCTGGGCTTTTGGTTTTCCACAGTGTATTTGCCCTGAACTCCAATGAGAAGCTGTTTGTTCAGGTGCATCAGTTTCAACAGAACCACCCCAAGACATTCCGGATACTGGATGAGAGCAACAGGGAGTCCACGCTGTTCCGTATTGATGAGCATGGACACATTTACAACAAAGATGTGAGTACTCTTATTTTTTAATACCTCTGCTGCTGCTTCTTCCCTCTCCTCTTATGCCATTACAGTATCTAACACTGTTGGCATCTTTCTCTCCTTCCATATGATAATGTTACATGGCAAGGGTATGTGCAACTAGCAAGATCTGCTCAAGTTTAGAAAGGACTTCTACAGTTAGAGGAGGGGATTTTACACCTTTATTGCCATTGGATGTATTTATAACACTTCTTCTCAAATGCTCTCAGGTCTTAACCTATATGTTCCTATTTTTGTCTTTTTGACCCCTTTTCCCCTCCTGACCCCCCACCCCCCCTCCACTTTTTCTTTCTTTCCATGCCACATGATCTGTATTGTAGAATACTTGTAACACAGTTTATATTGGACCTTTATCCAGTATTGAAATAGTGGGACTAGGAATTCATGTCATTTTCATTTCATGTTTGTAGGTGTTGGATTTTGATGTGCAGCAAACACAGCGACCACCAAAGTTCCGTTTCCAGATTCGGGTGATTGAAACATCAGACACGGGAGAATTGACCCAAACAGTTCCTGTAAGTTAATTATTGTTGTTATTGTTATTTGATCCTTGTAATATTCATTTTACTGTATTTTTTGTTGTTGTCATCATTGTCTTCTTTTTTATCATAAGAATAATCTTCTTGATTATCAGAAATCATCTTTTTCATGATCATCATCATTTCATCATCACCATCTTATTCTTCAACCTGTGATAACAGAACTAGCTGCAGTATCTGTCAACCAGCCTGGTGATCGTGTGTCTCAAGTCAGGGTTATGTTTTAACTGACCTCGGCTACCAGGTCACCCCAGCCTGAAAATGGGTAGCAGGGCAATTTACTGGGAAGTAAAGGTGACCGCAAATTTACTTTGACACAGATGAAGTGCAGATTGGTCTAGACATATGATATTTGAACCCCATGCTCTCCCTCTGGTTTGTCTCTACTTTGTATAGAAGGGGTTGTGAATTCCAGTGATTTCAAGAGCTGTGCTGTTGGCATGTTGTGAAAAGATATTGAACCAAATGAAAAGTAGAGAACTAGTCAGCTCAACATTATCACAATCACAAGCAACAAGGGAAAGTTCCAGCTAGAAAGCTTTCATCAGCACGTGACATTAATAGACAGTGTTACAATTACTGAAGCACAAAATCACTTAACTGAGATCTCATCATCAGTCAGTAGGTCCTTGCATCACTCCACACCTGGATGTCTTTCTGTCTCCAGCCAGTACTTCACCCCTATATGCTTTCATAACCTTTGCATCTATAGTGTCTTGTATCAGCCTTCATGGAGGTCTGTCAGTGTCTTATTTTCCAGAAACTCTACCCTTAATTATTGTTCTCTTTGGGCTACCATGACTTTTAATATGGCTAAAATACCTCACAATTTGGGACAGGATGTTGTCAGCTTCCTTTTTAATTTTTAGGGATATATAATGTGGTAGTCTTCCCTTGACCTCCACATCTGCATGGCTGAGCACTGAAATCTTTAGCAATCTATTTAGATTTGCAAATGTAGGTGAGCACCCTGTGGTACTGATGCTAAGATACTGAGGTATGTCCAAGAAAAAATCCTCATGTCTGTCACCTGTATCTTTAGTAGTCTTCCATGACGGACAGGTGAAGGAATAGGAACCAGACAAAGAGAAATAAGGCCTGCTGCCTTGTAAGTAGATGAGATAACTTAAGGCTATCAGAGAATGCACACTCAAAAACATGTGATGACATTGGATGTAGACAGGCTTGAAGAAACATACAGTGCAGCCTGACTGGCCTCATGGTGATGAACCTGTCTCTGGTATTCACAGGAAAGCAAGCAATTAAAGAAGACCCAGAAACACATTATGTGGAGAAGAGAGCTGTAGATAATTTGGACAGAACATCTATAGGGCTTCTGGAGATGGCAAAGGATAGGACAGGCTTTGTGTTAATTGGTCAAGGACTATGCTGCATTGGGGAATTAATAGTAGAAGCGAGTATCTCGGAGGATGTGGTGGTCAGTGATGAGGGCTCTGGCTTACTAGCATAATGGCTGACGGTGGTCTAGTCTCATATGGGCAGCAACGATTTTTGTATGGGCTCCAGGAGACCCCATTTGGGTGGGAGGGGGAAAGGGGGGGGGTGCATATTCAGACTGCCTCCTTAATGAGCATGTTATAAGAGTAAATTAATGAGGGGTCCTTTGAGGGTGGAGTGCATCTGCCTGAGAGGCGAGAAACTAACAGTCTGCATGCAAGTAAGACATATGTAAAATGGATGTGCATGCACAACTCAGTTCTAAAACTTTTTGCCGGAGTTTACAGCTGGTGAGCAGAAAAAGAACTTAACCATATAAATTTTGAAGGAATTGCACTTAATGGACAGTATCTTTGCAGAATCAGCAGTGATGTCGAATTTTGAACCCACATCAAAACATTTAAACACATTGATTTGGGCTTTCAGGTCAAATCAGTCTCAAATGGATACCAGGAAATGTTTTGGTAACTAAAGATGGCACAAGTGATTTGCAGTATCATAGCGGTATCTATGCAGTTACTGCTATTCTATTTACCTATTCTTGATTTCATTATTTCATAGTCAACTCTCTCTTCTCCTACAGCTGGACATTGTCTTGAAGGATGAGAATGATAACCCGCCCAGGTTTCAGCTGACCCAGTATCTGAAAACTATTCGTGAGGACTTGGAGATTGGCAAGACGGTCCTCTCCGTGGTGGCGGAGGACAGTGACTCTGGTAACAACAGTCTTGTCACGTATGAACTGGAGAATCCTTACTTTGAGATCAAGAAGGTGGGCAAGGAAGGAGTCATAACAGTGAAAGAGTGAGTATCTTCAACTAGTAAATTCTCTGGGAATCTTGGTTTAGACGAAGTTGTTTAATGAAAGATTACATACCTTCATTTGGTCTTCTTTGCATTCAACGGCTGTACAGTCCTGTGAAGAGTTCTAGTTGTTCGTCCACCCTGGACTTTAATCTTGTTGCAGAACTTGAGTTTTGCATGCAGATACGGTTTACAGATCTGGCTTATTTGTATGCAGACTGTTAGTTCCTTGCCTCTCAGACAGATGCATTCCCCAAATAGTGGACTCGTACGACGTGCTTACTTTCCTTAGAACCCACACAAGGACCTTTATCTGGTAAAATGTTGGTTAATCTTGGCTTAGAGTGGGTTACACAAATGAGAATAAGTTACAAGAATGAAAGAAGGAGTTACAAGAATGCAGAAGTGAGTTACAAGAATGCAAAAGTGAGTTATAAGAATGCAGAAGTGAGTTATAAGAATGCAGAAGTGAGTTACAAAAATGCAAAAGTGAGTTACAAGAATGCAAAAGGGAGTTACAAGAATGCAGAAGTGAGTTACAAGAATGCAAAAGTGAGTTACAAGAATGCTGAAGTGAGTTACAAGAATGCAAAAGTGAGTTACAAGAATGCAAAAGTGAGTTACAAGAATGCAAAAGTGAGTTACAAGAATGCAAAAGTGAGTTACAAGAATGCTGAAGTGAGTTACAAGAATGCAAAAGTGAGTTACAAGAATGCTGAAGTGAGTTACAAGAATGCAAAAGTGAGTTACAAGAATGCTGAAGTGAGTTACAAGAATGCAAAAGTGAGTTACAAGAATGCAAAAGTGAGTTACAAGAATGCAGAAGTGAGTTACAAGAATGAAAGAGTGAGTCACGAGAATGAAAGAGAGTTATGAGAATGAAAAAGTGAGTTACAAGAATGAAAGAGCAAGTTACAGGAATGAAAGAGCGAGTACAGTAATCTAGCACAAATTCAGGTGATGCTTTAGAGTTAACTAGAAGAGTGGCTGACCGAGTGGCTACAATGTCGGGCTTTCATGCGGGAGACCAGAGTTCGATGACCCAGCAAGGTGATAGAGTTTTTCTGGGAGGGGGGGGGGGGGGGGGGGGTGCAAAATTAAACATTCTTACCCACGCAGTCGGTGGTGACACCACTAGCCTGGTGGCCCTTAATCCTCAGGTTCAAGGGCCCCATGTGTCTACACCGCCCTAAAAAGTAGTAAAACAGATAGTCAATTTTAACTTGGGGGCCAAAGTGTTGAACTTGGGAATGGTCACGGGCCAGGGGCTGAATCATTACTACAGGTACAACGTGCAGTGATCCACCGGCCACCAGCCAGGCCTCTCTGGGCTGGGTTCACCTGCCAATGGAATAACCTCACTCTAGAGCCCACACCGAGACAGATTTAAACAAGTTGATTTGGGCTTTCTGTTCGACCTGACCCTATTTTCAGCCATCACACCTCATATGTTGGGAACTAGACAAAAACAGATCTAGCACTCAACACTCCAGCAACACTAACACTACCTAGGAGCTTCCTATATATATCTTTATTTATTTAAAAAAAGGCAAAAGCTCAAAGACAACTTATCACAAACATTAAAAAGAGATGGTTACCATTTTTAAAAAATCTTGTTATGAGAAGAAGGATTGTATGGAGCTGTTAATTGTCAGTTTTGGGATGTTTGTTTAAGGTTTATGACAAGGGCAGGAGCCACTGTGGTGTAGTTTTTGAGTTCTTGCCTGCCCCACTAGTGGTTGCAGGTCCACTCTGGGAGGGGGGGGGGGGCTAACATATTCTAAACAGCATCACATGGGAGGGGGGGGGGAGAACTTTACATATTCTAGGCAGCAAAACATGGGGAGTGGGAGCCGTGATATTTTTTAGGCAGCAGCGCATGGAAATGGGAGGAGGGGCGCCTTGGCAAATTCTAGGCAAAAAATACATAGGTGAAAGTAGGCCTTTTTTCCCATGCCTCTTGGTGTTTTGATTTTCAATTTGTATTCTCTTGCTGCTAGTATCGTTGGTTTCATTCTCATTAGAGGCCAAACCATTTCATTTCATAAATTTGACAATGGTTGTTGTTCCAACAGTTCTTATGATCACGTAGTTTCTCACTCAATCTCCTCTGGTTTCATTCACAGCCATTCCTGATCTCACATGTGGTTAGTTTTCTTTCATATTCTTTTGTCAATGTCCAGGTCTGACATAGGTGACCTAAAGTCAGTATAAATATTTTATTCATAATTTGTCTTGTCTCTGTTGGAATAACAGGGTGTTTTAAAATTGGAGCAAGTTGGTAGTGACATTGTTGGCTTTTCAGATTCTTGTTTCTATCTCTCTGTCTATTTCACCATTGTATGTAAATATGCTTCTCATGTATTTAAATTCTTGCACTTGTTTCAGACTTTGATCTTTAAGTTGATGGGTTTTTTTGTTGTTGCTCTCTTTTGTTGTTTTCTTGTTTTCCTGTCAAGTTGGAGTACTATTATCCTTTCAGATTCATACTCTATACGCTCAACACTACGAAAATGTGTAGTTGATTTCTTGGGGAAAATATCTCTGTCACTGCAGGATGTTCAGAGATGACACAGTGTAGTCAGGAAGTGTCTTCTTCACATTTCCTCCTCATATTGTTTCTTATAGGTCTGAAACCAGTGAGTGGATTGTGTCATATTAGATAGGGAAGTGAGTCAGTCATTCGATGAATGAGACATGTCAGTAGATTAGTCATATGTTTTCTGATACACTGTATTTATGTGTGCTGATAGTCAAGTGTTGACAGAGAGGGTCTTTCACAGTCTGTTTGGTTTCCATCACATCACTCATAGTTCATTTTGTAAAATTGAAGCCAGGTTTACAGGGGAACATTCATCATTGTTTCCCATCGAGCGGGGCAAGGAACCGTGTTCCTGCACATATGTCTGGTGTTTGTGCTCTTGATTTGATGTTTGGTTGTGGAATATCTTCCATGTAACAGTGTCAAACCATACACCATTGTGTGGTTGTCTTCCATCTGTTTAACCATACAGCATTGTGTGGTTGTCTTCCATCTGTTCAACCATACACCATTGTGTGGTTGTCTTCCATCTGTTTAACCATACAGCATTGTGTGGTTGTCTTCCATCTGTTTAACCATACAGCATTGTGTGGTTGTCTTCCATCTGTTCAACCAATCACCATTGTGTGGTTGTCTTCCATCTGTGTTTAACCATACACCATTGTGTGGTTGTCTTCCATCTGTGTTTAACCATACAGCATTGTCGCCCTCTGTCAGACTCTTTTTCAGTAGCATGTGATTTTCACGGCTGTCACAGTCTTCTTTAGACCCTCTTGTTTCATAATGATACAAGAGAAACAAGAAACTCAAGATTGATGAGTTGATCAGTTTTTCTCTTCCAGGCTGCTACTGAAGGTTTACTGCACCATATTGAGATTAAAGTCTCCATCTGGGCGCCAGATCCTTATACCCTGTTCAACACCCACAGAAGTTATAATTGGGGCACCAGCCAGGTGTCACCTGCAAGAAGTTCAAGTTGATGATTGTGCATGTTATGTGTGTGTGTGCATCTGAGAGAGAGAGAGAAAACAAACTTTTTTTTCGATGGGTCACAAATTGGGCATGCAGGCCTATCTCACATTCCGCCCTTCCAAACACTCATCTTTCACACAGCAGTTGTAGTTTATCAATAAAGCATGTTATGGTAATGTAACAGTATGCATATTATGAATATCAAACAAAAACACAAAAGCATAGGTGGTAAAATACAGACATACACACACACAAATAGAGAGAGAGAGAGAGAGAGCGCGTGCATAGCTGCGCTCACAGCACAAAGTGTCTTAAAAGGATTTGGTGCTCACCACACAGTGTCTAAAATGGATTTGGTGCTCACCACAAAGTGTTTTAAAAGGATTTGGTGCTCACCACAAAGTGTCTAAAAAGGGTGCCGGTATTCAGCACAGTGTTTAAAAAAGGTGCCGGTGCTCACCATAAAGTGTCTAAAAAGGATTTGGTGCTCACCACAAAGTGTCTAAAAAGGGTGCCGGTATTCAGCACAGTGTCTAAAAAGGGTGCCGGTGCTCACCACAAAGTGTCTAAAAAGGGTGCCGGTACTCACCACAAAGTGTCTAAAAAGGGTACCGGTGCTCACCACAAAGTGTCTAAAAGGGGTGCCGGTGCTCACCATAAAGTGTCTAAAATGGGTGCCGGTGCTCACCACAAAGTGTCTAAAAAGGGTACCAGTGCTCACCACAAAGTGTCTAAAAGGGGTGCCGGTGCTCACCACAGTGTCTAAAAAGGGTGCCGGTGCTCACCATAAAGTGTCTAAAATGGGTGCCGGTGCTCACCACAAAGTGTCTAAAAAGGGTGCCGGTGCTCACCACAGTGTCTAAAAAGGGTGCCAGTGCTCACCACAAAGTGTCTAAAAGGGTGTTGGTGCTCACCACAAAGTGTCTAAAAAGGGTGCCGGTATTCAGCACAGTGTTTAAAAAAGGTGCCGGTGCTCACCAAAAAGGGTGTTGGTGCTCACCACAAAGTGTCTAAAAAAGGTGCCAGTGCTTACTACCAAGTGTCTAAAAAAGGTGTCGTTGCTCACCACAGAGTGTCTATTACAGTAGCACTGAAACAGATTATACCATTTAAAAAAAAAACAGGTGCTGATACTGCGTGCTGTTGCGGATGGCAGGAGAAAGTCCTGCACCAATTACTGGCATAAATAGGTTCTTTTACTTTTCCTGTTAGGCAGAAAAGTCTCAAATTATCAATACATCTAGAACATAATGGTTTTTCTTCTCTTGCTGCAGGACACTGGACTTTGACGCTTTCCCTGGACCAACCTACAGGTTTATTGTCCACGCCAAAGACAGTGGCATACCGGCTTTGTCCAGCTCCGTCGATGTTACGGTGACCACCTCCAACGTGAATGATGAGCCGCCAAATATTATACCTCCTGGGACTCTGGTACTCCGTGACATGGTCCCAGAAAATTTCATTCTCACCAGGCTGCGAGCTACAGATGGGGACGGAGATAATGTGAAGTTTTATTTTACCCGTAAGTCAGCTTGTGTCTGTGTAGTTTGTTCAGTTTGTGAGGGTCTCTGGTGAAGTCAAGCCATTTGTGAGGGTCTCTGGTGGAGTCAAGCCATTTGTGAGGGTCTGTGGTGAAGTCAAGCCATTTGTGAGGGTCTGTGGTGAAGTCAAGCCATTTGTAAGGGTCTCTGGTGGAGTCAAGCCATTTGTGAGGGTCTATTTGTGAGGGTCTCTGTTGAAGTCAAGCCATTTGTGAGGGTCTCTGGTGAAGTCAAGCCATTTGTGAGGGTTTCTGGTGAAGTCAAGCCATTTGTGAGGGTCTCTCGTGAAGTCAAGCCATTTGTGAGGGTTTCTGGTGAAGTCAAGCCATTTGTGAGGGTCTCTAGTGAAGTCAAGCCATTTGAATGTGCTCGGCAGGTCGTGGGTTCTTTTCACAGATGCCTTGCTCAGTTCAGAAATGCAATTTTGGGAGATATTTGGGGATCACTTTTGGAGCTACAGAATTTGTCCTTTATGTGACGCTCTTGGCAGGTAACTGGCTGTTCTGCAGAGAGAGAAAGATAGACCCATAGGGATAAAACTCAGTGCAACGACGTGCACCCTCTCAACTGTAACTTTATTTCACCTGGCTTTGTCTTGTCCTTGCTCTATGATTTCCTGGCTTTGTCTTGTCCTTGCTCTATGATTTCCTTGCTTTGTCTTGTCCTTGCTCTATGATTTCCTGGCTTTGTCTTGTCCTTGCTCTATGATTTCCTTGCTTTGTTTTGTCCTTGCTCTATGATTTACTGGCTCTTTGTCTTGTCCTTGCTCTATGATTTCCTGGCTCTTTGTCTTGTCCTTTCTCTATGATTTCCCAGCTCTTTGTCTTGTCCTTGCTCTATGATTTCCTGGCTTTGTCTTGTCCTTGCTCTATGATTTCCTTGCTTTGTCTTGTCCTTGCTCTATGATTTCCTGGCTTTGTCTTGTCCTTGCTCTATGATTTCCTGGCTTTGTTTTGTCCTTGCTCTATGATTTCCTGGCTTTGTCTTGTCCTTGCTCTATGATTTCCTTGCTTTGTCTTGTCCTTGCTCTATGATTTCCTTGCTTTGTTTTGTCCTTGCTCTATGATTTCCTGGCTTTGTCTTGTCCTTGCTCTATGATTTCCTGGCTTTGTCTTGTCCTTGCTCTATGATTTCCTTGCTTTGTTTTGTCCTTGCTCTATGATTTCCTGTCTCTTTGTCTTGTCCTTGCTCTATGATTTCCTGGCTCTTTGTCTTGTCCTTTCTCTATGATTTCCCAGCTCTTTGTCTTGTCCTTGCTCTATGATTTCCTGGCTTTGTCTTGTCCTTTCTCTATGATTTCCTTGCTTTGTTTTGTCCTTGCTCTATGATTTCCTGGCTCTTTGTCTTGTCCTTGCTCTATGATTTCCTGGCTCTTTGTCTTGTCCTTTCTCTATGATTTCCCAGCTCTTTGTCTTGTCCTTGCTCTATGATTTCCTGGCTTTGTCTTGTCCTTGCTCTATGATTTCCTGGCTTTGTCTTGTCCTTGCTCTATGATTTCCTTGCTTTGTTTTGTCCTTGCTCTATGATTTCCTGTCTCTTTGTCTTGTCCTTGCTCTATGATTTCCTGGCTCTTTGTCTTGTCCTTGCTCTATGATTTCCTGGCTCTTTGTCTTGTCCTTTCTCTATGATTTCCCAGCTCTTTGTCTTGTCCTTGCTCTATGATTTCCTGGCTTTGTCTTGTCCTTGCTCTATGATTTCCTGGCTTTGTCTTGTCCTTTCTCTATGATTTCCTTGCTTTGTCTTGTCCTTGCTCTATGATTTCCTGTCTCTTTGTCTTGTCCTTGCTCTATGATTTCCTGTCTCTTTGTCTTGTCCTTGCTCTATGATTTCCTGTCTCTTTGTCTTGTCCTTGCTCTATGATTTCCTGTCTCTTTGTCTTGTCCTTGCTCTATGATTTCCTGGCTTTGTCTTGTCCTTGCTCTATGATTTCCTGTCTCTTTGTCTTGTCCTTGCTCTATGATTTCCTGGCTTTGTCTTGTCCTTGCTCTATGATTTCCTGTCTCTTTGTCTTGTCCTTGCTCTATGATTTCCTGGCTTTGTCTTGTCCTTGCTCTATGATTTCCTGTCTCTTTGTCTTGTCCTTGCTCTATGATTTCCTGGCTTTGTCTTGTCCTTGCTCTATGATTTCCTGTCTCTTTGTCTTGTCCTTGCTCTATGATTTCCTGGCTTTGTCTTGTCCTTGCTCTATGATTTCCTGTCTCTTTGTCTTGTCCTTGCTCTATGATTTCCTGGCTTTGTCTTGTCCTTGCTCTATGATTTCCTGTCTCTTTGTCTTGTCCTTGCTCTATGATTTCCTGTCTCTTTGTCTTGTCCTTGCTCTATGATTTCCTGTCTCTTTGTCTTGTCCTTGCTCTATGATTTCCTGGCTTTGTCTTGTCCTTGCTCTATGATTTCCTGGCTTTGTCTTGTCCTTGCTCTATGATTTCCTGGCTTTGTCTTGTCCTTGCTCTATGATTTCCTGGCTCTTTGTCTTGTCCTTGCTCTATGATTTCCTGGCTTTGTCTTGTCCTTGCTCTATGATTTCCTGGCTTTGTCTTGTCCTTGCTCTATGATTTCCTGGCTTTGTCTTGTCCTTGCTCTATGATTTCCTTGCTTTGTTTTGTCCTTGCTCTATGATTTCCTTGCTTTGTCTTGTCCTTTCTCTATGATTTCCTGGCTCTTTGTCTTGTCCTGGCAGAATGTTTCTCACCTCATTGTTCTTGTTCTTGTTGCAAGCAAGCTACCTCATCCTTTAAAATCGCTAGTTGCAGATTGCAACTAGTCATTAACAGTTCTACAGTGATTTGGTCAAGGACTTATTCTTCATTGGGAAATGGAAGTCAAAAGAGTGAAGAAGGGGGGGGGGGGGGTGTTTTTATAATGGCTATGTACAGTTGTTGGTATTTAGATATTTATTGTATATTTTTACATTGAACGCAAGTATGGAATTATCGTCTGTAGTTTGGCATGCATAATTAACACACACAAGTTTGCAAGCTCCACTGGGAAGGCAACAGGTAGTGAGCATACATTGGATCTTTTCTCCAGACTGGTGTGGTGGGGAATGAGCAAGCAGAGAGATTGGCTGGATCTGCACCACTGGAAAGTGAATTGATACATGACAAGGCAATGGGAACAAGCAATGGAGTAAGAAGCGAAACAAGATTATTATGGCCTGGAGAGAATGAGACACCTGGGTGTGACCAGAGAGTCTGGCCAGCTCACTACACTCAGAGGAAAGGCAAGACGGATATATAACAAAATTATGACCGGTACTAATTAGTATTGGAACTCTGTGTTGGCTGCTGAAGATGAAGACGGAGCATGCATGGGAATGCCCCAAGTACTGTGATGTAAATTCTTAACTCAACTCAACTCAGGTAACACACACAAAATAAGATAAATAATAATAAATGATAATAAAATAATACGTGTCAAATTGCTAGATTATGGTATATAATCTCTTCTTCAGCTTCCAAGCCATTTAGATATCACACATGTCTATTCGTGACTGTGACTGGCTTTCTCTGTCTAGTTGGTGACTTCAAGTGTATGTAATGTCTGTTTGTATATGATCTTCTCTCCACCGTCTTCTTGGTTTGTCTGATGCCAGTAATTACTGGTGATTTTAACAGAAAATGAATTAGTTGTTGTTTCTCACTGTCCTATCTCTGCTGTTTGCATCTTTAATTCTGACTGATAGAAAATAATTGTCATGATTGTGTAATTTTCACACTTAATTTACTCACTAGCCTGAAAATATATGTGTCTTTGTAGCTCGGGAGGAAAGATACAAGATCTTTAACATCAAACCCTCCTCGGGAATCATCCAAGTGGTAGGGGATGTGCCCCCAAATATAGACTCCTACACACTCAACATCAGTGCTGTGGACGATGGCTCCTGTTGTGGGGGGACAGTCCAGCTGGAGAGTAAAGCCAGCTTTATCGTGGAGATTGTGGACTCTGTGAACCAGAAGCCCTTCTTCAAGGATTGTTTGGATTACTCACAGAAAGCTGCCTTCAACGAGGAGTCGGAGCCGGGCACACCTGTCATTCAGGTTAGGGCATGTTTGTTGTTGTTCACGTGAATCAGGGATCACATTGGATGTCTCTGTGGTGAAATGGTCAAGTTGTTTGCCTTATGCAGTGAAGGTCATAGGTTCATTTCATGGCTTTGCCATATAGTTCACAGGTGCACTTTTTAAGAAGATCTCTGGGGATCATCGCAGGAGCTATGGAGTTTGTGCTTTGTGCGGCACTCTCTGCAGGCAGCTAGCCATTCTGCATTTGGGATAAAACCTGGTGCACTGATGTCAGTCCTCTGTCAACTTTAAACTTTTCAGGTTTTAAATGAAATCCTTCCTTTGACTGTGCTGACTAACCAGGACGGATATCGTGATAAACAAATACCCAGTGAAGTTGGATTTATCGACCGAAAAGGGCTGTCATCTAGCCCAGTGGCTCTCATCCTTTCTAATGCTGCCACCCTTTAATGCAATTCCTCATGTTGTGGCAACCCCCACCATAGTTATTTTCGTTGTTACTTCATAACTTCAATGAATTTTCCCCAAATGGTTTTTGGCGACCCCTGTAAACGGCTCGTTTGATCCAAAAATAGGTTGAGAACCACTGATTTAGCCACATCAATTGAATTGTTGCCAGATAAGAGATTGACACAAATTTTATTGCTCTGTTTTCTCTAGTCTCTAATCAGCAAAATGTGAACTTCATGTTCTCGATTGAAAATATATTTGCCATTTCATTGCCTTCAACACTTAACACAGTCCAACACATTAGATCTACTTTCCTTAATTGGTACCGCAAGATTTTTTTTTCAGTAACAGTTAAGATGCAGACAATACACATTTGACATGGCTTTTTTGTTGTTGCCTGGCATATTTCAGTGTTCCTTGTCAGGTACATGACTACAGAATTTACATCGACACAAAATGAAGCTAAAGAATGAATAATTTTAACAGAAATGTGCGGATCACATAGTCCATTGTTAAAGAGTACATTCTTTTCTCACGCATGATCAGATTCAGAAAATGTCATGCACAAAACAGTTTCAAGCTTTGCATCCATTCACTGTGAGAGTTCTGTGACAGCTCACTATATAAGCCCACAATTATTAGCATTGTCTGTGAACCCTGGTCTTCACAGATGAGCTTAGGGTCTCTTAGTTTTCAACACACAGTATGGGGTTTATGTTTTATGTAAAGCAATCTAATAGTCTCCTTTGTTAAGTCTGGTTGCTGTAGTAATTTAAGTGATGGTTAGTAAGGATGCTTTCTTTTTCTTCTCAATATCTAGTTGTATGTATATGTAGATTAGTGTCTGAGTGTTGCATGGGGTGGCTAGTTTCAAGTCTTACTCTTTCAGCACTGCTTCATTTAAAAACTACTTTGCTGAATTGTGTTCTCTAACTGTTATCTGCAAGGAGGATTTTTAACGGGATGGAGAATTAGAGGTTGCTTGCAGATTTGTTGAGTGTCAGACGTCTGTCATTACTAGAGTAACTGAAGGCTGAACAGCTGTCATTGGTAGAGCATTTAAAAAAAAAAAATCATTGTTAGAGTAATTGAAAGCTGAACAACAGGCATTGGTGGAGTAATTAAAAGGCAGACAAAAATCAGGGGTAGAGTAATTGAAGGCTGAACAGCTGTTATTGGTAGAGTAATTGAGAGGCAGACAAAATTCAGTGGCAGAGTAATTGAAGGGTAAATAGCTGTTATTGACAGAGTGATTGAAAGGTGAACAGCTGTTATTGAGTAGTTGAAGGCTGAACAACTGTCATTAGTTAAGTAATTGAAGTGTGAACAACTGTCATTACTAGAGCAATTGAAGGGTGAACAACTATCATTGGTTGAGTAATTGAAGGGTGAACAACTGTCATTAGTTGAGTCATTGAAGGGTGAACAACTGTCATTGGTTGAGTCATTGAAGGGTGAACAACTGTCATTGGTTGAGTCATTGAAGGGTGAACAACTGTCATTGGTTGAGTAATTGAAGGGTGAACAGCTGTCATTGGTAGAGTCATTGAAGGGTGAACAACTGTCATTGGTTGAGTCATTGAAGGGTGAACAACTGTCATTGGTTGAGTCATTGAAGGGTGAACAACTGTCATTGGTTGAGTCATTGAAGGGTGAACAACTGTCATTGGTTGAGTCATTGAAGGGTGAACAACTGTCATTGGTTGAGTCATTGAAGGGTGAACAACTGTCATTGGTTGAGTCATTGAAGGGTGAACAACTGTCATTGGTTGAGTCATTGAAGGGTGAACAACTATCATTGGTTGAGTAATTGAAGGGTGAACAACTGTCATTGGTTGAGTAATTAAAGGGTGAACAACTGTCATTAGTTGAGTCATTGAAGGGTGAACAACTGTCATTGTTTGAGTCATTGAAAGGTGAACAACTGTCATTGGTAGAGTATTTGAAGGGCATACAGTAGTCACTGGTATATTGTGATATATTTATTATGCAGGTTTAAGTGATTACGTATAGACAACTCTCACTGATATATTGTGAGTTTTTGATTATTGACAGACAGCTCTTGCTGATATATTGTGATTGTTTGAGTGATTATAGAGGGGTAACTCTTGCTGATATATTGTGAATGTTTGAGTGATTATAGAGGGGTAACTCTTGCTGATACATTGTGATTGTTTGAGTGATTATAGAGGGGTAACTCTTGATGATACATTGTGATTGTTTGAGTGATTATAGAGGGGTAACTCTTGCTGATATATTGTGATTGTTTGAGGGATTTTGGAGGGGTAACTCTTGCTGATATATTGTGATTGTTTGCGTGATTATAGAAGGGTAACTCTTGCTGATATATTGTGATTCTTTGAGTGATTATATAGGGGTAACTTTTGCTGACATTGTGATTGCTTGAGTGATTATAGAGGGGTAAGGGTAACTCTTGCTGATATACTGTATATGTTTGACACAGGTTGTAGCAACTGACCCAGATCGGGGCTTGAATGGTGCTATTGACTATTCTATTGAATCACCTTCAACCGCGTTAGCAGATGCTCCTTTTGACATCGATCGAACCACAGGTCAGATTACAGTGAAGTCAAAGGTCAACAGGGAAACATTAGATAAAGACTTTATTCAGGTGAGAGATTGCTCTGTGGTTAGGCTATTGTTTCTTGTTAGTTTCTTTACTTTAAGTTAATCTTTTTTTAATTATTGACCTCTGGTAAGTATGGTGGATGGGCAGGCTAACTGTTTTTAGTTGTGTCAACTTTTTTGCTTCTGACAGTTATTAGCCGTTGCATTTTCCTACAGGTAAGCTGAAAGAATAGTTATTGAGTTGATTTCGTGACTCGAAACTGAGGATTTCACTTTGAATGCTTTTTTGACTGCTGAACATGGTTTGTGTTGTGAACTGCAGATTTGGAAAGTGGCGAATGGCCGTATGTGATTGACTGCATTTACAATTACCAAACATTATGCAAAGTTTATGTAATTGCATGCTTTCACTATGGCTTTTTGGAAAGCATAAACAGGCATGCAGTGACTATTATCATTCTTCAATTGCATATTGTGTTTCTGTTGCAGGTGACAGTGAAGGGATCTGACAAGGCACAGCCGCCACAGGAAGGTTGGTGCACCTTTCGTGTGGCCGTCCAGGATATCAACGATAATTCTCCAGTCTTCAACTCCCTGTCCTACAGCGAGAAGATCTCATCAAATGCTCAAGTCAACCGGGTAATTGTTCTCACTCAGATTTACTCACTGGAGTTTGTCTCCCCCTTTTTGTGTGTGTGGTCCATTAAAGAATATTGCTATGTCTGCCTGCTACTGTCATTGCTCTTGTTTTGTGTGTGGTCCATTAAAGAATATTGCTATGTCTGCCTGCTACTGTCATTGCTCTTGTTTTGTGTGTGGTCTATTTAAGGACATTGCTATGTCTGCCTGCTACTGTCATTGCTCTTGTTTTGTGTGTGGTCTATTTAAGGACATTGCTATGTCTGCCTGCTACTGTCATTGCTCTTGTTTTGTGTGTGGTCTATTTAAGGACATTGCTATGTCTGCCTGCTACTGTCATTGCTCTTGTTTTGTGTGTGGTCCATTTAAGGACATTGCTATGTCTGCCTGCTACTGTCATTGCTCTTGTTTTGTGTGTGGTCTATTTAAGGACATTGCTATGTCTGCCTGCTACTGTCATTGCTCTTGTTTTGTGTGTGGTCCATTAAAGAACATTGCTATGTCTGCCTGCTACTGTCATTGCTCTTGTTTTGTGTGTGGTCTAATAAAGAACATTGCTATGCCTGCCTGCTACTGTCATTGCTCTTGTTTTGTGTGTGGTCCATTAAAGAACATTGCTATGTCTGCCTGCTACTGTCATTGCTCTTGTTTTGTGTGTGGTCTATTAAAGAATATTGCTATGTCTGCCTGCTACTGTCATTGCTCTTGTTTTGTGTGTGGTCTATTAAAGAACATTCTTATGCCTGCCTGCTACTGTCATTGCTCTTGTTTTGTGTGTGGTCTATTTAAGGACATTGCTATGCCTGCCTGCTACTGTCATTGCTCTTGTTTTGTGTGTGGTCCATTAAAGAACATTGCTATGCCTGCCTGCTACTGTCATTGCTCTTGTTTTGTGTGTGGTCCATTAAAGAATATTGCTATGTCTGCCTGCTACTGTCATTGCTCTTGTTTTGTGTGTGGTCTATTAAAGAACATTCTTATGCCTGCCTGCTACTGTCATTGCTCTTGTTTTGTGTGTGGTCTATTTAAGGACATTGCTATGCCTGCCTGCTACTGTCATTGCTCTTGTTTTGTGTGTGGTCCATTAAAGAACATTGCTATGCCTGCCTGCTACTGTCATTGCTCTTGTTTTGTGTGTGGTCCATTAAAGAATATTGCTATGTCTGCCTGCTACTGTCATTGCTCTTGTTTTGTGTGTGGTCCATTAAAGGACATTGCTATGTCTGCCTGCTACTGTCATTGCTCTTGTTTTGTGTGTGGTCCATTAAAGAACATTGCTATGCCTGCCTGCTACTGTCATTGCTCTTGTTTTGTGTGTGGTCCATTAAAGAATATTGCTATGTCTGCCTGCTACTGTCATTGCTCTTGTTTTGTGTGTGGTCCATTAAAGGACATTGCTATGTCTGCCTGCTACTGTCATTGCTCTTGTTTTGTGTGTGGTCTATTTAAGGACATTGCTATGTCTGCCTGCTACTGTCATTGCTCTTGTTTTGTGTGTGGTCCATTAAAGGACATTGCTATGTCTGCCTGCTACTGTCATTGCTCTTGTTTTGTGTGTGGTCTATTTAAGGACATTGCTATGTCTGCCAGCTGCTGTCATTGCTCTTGTTTTGGGAGCATTACATTTGTATCTTGATAGTATTATGTTTGTATCTTGATTGTATATTTGTGTCTTGATAGTATAAAATGTGTATCTTGAGACCACTAGATATGAATCTTGAGAATATTACATTTGTTATCTAGAAAGGTTTTTTTTTTTAATCGTGACAAGAGTACTTTCCTACCATAAGACCATTGGTATCTTTGTATCATGAAAACCTGACATTTGTATCTTATTAACATTACATTTGTGTCTCAAAAATGATATTTATATCATGAGAACTTGACATTTGTATCTTAATAACATTACACTTGTGTATTGAACATGATCTTTGTATCACGAGAACCTGACATTTGTATCCTTATAATATTACACTTGTGTCTTGAACATGATGTTTGTATTATGAGAACATGACATTTGTATCTTAATAAAATTACTTGTGTCTTGAACATCATCTCTGTATCATGAGAACCTGACATTTGTATCTTAATGACATTACACTTGAGTCTTGAACTTGATGTTTGCATCATGAGAATCTGACATTTTACTCAAATAGGTGATCCTGCGTGTGGGAGCCACAGACAGAGACATCGGAGACAATGCTAAAATTGCCTACTCCATGGTTGAAGACGGTGGGGGGATATTTGGCATATACAAAGAGAACGGTCTCATTTTCCTCAAGTCTCCCTTGGCAGCTTCGGTAAGCGTTATTCTTGTTTGTCTGAATTCTACTCACAGAAAAGCACTCTGGCCTATTCAGACCTCAATAAAGACAAAGCTGGTACACAGGGAGATTTGGACTGCACAGTAGTAGCTTTCAGAAAGGCTACCGACATCCTGATGACACTTGGTTCTGACAGAAGGATTAAATAAGAATTTTGATTTTCTTGTTTTTGTTGACACATGTTGCGACTTCTGAATCCAGATTATGTTATATCAGTTGGTAGGATTAGTGGAAGAGTCCTTGTGTGGGTTCCATGACCCCATTTGTGTGTGGAGGAGGGGGGGGGGGGGGGTTGACCCACTGCCCCCTCAATATGCATGTCATGAGTTAAAAAGGACTAATTAATAGTTTGCTGAAATAACATGTCAGCTGCCTTCTTAAAGGCAGATGAGAAGAAGAAGTGCATCTGACTAGTTCCAGACAATTTACCATAAGTTTATTGAAGACATTCTTCTGTTTTGTTAATTCATCATGTCTGACTGTCTCTCGTGGCTGCATTAGTGAAACTTGATACTCTACACACTTTGGAATAGAAAATGTTGGAAGTCAAAAGTGTCTGGAACTGACAGAGATGAAACTTAGTCTTCCAGATTGTTCACCAGCCATCCACTGTTGGATAGATCAGTATCAGTGTAATCAACTGTCTTCTGAATAGGTCACATTTCATTGAAGATATCTAATACAGAGCTTCTGAATAGGTCACATTTCATTGAAGATATCTAATACAGAGCTTCTGAATAGGTCACATTTTATTGAAGATATCTAATACAGAGCTTCTGAATAGGTCACATTTCATTGAAGATATCTAATACAGAGCTTCTGAATAGGTCACATTTCATTGAAGATATCTAATACAGAGCTTCTGAATAGGTCACATTTCATTGAAGATATCTAATACAGAGCTTCTGAATAGGTCACATTTCATTGAAGATATCTAATACAGAGCTTCTGAATAGGTCACATTTCATTGAAGATATCTAATACAGAGCTTTTCATTGAAGATATCTAATACAGAGAAAAGACTGTGAAGGAAAAGAGTTGCTGAAAGGAATATTTTTTTTTTAAATGGACATTTGAAAAGTTTATGCCATATTAAAACATAAAACACTCTTGTAAAAATTACACTGGAGAGAAAGGGTGAAAGCAGACAAGCAAGGGAAAGACAGTGATACAAGTGGAAAGATTGGCCATGACATCTTCTACCCATCTTTAGTTCACCAGAAATGATTCTGACATATCTATTTATAAATGTAATGTTGTATTTTGTCCGCGCAGAGAACTGAGTACAATTTGTTAGTCAAAGCTCAAGACAATGGCAGCCCCCCTAAAGAAGCCACAGTGAGAGTCAAAATTGAAGTGGCCACTGAAACCAGCGAACCTCCCAAGTAAGTGCCAGCCTTTTGTAAGTTTAATTTGTCTGTAAAATGAGGAGCCAGACAACAGGAGTGTAGAAATAGAGGCGGGCCAAAAATAAACAAGCACACATAGACAATGGAGCTAGAGAGAAGTTTAAAAGATGGGGAGGATATGGAGAGAAATGCAATAGCATGAAATTAGAATGACTTGGCCTGAGTTGTATGCTCCACTAGAGGATAAAGGGCAGGAGCAGATGACTAGAGGAGCCACAGAAGCTCAGTGGCTAACATGCCAGCCTACCAAGCCCACATTATTTGTTTGAATCCATACCGAGACCACTTGTTTTGTTTTGTAACTTGCTGATGGATTTTTGACATGCACTCGGGATTCTGTGGTGTGTGTGTGTGAGTGCTTGAGTGCATGCATGAGAGAGAGTGTGTGTTAGACTCATACAGGTTTATCAGTTATCAAGTAGGTTTGAACCTGACCCAACCTCCACCAAATTACTCATCTATCAGTTACCATGTAGGCTTCAGCTCAACCAGGTACCTCTAAATTACTTACTCATACAAGTGTTTCTGTTACCTTGTGGGTTTAATTGTTATCCAAGATCACTAAATTACTCACACAATATCTGTTCCCATGTAGGTTTGAACCTGACCTGACCCCGCCAAATTACTCACACAATATTTGTTCCCATGTAGGTTTGAGCCTGACCCAACCTCACCAAATTACTCCTACAAGATTGCGGAGACGGTAATCCCTAACACCCAAGAGGCAATCATCACCACGCTGACTTGCCGCTCCAACATGCAGAACCCACGTGTGCAGTACTTCCTGGTGGACTCACGAGGTGTCCTGCAGTCGCAGCAGGCAGGTGCCTTTGCCATCACAGAGTACCAGCAGAACGGCCTGTTTAAGGTGGACGTCTCTGTGGCTCAGCAGTTGGATTATGAGAAGACGAGGCAGTACAGTTTAATACTACGTTGCCAGGTAAGACTTCTTATCAATCTTCCTGCTAGTGATTATGAGAAAGCCACAGGACTCTGTGGAGTGTGTGCTGCGACACATGTTCCACACAGCATTACAGGGAAAGATTGCATGGTGCTGTACTTTTTAGATTTGACTGTGACACCTTTTTGGTATATCTGTGCCTCCAACTTTAGAATTCTTTTTCGTTAGAATGAGCTTCTTCGAGGGACTGCTTTATCCCAGCTGATGAGCTCCATCTACTCGGCATATTTATTTTTATAAAAGGGAGGGGTAAGACTTCTCAGATTGGGCATTTTTAGTTGTCACTCAGTGTTCCTTCGGTCGTGTAGTGAGAAGAGAGGCATCGGAGAATATCATGGTGACTGGAACGTTCTGTGATTATAGAGACGGAGGCCGGCCAAGACAGATGATGGTGGATGGCCTGGTGGAATATCCTCAGTGGAACTAATTCAAAATACCAAAGACCAAGATCTGTTGTGAGACATGGCTGGGCACATGATGTGATGAAGATTTGTATTTCTGTTCTGTAGTAAAAACACAAAATGGTTAGAATAACTCCGAGTATCATCTGTTTAACCACAGGATTCTGTCATCTGTTAAACGGGGCTGAACAGTTTACAATCTTTAGACACAAGCCACCCTTTTCCATCTCATCAGGCATATTGGTAACTAGTGACCTGTGTTTTATAAACCAACCGGCACTCGGTTTGGGACGTGGTCGACATCAGGTTGCCGCCTTTACTTCCCAGGACTTTACCTGGTACCCATTTTAGGCTGGGTCAGCCTGGAAAGCAAAGTAATTTTTGAAAAACATTTTGCTCAGCCCAGATTTCAACCTACAACCTTCAGGCCTGAGGTGAGCATTTAGCTGATACAGCATGGTGGCTCCCCCTCCTTCTCTCCCCCCACCCCCATCCCCCAAAATTATAAATTCTTCTTCTTTGTATTCACCGGCTGTAAACTCTGGCGGAAGGTTCTGGTTGTTTGTCCACTTCTGGACTACAGTCCTAATTTAGAATCTGAGTGTTGCGTGTGCATTGTTTGACAGATTATAAACTCAATAATTACTATCTCATTACTTCTTCAACTTTTCATCACCCATTAAACTTTGACTTTGAACCAACTCACCCAAAGTACATGTTTTATTGAATGTTAAGTTAGCTTTACATAGGAAGTTTTAGCTGGTCACATGACAACTTTCCTGAGTTGCCTTTTATGACATGCATGGTGGGATACTATTGTACTATACTACGCTTCACGTATAGGCCTCCGTACACATACAAAATTATCTCTGCTGCTAGGATTGAAATATATTGTGTTTTCAGTTCTCAGACACATTTTGTGACAGCACATATGTAGATTTTCAACCCCTTCTGTTCATTGTTGCTATAGTTGTAAAGTTGTAACTGTCTGAGACAAAAAGAACATTCTGCTGGAGTTTACAGTCCGTGAACATGAAGAAGGAGGATATATATACCTAAGCTCACTTATGTTGCCCTCTGCGTGTGGTTTTGGAGCATCTCACTTTTGTCGGCTGCATTGCCACATTTCAGTGGCTGGAATAAAGTGATAATAGTCTCGGGCAAAAGGTATTTTTCACAGCTGAAACTATGCTTTACAGTATGTGTTGTCCTGAAATGAATTACTGGGGCATCCTTGATGCCTTTATGTGTTCCAATCTCTACTTTGTTAATACTCCATCTACGAGGGCCAGCTGTCTGTGTTTCAATTCTGTATCTAGGAGTTGCAGTCATTGTGTTACACTTGAAGATACTGATCATCAGGGGCATGGCAACGTGTCTAGGTGACTGGCCTAATGATCTGTGGTTTAACTCCTAGATTGATCAAGCCTATAAGTAGCATTAGGAAATGCATGGGAAGTAAAAGATGTAGACTTGATAATGACAGCATTACTTGTCGAGTGCTAGTTAGTGTATACAAATATATAGTATATCAATACAAATAGTTTTTTTTTAACAAATGTTTCTTTTGCCTATGAGTTGAAACTTATTGGATGACATAGTCACCTCAGTGATAAATCTCTGTTTTGAGAGAATCACATTTGCACATTAAGATCTCTGAAAAATCAAATAAAAATTGTGTAGTTGGATGTAGAAATTATGTTGTTTGGACCTTTTTGGAGTAGGAATTTACTTATGTGCCTTTGACATAGCCTATTGTAAAGTGACAACACCCCTGAAAATGCACTTAGGTGAAGGTCGCCAAATTTATACTTGGGCCTGGTGCCAGCATTTTTTTTCCAGTATATGACTGTATAACAATTGTATAACAACATAATTTCTCACAGTTTATAATTTTCTAACAAAATATCTTGTCAGATGAAATTTCAGAACAACTTTGTAAGTTCAATGACCAGTTCCATTCCTCACTTCTGGAAATGTAATCTTCCATTGTGATGTTGCAGAACTTTGGAGGACTGACCATGTATGAACAGATCACTCTGACCATTGATGTGGAAGACAGAAACAACAAAGTCCCATACTTTGAGGGCATGGACTCCAACGGACGCTACGCTGGAAGTGTGCCAGAAAATACTGGTGCCGGTGCCGCTGTAATTGAAGTCCAGGGCTATGATGATGATGTCAGAGAAGAGTTCAGAAATGTAATTTATATTTTATTTGTTAAATATTTGTTCCCATTGGATTATATTGTCAGTGAGTGGAGAATGTGGGGGTGGGGGGGTATTTCAGTCTGTTTTTCTCTGGCTTTAGTTTAATGAAAATCTCTTTTTGTGGAAGATAAATTGTGGAAACACTAGCAAGTATAAGTCAAGCAGACAAAAACATGAAATACAACAGTTTAGAGATCAAAGATGTGAAGAGGCATGATCACCCATACCAGTTGACAAAAACTTGATATTTAAAAAAATTAAGTCCCTCTGGGGCTACATGATGGGGGGGGGGGGGGGGACCCACTGCCCTCTAACAAGCATGGGGTGGGGGGGGGGTGTTTCTTTCAGAGTCGGAGCACATCTATCTGCCTGAGAGGCAGGGAATTAACACGCTGCATATAAATAAGCCAGATCTGTAAAACAGATGTGCCCACAGCACTCAAGTTCTTGAACAAGACTCAAAGTCCAGAAGGATGGCGGACAACCAGAACGTTCCGCTCAAAGTTTTACAGTCAGTGAACATGAAGAAGAAGAAACATATATTGAAGCTCCCTTATGTTGCCCTCTGTCTGCAGTTTTGTTTTGAAGCATCTCACATTTATCAGGCTGCATTGCCACCTTTCAGTGGCTAGAATAGTGAGATCATCTAACTGTGTGTGTTTGTGTGAGAGCATGTGTACATGTCCCCAGTGCTGTTATGTGACCTATGTTGACCCAGATTATCTGTAGATCAAGGATTACATTCCCTGTGTAGGTTTTTGGGCTCCTCTGTGGGAAGAACAAAGAATGTACTCCCAGCCCCCACAACGAGCTTGTCATAAGAGTCCACTAATTAGGGATGTTTCCTTCTAAGTCGCAGTGCGTCTGCCTGAGAGATGAGGAACCAACAGTCTGCATGCTAATAAGGCAGATCTGTAAACGGATGTACATGCAACACAGAGGTTCTGGAACACTTTGAGCATTTAATCCATAAGTACTCGAACCCCCTCCTCTGACATCAGTTCTATGTTGGTTTACTACTGTTCGTCTGTGATCTCCCACATACCACTTTTGTCTGGCTTCATCCTGTTTGTTGTTCTTATAGACTGATCATGATTGCAGAATCTTTGGGATTACTTCTTCTTATTCATGTTTACCGGCTGCAAACTTCAGTACAAAGTTTTGCTTGTTTGTCTATTCATTTTCTCACACACATTGGGTCTGGGATACATGGTTCTGTATAAGCAATTTGGGCCTGTTACATTATGAGCTCGGTCACAATGACAGGAGCCAGCCTTTGACAGCGTGACCTTTGATACCATCCACAGATCAGGTTTAAGTTGTCCGATGAGAGCTATCCTGGAGTGACCAACGACTTTGAGATCAAGAACCTGGCGGGCAACAAGGCAGCTATTATCACCAAGAGAGAGTTTGACAGGGAGAAGAACCCCCGCTACTTTCTCACAGTCACTGCTGATGATATCAGCCCCTCTGACAGGATCAACCACCGCCCACCTGGCACACCAAACACAGGTAAGGGACTCTTGTCCTGTGGGTTTTAGGCCTCCATTTTTGTGGGTGAGAGGAGTAGACCCACTGCACCCAGCAAGCCTGATGTATAAGGCGACTGATTGGTACATCTGTCACAGCCTTGCTGTGAACCACAACACAATGAACCAATGGCCATTTAAGAGCAAATGCAGAAGAAGATGTTGCTAGGATTTGTTGTTGTGCTTGTTAAGGGTTGTAGGGGACTTGTGACAGCAGGAAAGAAACCTCTCTCATTGTTGTGGTCAACTGGAACTATGGGATAAATGTGTGTGTCTGTTTAAGGTCAACTTTGAAGTCTGCGCAACATAACTGTCACATCCAAAACGAAATATTTCTGGTCTCTGCTTGTCATGTTTATGTGTCTACGTGAATATATGTCTACAATTTGTCTGTCGGTTATATATGTCTAACATCTGTCTTTATGTCTACCCTTTGTATATCTGTTTGCCGTTTGTCTGTATGTCTATTTGTTAGGGATTATTCTTGTTCATGCTATTTGCCTGCCTGTTTATGTCTGCTTTGTTGTTTATTTTTACCTATTTGTCTGTTTGCCTGCCTGCCTACCTGTCATTCTGTTTTGTCTGTCTTAAAATGTGCATGATTATCTTTTTATATAGTGTGTGTGTGTGTGTTATTAGTCTTTTTTTTTCTACTTCTTCAGCATTCCACTGTAGTATGTTAAATGTCCACATTTTTGGTCCTTAACTCTTCTGTTTGTCCATGTTCTTGTTTACCATTTTGTCTATTTACATATCTGTGACTCCATTTTTTTACTGCCTTGTTTTTCCTGTGTACAGCCTCCGTGGTTGTCCAAGTTGACATCACTGACAAGAATGACAACCCCATGACATTCAAACAACCGCTGTACAACCACACAGTTGCAGAGACTGCCAGTATTGGTACAGTTATCTTTGCAGTGACGGCTGATGATATTGACGAGGGTGAGTATATGTCATTCTAGCACCCGGCTGGATCATTTGTTTCATAGTAAAGCCGCCACAGGTATTACAGCTGTGTTCATCAGTGGTCAGGAGTGCATGGAACGGCTGTAATCACCCCTGACATTTTCTTTTCTATAGCCAAAGAACAAAAGGTTAAAGTTAAAAGTCGAGAGGATTGACTTAACTGCACCAGGTTTTATCCCATATGACTCTCCACAGAACAGCTAACCAACTGCTAAAAGCGCCGCACAGAACACAAACTCCGTAGCTCTGGAAAGAACAATTACTATTTATTATTAATGTTTACTGTTTAAAATCTAAAGACCTTCGGACCAACAGGCAAGCCTCTAGCCACTACACTACAGTAGCTCCAATATAATATGTCAGTAGTGTTATTTCCTGTGGCATTTTATGCACACAAGAATATTTTATTGAGTATGTCGGTGTGGTTGTTTGTGGCACTGACACACAACACTAAACATCCCAGTGTGGTGTTCTGTGGTATGGACACACAAACAGTAATCTTCCAATGTGATGTTGTGTTTCAGTTGATCAAGGCCGGCTCAAGTATAGTTTTATCAACAGTGATGAAATACCATTTGACATACGTGACCAGACAGGGGAGATAATTGTGGTTGGATTGCTGGACTACGAGAGTCATCAGAAGGTGAGAGTTAGCTTCCTTTGCAGGCAGGTTCCCTAAGTAATCTTATTGTCTGAAACCACAGTGAGCAGGTTTTAATACTGTTTGTCTCAGGCCTCCTTTTATTTCTCTTCCTTTATCACCCTCTCTTATGGGTCTTCTCCACTTCTCTTCCTCATCTGTCATTGTCTTTCTACACCACACTTACAGACTGGCTGGAATGTGGCCTAGATTGGTGATGTTTCATCTCAGGTTCCAGATATTTCATTGTCAACAAAATGCCAGGCCTAGTCTTATGATACAGGTATTGGATAATATTTACAATGTTTTTAAAATTAGAGAGAAGAAATGCAGTGAAGAATGAAACCAGCCACCCAGCCTTCCATACCTATAACTAGTGTATGTGACGATTTAACACTTAACAATATCCCAACCATCCTCAATCTGCATCGACTGGACTAGCCATGTGGCCTAACATGCTCAGTCCGTGTCAACTGCATAAGCCATGTGACCTAACATGCACAGTCCACGTCGACTGCACTAGCCATGTGACCCAACATGCACAGTCCACGTGGACTGCACTAGCCATGTGACCCAACATGCACAGTCCACGATGACTGCACTAGCCATGTGACCCAACATGCACAGTCCACATCGACTGCACTAGCCATGTGACCCACCATGCACAGTCCACGTTTGACTGCACTAGCCATGTGACCCACCATGCACAGTCCACGTTGACTGCACTAGCCATGTGACCCACCATGGACGGTCCAGGTTGACTGCACTAGCCATGTGACCCACCATGCACAGTCCACGTCGACTGCACTAGCCATGTGACCCACCATGGACAGTCCAGGTTGACTGCACTAGCCATGTGACCCAACATGCTCAGGCTTAAGACTTCCCTGTGCTACTGATTTTAGAATCAGTTTTTTCCCCATTCAAACTTTAAATAATGTAGACATAAAAACAAGGCACACTAGCATGCCCTTAGATGCTCCGTCTCCTAAATTGTCCGCCTCCTTAAAAAGTGGTACATACAGGCAATAAAGACAGTTCAAAACACCATTATCCTTTTTTAGATTTAAATAATTATGCGGACACAAATGCATTGCACACTTTATTGCCTGGCATATTTCGCTGTATCTCGTGGCTAATCTTGACTTTATGTTGGAGGGGTGTACGGTAACCTGACTGTGTGGTTTATGCATTTCGGCAAAAAAGATTCATATTTGTGCTTCATTAAACATTAATTTAACTCTGTTGCTGAAGATATTCAGTGAAATGTGCAGGGCAATACGTTATGTATTGTATTAGTTTTGTCCGCAGTATTTAAATGACTGTTTCTTTAATGCTTGACTCCATGAGTACCTGCCGTAGTGGTGCTTGAGTGTTGACCAAACTGGTATTTTTCAGGATTACTCCTTGATCCTGGAGTCTAGAGACAGCGATAACTTCTACTCTGCCACCACTACCATCGCCATCTACGTCACCGATGAGAATGACAACCTGCCAGTGTTTGGTCGCAGTGAGTATGTGATTGAGAACAAGGTCGTGGAGGAGGACACGTCTGTGTCCAAGGAAAATCCCATGGAACTAATTACGGTAAGTAGCAGGTTTTTGTGCAGTGTTTTTTTTTTTTTTTTTATCGATTCACTTTGCTTCACTGCACATCCGTTACCTCACAAACTTATTTCACAGTCCCTCAACTCGCAGTCCATCACTTCACAAATTCTCACCTCAAAGTCCTTCACCATACAGTTCCTCGCCTCATACCAATCCTATCCCACAAATATTCTTACCTCAGATTATTCACTGCACAATCCCTCAACTCATACACAGTCCCTTCCCACACACATTCTTACCTCAAATTCTTCACTGCACAATCCCTCAACTCATACACAGTCCCTTCCCACACACATTCTTACCTCATGTTCTTCACTGCACAATCCCTCACCTCATACACAGTCCCTTCCCACACACATTCTTAACTCGCATTCTTCAGTACACAATCCTTCACCTCATAAACTCACCTCACAATCCTTCACTGAAGAACCCCTCAGACATTTGTTCACTGCACAGCAATATCTCATCTCACAGTTGTTCCCTACACAATCCCTCATCTCACAATACTTACCTGAAAAATAATTCTTCATCTTTCTTAATTAACAAAGAGAATGAAGGATTGTTCTTGGAGGCTGTGTACATTTTCCATTTCTTATCAGGGCTCAAAGCAAACTTTAAAGCCTAGAAAGTAATAGACTTGTGTTTGAACTGTATATGATGAGGCCTTCTCCTCTCCTTCCTTCTCCAGGTGACAGCGACAGATGCCGACATCTCCCGCACCACAAACATGCGCTACAGGCTGCTGGGTGAAGGCACCGAGCCTGGCGACAGGCAGCTGTTCACCATCAATGAGAAGACTGGCCAGGTGTTTCTGGTGGCAGCTCTGGACAGAGATGAGCCTAATGGCAAGTCGGAGTACATTTTTACAGTGGAAGCCCTGGATGAAGACGAGGATCCACAGAAGGGATACACCAACATCAAAGTCAAGCCCCTGGATATCAACGACAACAAGCCCATCTTTGATGTTGACCGGTTGACTGGAGAAGTGTACGAGCATTCTCCTCCAGGTAACGTATTCTTTCTTAGATCTCAGAGTCTGTCACTGAGAAGTTTATAAGTATTCTCCTCCAGGTAACGTATTCTTTCTTAGATCTCAGAGTCTGTCACTGAAAAGTTTATGAGCATTCTCCTCCAGGTAACGTATTCTTTCTTAGATCTCAGAGTCTGTCACTGAGAAGTTTATAAGTATTCTCCTCCAGGTAACGTATTCTTTCTTAGATCTCAGAGTCTGTCACTGAAAAGTTTATGAGCATTCTCCTCCAGGTAACGTATTCTTTCTTAGATATCTCACTAAGAAGTGTATGAGCATTCTCCTCCAGGTGACGTATTCTTTCTGAGATCTCAGTCTTTCACTTAGAAGTGTATGAGCATTCTCCTCCAGGTAATGTGTTTTCTTAGATCTCAGAGTCTGTCACTGAGAAGTTTATGAGCATTCTCCTCCAGGTGACGTATTCTTTCTTAGATCTCAGAGTCTGTCACTGAGAAGTGTATGAGCATTCTCCTCCAGGTAGCGTATTCTTTCTGAGATCTCTCACTGAGAAGTTTTTGAGCTTTCTCCTCTAGGTGACGTATTCTTTCTTAGATCTCAGAGTCTGTCACTGAGAAGTGTATGAGCATTCTCCTCCAGGTAGCGTATTCTTTCTTAGATCTCTCACTGAGAAGTGTATGAGCATTCTCCTCCAGGTAACGTATTCTTTCTTAGATCTCAGTCTCTTACAGAGAAGTGTATGAGCATTCTCCTCCAGGTGATGTATTCTTTCTTAGATCTCAGTTTCTTACAGAGAAGTGTATGAGCGTTCTCCTCCAGGTAACATATTATTTCTTATATCTCAGTCTCTTACAGAGAAGTGTATGAGCATTCTCCTTCAGGTGACATATTCTTTCTTAGATCTCAGTCTCTCACTGAGAAGTTTATGAGCATTCTCCTCCAGGTAACGTATTCTTTCTTAGATCTCAGTCTCTTACAGAGAAGTGTATGAGCATTCTCCTCCAGGTAACGTATTCTTTCTTAGATCTCAGTCTTTTACAGAGAAGTGTATGAGCATTCTCCTCCAGGTGATGTATTCTTTCTTAGATCTCCGTCTCTTACAGAGAAGTGTATGAGCATTCTTCTCCAGGCGACATATTCTTTCTTAGATCTCCGTCTCTTACAGAGAAGTGTATGAGCATTCTCCTCCAGGTGATGTATTCTTTCTTAGATCTCCGTCTCTTACAGAGAAGTGTATGAGCATTCTTCTCCAGGCGACATATTCTTTCTTAGATCTCAGTCTTTTACAGAGAAGTGTATGAGCATTCTCCTCCAGGTGATGTATTCTTTCTTAGATCTCAGTCTCTCACTGAAAAGTGTATGAGCATTCACAGCTGTGTAGAACTATGAATGATAACTCGCTAGAATTATAATTGAGAATTAGGAAATTCTCAGAAGGAACTGAAAACTGTAAATAAGAATTAGAATAATGTTAATGAGAACTGTAGAGGATTAGATTGTACTTGAGAATCTTCAACAAGAATTGAAAAATTATAAATGCAGATTAAAGAAGCGTCAAGAACTGTAGAGGATTGTACGTGAGAATCGTCAACAAGAATTGAAAAATTATAAATGCAGATTAAAGAAGCGTCAAGAACTGTAGAGGATTGTACATGAGAATCGTCAACAAGAATTGAAAAATTATAAATGCAGATTAGAGAAGCGTCAAGAACTGTAGAGGATTGTACATGAGAATTACAGAATTGTTAACTGGAATTTCGATAATTGTCTGCAAGAACTTTAGAAAATTGTCAGTAAGGCTCCTAGAGAATTATCAATGAAATTTTCAAAATTATAAAAAAGAATAAAAGAGTTGTTAAAAAAAAAAGAGAAATTTTGCTATGAAATTTAGAGAATTGGCAATGAGAATCATTCAGCAGATTTGTTGGTTATTTGTTCGCAGGTTGGTTTTGCCCAATCAGAGACCACTGTCCTGTCATCGCCGTGGTGATCACTAATGACTTTGACTTCATGGAGAACGCCTCCGTGGACTACGAGATTGTCAGCAGCCCCAGCACAAACTCCCACAGTCCTACCACAAACTTCTTCAACATCGACCCAGAGGGCAGGATCTTCTCACAGGTGGATCAGCAGTACCTGGACCGAGAGACCAGACCCAAGCTAGAGGTAGTGATTCGAGCCAAAGATCGAGGGCCGGAGCCTCAGACATCAACTGCCACTGTGACGATCATCATCAAGGATATCAATGATAACTCCCCAGTATTTACTCAGAGAGTCTACAAGTGAGTCAGCACTTTCTTTTATCTGTGTACATTTGCTGACAGTTTCTCGAGGCCCTAGAGTTCTACAGAAGAATGTTTCCCCTGTTGTATGGGTTATAAGACAAGAATAGACCGACTGCCCCCCCCCCCCCCCCCACACACACACACCCTTTTCCACCTCAAACATGTGATAAGGGTTGACTAATTGGTGGGGGGGGGGGTGCTTTGGGTGTCGTATATCTGCCTGAAAGGCACGGAACCAATAGTCTGCTTACAAATAAGCAGATCTGTAAAAGTTTAGGAACCAGATTTAAAGTCCAGAAGTGGACGAACTTACAGAACTTTCGCTGGAGTTTACAGCTGGTCAAGCTTAAGATAAAAGTAAAAAAAAAAAAACTTCCTCGTTTGGGGTGACAGGTTCAATTCCTGGTATAGTAAGTAGCTATAGCTTTAAACTTATATGTTATCTAGTGAGTCCTTTCATCTTTCTACTTCTTTGTGTTGGTCCTCATCTGTTGTGTAGATGCCTCGTTTGGGGCCCTGATACTTGGGTCTGTAGCTTTTTTTAGCTGTTTCTTCTGTATGTTCCAGGGAGCAATAGAAATGTTATGTGCCAGACTATCAAAACTATACACTTTATATGTATACAGTAGAATAGACTCATTACTAGACACTAGACGTATGAAAAGCGTTATACAGTAGAACAGACTCATTACTAGACACTAGACATATTATAAGTGTTATACTGTAGAACAGGCTCATTACTAGACACTAGATATATGATAAGCGTTATACAGTAGAATAGACTCATTACTAGACACTAGATGTATGATAAGCGTTATACAGTAGAATAGACTCATTACTAGACACTAGATATATGATAAGCGTTATACAGTAGAACAGACTCATTACTAGACACTAGACATATTATAAGCGTTATACAGTAGAATAGACTCATTACTAGACACTAGATGTATGATAACCGTTATACAGTAGAACAGACTCATTACTAGACACTAGATGTATGATAAGCGTTATACAGTAGAATAGACTCATTACTAGACACTAGATATATGATAAGCGTTATACAGTAGAACAGACTCATTACTAGACACTAGATGTATGATAAGCGTTATACAGTAGAATAGACTCATTACTAGACACTAGATGTATGATAAGCGTTATACAGTAGAATAGACTCATTACTAGACACTAGATATATGATAAGCGTTATACAGTAGAATAGACTCATTACTAGACACTAGACGTATGAAAAGCGTTATACAGTAGAACAGACTCATTACTAGACACTAGACATATTATAAGTGGTATACTGTAGAACAGGCTCATTACTAGACACTATATATATGATAAGCGTTATACAGTAGAATAGACTCATTACTAGACACTAGATGTATGATAACCGTTATACAGTAGAACAGACTCATTACTAGACACTAGACATATATATAAGCGTTATACAGTAGAACAGACTAGTTTCTCTAGAAACTAGACATGTGATAAGCATTATACAGTAGAACAGACTCATTACTAGACACTAGATGTATGATAAGCGTTATACAGTAGAATAGACTCATTACTAGACACTAGACGTATGATAAATGTTATACAGTAGAACAGACTAGTTTCTCTAGAAACTAGACATATGATAAGCATTATACAGTAGAACAGACTTATTACTAGACACTAGACGTATGATATGTGTTTTACAGTAGAACAGACTCAAAACTAGAAACTAGACATATGAAAAGCATTATACAGTAGAACAGACTCATTACTAGACACTAGACGCATGATAAGCGTTATACAGTAGAACAGACTCATTACTAGAAACTCCTTCAAAGTGAGTGCATCTGCCTGAGAGGCAAGGAACCAACAGTCTGCACACACATGAGTCAGATCTGTCAAACGGATGCACACGCAACACTCAGATTCTGGAACAGGACTGCAGTCCAGAAGTGGACGAACAACCAGAACTTTCCACCAGAGTTTACAGCTGGTGAACGCAGAGAAGAAGAAAAGAAGATTACTAGAAACATATGATAAGCGTTATACACCAGGCAGCCAGAAATCAGAAATAGAAACTATATGTTCCCAGTGTGACGATGTCCGAACATTTCAAAGAAGGTATTGTGACGGAAGTGCATGCGACAGACAGAGATGAGAACGATAACGCTGAGCTTCAGTTCTCCATGTCAGAGAGGGTGGCAGCTGGAGGTCACTTCAAGGTGGACACCATCGAAAACAAGGGGGCCATTTCCATTTACCAGGTATGACTTTGTTGGTTGTGTGCTTCATGTTTGGCTGAGAAACTACCAATAACAGGGATATCATTTGGTCTAACATGTGGGTTTTTTTTTTTATTGCGTGCTTAGTTGGTCATGTTTTTAGTACACCTGTTTCTATAGCAAGGTGCTCACACCATGTGGAGGTGACAGGTTTGATTGCAGCTTGTCTGTTTATTATATATGTAATATTAGTTTTATTGGCTGAGAAATCCTGTTTTGGTTTCAAGGCCCTTTTGTGGGTTCCAAGGCCCTGTCATAGGTTCTAAGGCCCTGTTGTGGGTTCCAAGGCCCTGTTGTGGGTTCCAAGGCCCTGTTGTGGGTTCCAAGGCCCTGTTGTAGGTTCCAAGGCCCTGATGTGGGTTGCAAGGCCCTGTTGTGGGTTCTAAGGCCCTGTTGTGGGTTCCAAGGCCCTGTTGTGGGTTCCAAGACCCTGTTGTGGGTTCCAAGGCCCTGTTGTGGGTTCCAAGACCCTGTTGTGGGTTCCAAGGCCCTGTTGTGGGGAAAACAGGAGTAGACCCACTGCCTCCCCCAACAGGCATGTCGTAGGAGTCATCTCATTGGGGCCTTCTTTCAAAGTTGGACTCCATCTGTCTGAGAGGCAAGGAACCAGTCTGCATAGAAATAAGTCACATCTGTAAAATGCACGTGCATGCAGCACTAAGGTTCCAGAACAAGACCGAATAAAGTGCAGGATGAACAACCAGAACTTTCTTCTGGAGTTTACAGCCGGTGAACCTGAAGAAGAAAGAAGATTGGCTGTGAATCAACCAGTAACAGAGAGTTTGCTTTTTGTTGTTGTAGTGACTGCTTTGAATAAGGTCATAAGAGAAAGTCGACATGGAACCATAAATTATACACATAATAAAATAAACTTCCCAGGGCATTACATTGCCTTATACTCATTTTAGGCTGAGTTGACCATGAAGCCAGGATGACTTTTAAAACAAATTTGACACGATGCGGATTTGAATCCTAGACCTAGACATAGAGACAATAAATAAAGTAGCTTGCCCGTATAAAATGTCTTGTGATGCCATACTATATAAGACATGTACCAACAGAGGAAAGAGTTGTAGATCCTGAGGTAGACCAAGAATACGTGGACAGATAACATCAGGAAAACTGTATCTTGTCTATAGTTGAGCAAAAACAGAGCCTTTTATGCTTCACCACACGAATTGGTTAAAGGAGGATAGAAGATGACTGCTTTGATCTTTTTCTTTTTTTCTGCATTTCATCTCTGAGTCGACATAAGCTTTCAACCCACTCATAACAAACTATTTGTAGTTGTAGACTTGTTTGTGCTTGACTGGATTTTGTTTTTGTTTTTTGGTCCAGACACCATGAGTTGTAAATCCTTTGGCTCAATACTATAGATATCGCAACCCTTCGGCCTTGATTCCATGATGGATATCGTAAATCTGGGAGATATGTGGCTTTTCGGCCTTCCCACTGAGAACAAACGTGTACAAAAAATATATTTTTTGGAAAATTTCTTTGATTGTGTTTATTAGTTCTTTGATTAAATATCTGTGTTTTGCGAATTAGTTCTGTGATTATATGTCTGTTTCTTAAAATTAATCCTCTAATTATATGTTTGTTGTAGATTAGTTCTCTGCTTGTCTGTATGTTGTGGATTAGTTCTCTGATTGTCTGTGTTTTATTGATTAGTTTTCTGGTTATCTGTATTTTGTTGGTAAGTTCTCTGATTGTCAGTGTTTTGTGGATTAGTTCATGGATTTTCTGTGTTTTGTGCATTAGTTCTATGATTTTCTGTGTTTTGTGCATTAGTTCTTTGATTATCTATGTTCATAGATTAGTTCTCTGATTTACTTTGATTTGTTGACCAGCCTGTTGACTATGAAACCCTAACCAACCCAGTATTTGAGCTGGAGGTTCGTGTCCGAGACAAAAACCCATCTCACTTTGACACGGCTATTGTACGCATCACAGTGGAAGACTTCAATGACAATGCCCCCAAGTTCACAGACGAGTTTATATCTGTGTAAGTTTACTTCAGCTGTTTTACTTGTTGGGCGTAATTATTTTGATGTTGGGGATCATTTTTATTTTATGGTTTATTCTTTATTTAAAACTTGAGAAATACATTTAAATAAAATGTTGAATTAAGATTCAACATTACAGCACTCAGGACACTCCCGTAAATGCTCAGTCCCAATCTTCAGCAGAAAGCGAAGAGTTCCAATTCTGATGGTATTTAGTTAAAAAAAAAATTTCATATGCCATGCAGTAAATTGTCTAGTCTATTGTTTCCTTTGTTCAAATAAATTTTGCATTTATTTTGCTCTTATTACTTACTATTAGAGTCATACTAGATAATTCCTTGCATTGAACTGCTTTTTCAAAATGGACACGATTATGACAGCTCTATGAAAACTGATGAGATTGTAACAGTTCTATGAAAAACTGATGAGATTGTGACATCATCATGTAGCAGGTCCTTTGCAGAACGTCACTCTCATCACAGTCTGCCTGAAAGAAACTCGGTCTCTCGCCAGTTCTCCCACCTCATGAACATTCACACTTAAGGAGTCACTTATAACCTGTGCCCATCTTCATGTCGGTCGGCTCCTGCCCCTCCTTCCTGGTACATTGCCTTCTGCTATAATTTTTTCCAATCCGTCGTGCTTGATATGACCAAAATATTTCAGCTTTCGAGAAAGGATGCTGTTTATTAGCCAATCTTCCTTGATGTTTAGATCTTTTAAGATGTCAATATTTCTCATCTTCTTTGTCCAAGATATTCTGAGAATCTTTCTATAGCATTTCAGCTCAAAAGCCCCTATTCTTTTTCTTAAGGACTGAGAGATAGTCCATGACTCACATCCGTATATAGCTACAGGGAAGATGCATGCTCTCAAAATTCTAATTTTTATCTCCTTGCTGGTGCTTAACCATAGACCTTTAAGGCTGTTCAATCTTTGCATTGCTATGGCCATCCTCCTTTTAATTTCTGTCAAAGTCTCCATTGCTATTTGTTATAGAGCCTAGATATTCAAAGTTTGTGACATTTTCAATTTCTTCATCTATTGTTATTTTTGGGTGACAGCCAGTTTTTTCTGTGGAGATTATTTTCGTTTTCTTTAAATTCAAGAACAGATTTTGAGAATGTGACAGTTCTATTAAAAACTGATGAGATTGTGACAGTTCTATGAAAACTGAAGAGATTGTGACAGTTCTATGAAAACTGAAGAGATTGTGACAGTTCTATGAAAACTGAAGAGATTGTGACAGTTCTCTGAAAACTGAAGAGATTGTGACAGTTCTATGAAAACTGATGAGATTGTGACAGCTCTATGAAAGCTTACGAAGTTGTGATTTTCTGTGAAAGCTTACGAAATTGTGACTGTTCTGTGAAAACTGGCAAGACTGACAGTTCTATGAAAACTGATGAGATTGTAACAGTTCTAGAAGTGATGAAATTGGGACAATTTTGTCTATACTGACAAGATGACATTTTCCAATGTTAGGACTGTGGAAGAGAACAACGAACCAGGGGAGTTGCTGGCAAAGTTCCACGCCCAGGACTTGGACTCTGGAATCAATGCTGAGTTCAGGTGAGATTGTTAGAAATTGTGAGTTCAGGTGAGATTGTTAAAAATTGTGAGCGCAGGTGAGATTGTTAGAAATTGTGAGTTCAGGTGAGATTGTTAGAAGTTGTGAGATTGTTAGAAATTGTGAGTTCAGGTGAGATTGTTAGTAATTGTGAGTTCAGGTGAGATTGTTAGAAATTGTGAGCGCAGGTGAGATTGTTAGAAATTGTGAGTTCAGGTGAGATTGTTAGAAATTGTGAGTTCAGGTGAGACGGTTAGAAATTGTGAGTTCAGGTGAGATTGTTAGAAAATGTGAGCGCAGGTGAGATTGTTAGAAATTGTGAGTTCAGGTGAGATTGTTAGAAATTGTGAGCGCAGGTGAGATTGTTAGAAATTGTGAGATTGTTAGAAATTGTGAGCGCAGGTGAGATTGTTAGAAATTGTGAGTTCAGGTGAGATTGTTAGAAATTGTGAGTTCTAGTGAGATTGTTAGAAATTGTGAGTTCAGGTGAGATTGTTAGAAATTGTGAGTTCAGGTGAGATTGTTAGAAATTGTGAGTTCAGGTGAGATTGTTAGAAATTGTGAGTTCAGGTGAGATTGTTAGAAATTGTGAGTTCAGGTGAGATTGTTAGAAATTGTGAGTTCAAGTGAGATTGTTAGAAATTGTGAGTTCTAGTGAGATTGTTAGAAATTGTGAGTTCTAGTGAGATTGTTAGAAATTGTGAGTTCAGGTGAGATTGTTAGAAATTGTGAGTTCAGGTGAGATTGTTAGAAATTGTGAGTTCAAGTGAGATTGTTAGAAATTGTGAGTTTAGGTGAGATTGTTAGAAATTGTGAGTTCTAGTGAGATTGTTAGAAATTGTGAGTTCTAGTGAGATTGTTAGAAATTGTGAGTTCAGGTGAGATTGTTAGAAATTGTGAGTTCAGGTGAGATTGTTAGAAATTGTGAGTTCAGGTGAGATTGTTAGAAATTGTTAGTTCAAGTGAGATTGTTAGAAATTGTGAGTTCAGGTGAGATTGTTAGAAATTATGAGTTGGGGTGAGATTGTTAGAAATTGTAAGCGCAGGTAAGATTGTTAGAAATTGTGAGTTCAGGTGAGATTGTTAGAAGTTGTGAGATTGTTAGAAATTGTGAGTTCAGGTGAGATTGTTAGTAATTGTGAGTTCAGGTGAGATTGTTAGAAATTGTGAGCGCAGGTGAGATTGTTAGAAATTGTGAGTTCAGGTGAGATTGTTAGAAATTGTGAGTTCAGGTGAGATTGTTAGAAATTGTGAGTTCAGGTGAGATTGTTAGAAATTGTGAGTTCAAGTGAGATTGTTAGAAATTGTGAGTTCTAGTGAGATTGTTAGAAATTGTGAGTTCTAGTGAGATTGTTAGAAATTGTGAGTTCAGGTGAGATTGTTAGAAATTGTGAGTTCAGGTGAGATTGTTAGAAATTGTGAGTTCAAGTGAGATTGTTAGAAATTGTGAGTTTAGGTGAGATTGTTAGAAATTGTGAGTTCTAGTGAGATTGTTAGAAATTGTGAGTTCTAGTGAGATTGTTAGAAATTGTGAGTTCAGGTGAGATTGTTAGAAATTGTGAGTTCAGGTGAGATTGTTAGAAATTGTGAGTTCAGGTGAGATTGTTAGAAATTGTGAGTTCAAGTGAGATTGTTAGAAATTGTGAGTTCAGGTGAGATTGTTAGAAATTATGAGTTGGGGTGAGATTGTTAGAAATTGTAAGCGCAGGTAAGATTGTTAGAAATTGTGAGTTCAGGTGAGATTGTTAGAAGTTGTGAGATTGTTAGAAATTGTGAGTTCAGGTGAGATTGTTAGTAATTGTGAGTTCAGGTGAGATTGTTAGAAATTGTGAGCGCAGGTGAGATTGTTAGAAATTGTGAGTTCAGGTGAGATTGTTAGAAATTGTGAGTTCAGGTGAGACGGTTAGAAATTGTGAGTTCAGGTGAGATTGTTAGAAAATGTGAGCGCAGGTGAGATTGTTAGAAATTGTGAGTTCAGGTGAGATTGTTAGAAATTGTGAGCGCAGGTGAGATTGTTAGAAATTGTGAGTTCAGGTGAGATTGTTAGAAATTGTGAGCGCAGGTGAGATTGTTAGAAATTGTGAGTTCAGGTGAGATTGTTAGAAATTGTGAGCGCAGGTGAGATTGTTAGAAATTGTGAGTTCAGGTGAGATTGTTAGAAATTGTGAGATTGTTAGAAATTGTGAGTTCAGGTGAGATTGTTAGAAATTGTGAGTTCAGTTGAGATTGTTAGAAATTGTGAGTTCAGGTGAGATTGTTAGAAATTGTGAGTTCAGGTGAGATTGTTAGAAATTGTGAGTTCAAGTGAGATTGTTAGAAATTGTGAGTTCTAGTGAGATTGTTAGAAATTGTGAGTTCTAGTGAGATTGTTAGAAATTGTGAGTTCAGGTGAGATTGTTAGAAATTGTGAGTTCAGGTGAGATTGTTAGAAATTGTGAGTTCTAGTGAGATTGTTAGAAATTGTGAGTTCAGGTGAGATTGTTAGAAATTGTGAGTTCAGGTGAGATTGTTAGAAATTGTGAGTTCAGGTGAGATTGTTAGAAATTGTGAGTTCAGGTGAGATTGTTAGAAATTGTGAGTTCAAGTGAGATTGTTAGAAATTGTGAGTTCAGGTGAGATTGTGAGTTCAGGTGAGATTGTTAGAAATTGTGAGTTCAGGTGAGATTGTTAGAAATTGTGAGTTCAAGTGAGATTGTTAGAAATTGTGAGTTCAGGTGAGATTGTTAGAAATTGTGAGTTCTAGTGAGATTGTTAGAAATTGTGAGTTCTAGTGAGATTGTTAGAAATTGTGAGTTCAGGTGAGATTGTTAGAAATTGTGAGTTCAGGTGAGATTGTTAGAAATTGTGAGTTCAGGTGAGATTGTTAGAAATTGTGAGCACAGGTGAGATTGTTAGAAATTGTGAGCGCAGGTGAGATTGTTAGAAATTGTGAGCGCAGGTGAGATTGTTAGAAATTGTGAGTTCTAGTGAGATTGTTAGAAATTGTGAGTTCTAGTGAGATTGTTAGAAATTGTGAGTTCGGGTGAGATTGTTAGAAATTGTGAGTTCGGGTGAGATTGTTAGAAATTGTGAGTTCAGGTGAGATTGTTAGAAATTGTGAGTTCAGGTAAGATTGTTAGAAATTGTGAGTTCAAGTGAAATTGTTAGAAATTGTGAGTTCAGGTGAGATTGTTAGAAATTGTGAGTTCAGGTGAGATTGTTAGAAATTGTGAGTTCAAGTGAGATTGTTAGAAATTGTGAGTTCAGGTGAGATTGTTAGAAATTGTGAGTTCAGGTGAGATTGTTAGAAATTGTGAGCGCAGGTGAGATTGTTAGAAATTGTGAGCGCAGGTGAGATTGTTAGAAATTGTGAGCGCAGGTGAGATTGTTAGAAATTGTGAGCGCAGGTGAGATTGTTAGAAATTGTGAGATTGTTAGAAATTGTGAGTTCAGGTGAGATTGTTAGAAATTGTGAGTTCTAGTGAGATTGTTAGAAATTGTGAGTTCAGGTGAGATTGTTAGAAATTGTGAGTTCAGGTGGGATTGTTAGAAATTGTGAGTTTAGGTGAGATTATTAGAAATTGTGAGTTCAGGTGAGACGGTTAGAAATTGTGAGTTCAGGTGAGATTGTTAGAAATTGTGAGTTCAAGTGAGATTGTTAGAAATTGTGAGTTCATTTGAGATTGTTAGAAATTGTAAGCGCAGGTGAGATTGTTAGAAATTGTGAGTTCAGGTGAGATTGTTAGAAATTATGAGTTGAGGTGAGATTGTTAGAAATGATGAGCGCAGGTGAAATTGTTAGAAATTATGAGCGCAGGTGAGATTGTTAGAAATTATGAGCGCAGGTGAGATTGTTAGAAATTGTGAGTTCAGGTGAGATTGTTTGAAATTGTGAGTTCAGGTGAGATTGTTAGAAATTGTGAGTTCAGGTGAGATTGTTAGAAATTGTGAGTATGGGTGTGATTGTTAGAAATTGTGAGCGCAGGTGAGATTGTTAGAAATTGTGAGTTCAGGTGAGATTGTTAGAAATTGTGAGTTCAGGTGAGATTGTTAGAAATTGTGAGTTCAGGTGAGATTGTTAGAAATTGTGAGTTCAGGTGAGATTGTTATAAATTGTGAGCGCAAGTGAGATGGTTAGAAATTGTGAGTTCAGATGAGGTTGTTAGAAATTGTGAGTTCAGATGAGGTTGTTAAAAATTGTGAGCGCAGGTGAGATTGTTTGAAATTGTGAGTGCAGGTGAGATTGTTAGAAATTGTGAGTTCAGGTGAGATTGTTAGAAATTGTGAGTTCAGTTGAGATTGTTAGAAATTGTGAGTTCAGGTGAGATTGTTAGAAATTGTGAGTTCAGGTGAGATTGTTAGAAATTGTGAGTTCAGTTGAGATTGTTAGAAATTGTGAGTTCAGGTGAGATTGTTAGAAATTGTGAGTTCAGGTGAGATTGTTAGAAATTGTGAGTTCAGGTGAGATTGTTAGAAATTGTGAGTTCAGGTGAGATTGTTAGAAATTGTGAGTTCAGGTGAGATTGTTATAAATTGTGAGCGCAAGTGAGATGGTTAGAAATCTTGAGTTCAGGTGAGATTGTTAGAAATTGAATATACATGAGTTTACTGTGTTAAAGAATCATAAGACTGAGGAGAAACTTGTGAAGTTGCGTTTATATGGATGTACAAAGTCTGTTATCATGAGATCCTAACCATCATCCCCTCTAGGAATTCACTTCTGTGTTATGTTATCCACATCACTACACATCTGTTTTATGTTATCGTCATCACTACACACTGGGCATCCCTGTGCATGCTTAGTTCCTCTGAAGCAGCAGCCACTTCAAGATACCTCTACTGATTATTCCCATGAAGAGCTGGTTATAAAATTTTCTGTCTTTACCTCAAAGATGGCATAGATGTGCTTCACTCTTCTTTACCCTTCCCAGGTCACGCAGTCGTATTGGTGTCAGAAACTTGTTATTATCCACTGGCCCAGTGCGCACAGCATTGATGATATCGGCTCTGACCATGTTTCTTCCCACATGCGTTGGTGTGTTGAATATGCTGTTTAAGCTCCTAGTTGAACATGGTCAGACTAGGATGGCAGCAAGTTGAAATAAATTGATCTCTTCTGGTTAAGTTCCTAGTTAATTGTGGACTGACTAGGACGGCATCAAGTGTAGATAAATTAATGTTTTTGGCAAAAAGTAATCTTTTTTTTTTCAGTCGACTAACTGGGGACTTCTTCTGAAGTCAGAGTGCATCTGCTTGAGAGGCAAGGAGTAGCCAGACTGCATAAAAATGAGTCACATCTGTAAAATGGATGTGCACACAAGACTCAGGTTCTGGAATGTCCAGGTGTGGACCGACAGCCAGAACTTTCCGCTTTAGTTTACAGCCGGTGAACGTAAAGAAGAAGAAACAGAAAAAAAAAGCTCAGAGGATACTGTTCCGTCATTAACATGCAAATTAAACTCCACATGATGGTCACCTGGCCTTTTACCCTCTTGCTCAAAGGAGCCACAAAACTGAAACTTATGGTTGGGGTCAAATCCTTGTAAATATAACTCATCCAGCTTGTGTGTAGTGACCTTTTTACCAGACCTAGTTAATGCTAATGGCTATATTCACACCTTTGCAAACGTTTTTTTTAGGTCATGATGTGAATTGATTGGGGAGGGGGGGGGGGGGGGGTGTCCCCACCATGATGTCAAATTTACCTGTAAACCTTAGTGATAAAGGTCATAGGATCACTGCAGGATTCCCCTGATATGTTTTGGTTTTCTAGTTTCCTGGGAGTGTATTCCATTTAATTCTTCACTCTGTACATGATTATTGATAAATAGATCTGTATTTAGAAAGCAAAATGTTAAATGTAGCTTTTTTATCTTCTTCTAGTTTGTTTATTGACCAGTGTAAAATTCTTTTTAAGAGAATTCTCACAGGGTCATGACCCATTGTTTTTAGGGCTACCAGGGCAAAAGGGTTAATAGTTGAGTTTGTGAAAGCTCACTGCTTCTCTTTTATTTTTATGTTGTTTGTGAATTTCAAGCTGTGTTTTTATGTTTGACCAGTGTAGATACTTTCTTTTTTTTTGCAGCTATTATATTGATAGAGAGTCGGACCCTCGGCATGAGTTTATGATTGATCCAGTGACTGGGGTGGTCAGGACTCGCAAGAAGCTGGACCGGGAGGTGGAATCCAAGCTGACCATTCGTATCAAAGCTGTGGACAAAGGTAACTGGTCAGTTAGCAGTAGAAGTTAAGACACAGAGCAAAAATTCAAGAATGGCACACCTTAACCTCTCTAATTCCATGGTAGCAAATTGAATGCCTGGTCTTCTCAAACAAGGATGTACATTTTTGTATATCTTAACCCTTTTGCTGCAAGTAGCCACAAAAGGGACACCTGCCATTTCCTGTAAAAGCCCCTTTTCCAGCTCACAAACGTTCATCCTGACAGGAAATGACTAACTTTAATAAAAAAAAAATTGGATTCAGGAAAATTTCCTTTTAAGAAAGTGTCTTTATTTACATACATTTTTAAGTGATATTTTTCCCACTGGCTCACTTACTGGGTGACCAGGTCCCAGGATCAAGTAAGTGTCACACTATAATTAATTCAGAGGCACCGAGAGATAAGAGCCAGGTGTATTCATTGCAGACAGGAGAGGAAGGAGGAGGAAGAAGAAGAAGACATGCAGGGAGAAACGTTACATTCTTTTTGTCTTGTCTTTTCAGGGGATCCCAAGCTGACAGGGACTGCCTCCCTGGATGTCACTGTCTCAGATGTCAATGACAACTTCCCCGTGTTCAAGGAGGATTACAGGCCAGTGGTTTATGAGAACATGAGAGATGGGGAGAATGGCATCACCTTCCCGATAAAGGTATACATTGTGCTGTTTTTTTCCCTCTGACATTCATTATTACTGTTGCATTTTTAGTTGATTTCTTTCCTGCATTCATTGCGTCTCTTTCTGGATGTGACCTCCAATTGATTTCTTTCCTGCATTCATTGCTTGTCTTTCTGGATGTAACCTGTAATTGATTTCTTTCCTGTAATCATTACCTCCCCTTTCTGGATGTAACCTGTAATTGATTTCTTTCCTGTAATCATTGCCTCCATTCTGGATACAACCTGTAATTAAATTCTTTCCTACATTCATTGCCTCTCTTTCTGGAATCAACCTGTAATATTAAATTCTTTCCTACATTCATTGCCTCTCTTTCTGGAATCAACCTGTAATTGATTTCTTTCCTACATTCATTGACTCTCTTTCTGGATGCAACCTGTAATTGATTTCTTTCCTACATTCATTGCCTCTTTTTCTGGATACTACCTGTAATTGATTTCTTTTCTGCTTTCAATGCCTCTCTTTCTGGATACAACCTCTAATTAATTTCTTTCCTACATTCATTGCCTCTCTTTCTGGATTCAACCTCTAACTGATTTCATTCCTTCTTTCACTGCTACTCTTTCTGGATTCTACCTTTCATTGAATTCTTCTTGGGTGTTCCCCTTTAGAGGGCAATTTTTACATTGTGGTTTACAGATAGGCTGCAATATCTTTCAGCTCAACACAAATGATTTCAGCTAATTCCTAATTAGTTGCCTTTTAGGCCATGCTTGTTAAGGGTCAGTGGGTCCATCAACATTTTCAATATCCAGTGCAGTTTTAACTCTCCTGATACCAGTAGCAGTCTGATTGTATGGCCTGTTGCCTCTGCCTGCCTGAGTCTTGAGTGCTGGCTAGATCTCCCTAGTCTTTCACCACTCTCTCCAGACTGTAATGATCTGTTTGTGCCTCTGTACTGTTCACTTATTCCCAAAGAACATTGACCGCATCTAGCTTGTCATGTGTCTATTTACCATCATATGGCACAGAACCACCTTATTTGTTTAATAGTTTTTCCAGAGAAACTTGTCCAAATCACTGTACTTTCCGTAGCTTCTCTGACGTAGTTTTTTTCTCTCTCCCAGATCAATAGGTACTCTTCTGTTAATATGTCCAGTGAATTTTCTATTTCTGTAGGTTCTCGAAGTGTTTGCCATCGACAAGGATACCGCAATCTATGGCCCTCCATTTGGGTTTGTTTTGCCCAGTCCATGCCTAGCTCCAGCGTGTGATGAATTCTCCCTGTCCTTCAATGAAGGTAAGTGTGTGTATTCGTTGTTTGGATAGTCTGTCATTGTCCTGCCAGGTTGGTGATGTCTCCGTCTACCTGTAACTCAAACAATCTGATCTGTAGCTAGAACTGTGATGTCACGGTCTGATCTGTAGCTAGAACTGTGATGTCACAATCTGATCTGTAGCTAGCACCATGATGTCACAGTCTGATCTGTAACTAGAACTGTGATGTCACAAAAAGATCTGTAGCTAGCACCATGATGTCACAGTCTGATCTGTAGCTAGAACTGTGATGTCACAGTCTGATCTGTAGCTAGAACTGTGATGTCACAGTCTGATCTGGAGCTAGAACTGTGATGTCACAATCTGATCTGTAGCTAGCACCATGATGTCACAGTCTGATCTGTAGCTAGAACTGTGATGTCACAGTCTGATCTGTAGCTAGAACTGTGATGTCACAATCTGATCTGTAGCTAGTACCATGATCTCACAATCTGATCTGTAGCTAGAACTGTGTTGTCACAATCTGATCTGTAGCTAGCATCATGATGTCACAATCTGATCTGTAGCTAGAACTGTGATGTCACGGTCTGATCTGTAGCTAGAACTGTGATGTCACAATCTGATCTGTAGCTAGCACCATGATGTCACAGTCTGATCTGTAACTAGAACTGTGATGTCACAATCTGATTTGTAGCTAGCACCATGATGTCACAGTCTGATCTGTAGCTAGAACTGTGATGTCACAGTCTGATCTGTAGCTAGAACTGTGATGTCACAATCTGATCTGTAGCTAGCACCATTATGTCACAGTCTGATCTGTAGCTAGCACCATGATGTCACAAGCTTATCTGTAGATAGAACCATCATGTCACAATCTGATCTGTAGCTAGAATGATGTCACAATCTGATCTGTAGCTAGAACTGTGATGACACAATCTGATCTGTAGCTAGCACCATGATGTCACAATCTGATCTGTAGCTAGAACTGTGATGTCACAGTCTGATCTGTAGATAGAACTGTGATGTCACAGTCTGATCTATAGATAGAACTATGATGTCACAATCTGATCTGTAGCTAGAACTGTGATGTCACAATCTGTTGATAGAACCATGATGTTGAGGCGGCCAGAAGAGCAGGTAGCAGAACCTCATATCTCTCTTGAGACCAGAAGCAGTAAAAGAGGAAGTGAAGAAGAAGGATTTAACAAATAAACTGCTGTCTGTGTATGTTTGTGTTTTGTATTTGGTTAACTGGCAGGTGGGCCGCGAAACATTTCAACCTGTTGAGGTGGGCCTCGGGTGTAGAAAGGTTGAGAAACACTGGCCTATTGGACACTTTTTCCACAAGTCCACTTCATTATCTGTATCATTTATGTCCTGCTTCCCATCATTACATCATAGCAGACTGAACCTGTTAACACAGGTGGTTATGTATAATGTATTGTTCTCTATACCAGGGTTTTCAAACTTTTGTCTCTGCAGCATCCTTGTCAAGCAAATAAAAGTTTTGTGACACACTAACCCTTAAAGCGGTTTGAATACTTAGGAAAAGAGGAACAGAACGTGCACATTTAATGTTCAGTTGTCTTTAATGCGATAAATGAAACTAGATGAAATTTTCATGATATCCTCAATGTTTATGGGAAGTTTAGTTAATTTTACCCTCAAATAACTTGACCCAGAAAGTTTGCTCCTGTATCTGTTTTTTATGTAAGTGTACATTGAAATGCACCGCAGCCTTGCCAATAGCTTTGCCTTCTGAATACACCTGCATCCAGAACTCTTTTTGGCTCCCTTAACAGTATTTCTGTTTTAAACTGATTTTGAGCAGATTTGTGAAAAAAATTATTGATTACTGCCGCTGCACCTCCCTATGCTCTAGACGTTTTTTATTAGGAAATGAAATGCTTGATGTTGGTCGAAGCATAGCAGACTAATGGTAACTGTGTTGATACAGCTGGAGACTCTGACAGGGGCACTGCCTTGATCAGCACCAGCTCCATGTTTGACCGGGAGAGGCAGAAGTTCTTTGAGCTGCCCATTGTCATGTGGGACATGAGGGGCACAGGCAGCTCCAGGGCACAGACTGGCACTAACACTTTGACCATCATCATTGGAGATGTCAACGACAACCCTCACTATCCCGGCCACCAGGAGGTCTTTGTCTACAACTACAAAGGTAATTGTGTGGGCGAGATTGTGTCCTGTGTGCAACAGTTTTGTATATATGTCTTCTGCATTTTTCATTGACTCTGTCCTGGGGGCTGCGTGGTCTCGAGGCATGGTGTCCGCCTCGAGTGCTAGAGGTTCTGGATTCAATCCCCGGCAAGGGCTGGGATTTTTTCATGTGGACTTGGACTTCTAGTCTTCTTCTTCTTCTTTCATTCGCCTGAAATAAGTTGTCTATATCAGCAAATTTTGTCTCCTGTATAAATTTCACTATTGTTGTTAATTCATTCAGTGGTCCATGGAGTTTACGTTCCACTGTTGTTCTTTCTGGCCAAAAGGTTTGCCTTAATGTGTCCAATTCGGTGCAGTCCTAGAGTAATGCTCTGCTGTCTGGGGCACATTTCCACAGGTGCACATGGCTGATACGCATATCTTGAATTTTGTGTACATGTGGTTACGTAATCGGTTGTGCCCTGTTCTGAGGCAGAGGATAATGACTTGTTCTGATCTGTCCATAATAAAATAGTCGTCTTGTGCTGGGGCTGGTGGTTTCCTGATTGATTTAATGATTCTTTTCTTTTGTTGGTATGTGACTGGTACATCCGGCTGCACTTTTGTCGCACCTTCTCCTGCCAGTTGATCAGCTTTCTCATTTCCAGGCACTCCACAGTATGATGGTATCCACTGCATTACAACTCTTTGCTGAAGGCTAAGTTGTGTCAGCAGTGTTTGCAATTTTGGTAGTTTTTTAGACTGGAGTGCTTCAAGTACTGATTTTGCATCTGGGACTTCTAGTAATTTTCCTAGTCTCTGGGTAGTGAGATCGGACGCCCGTGTGCATTGTTGGTCAAGTAAAAAATGCTTTGGCAGTTGGAAATTGGAAAAAGTAGCCTAACAATTTTGAGTTAAAAATCTACCCAAAATATTTCAGGATCCTGGCCGGTGCTGCAGTTGTTGTTGTTGTTATTGATCCACTGGTGCATGAGCTTTTGCCCTTTGGCCCAATGCCACGTAGTGGAATTTACATGTTTTCATAAGCTGTTCTTTTCCTCCGCACAAGGTGTTCCACATGTCTGGTCTCGGCGGGAGTAGCAATCTTCTATTCTCGATGAGTTTTGGGCACTCAAAAGAGATGATGGTCAACAGTTTCGTAGGGGTAGTTACATAGCTGGCACTCTGGGGAGTGTTGTGGCTATATTCTGTTTAGGTGTCCATTGAGTGGAGCATGTTGTGTTCTGAATCTGAAGATGGTGGCCTGGTCCCTTCTTGTTGAATGGTCAGGATCAGGGCTAGCCATGTGTCTATAAACCTCTCTTCCAGTATCTCCCATGGCCCATCTGTTCAGCCAAGTCTCTTTGTTTATAGCTTTTATAAGCGTTTTTGCTGTCTGTAGGATTGTCACTGTAGGTGGTTGTTCTTGTGTTGCTCCTTTCTTTGCCAGTCTGTCAGCTCTGTCATTACCTGGTGTGCTGGAGTGGCCTGGAATCCACTGCATCACTATTCTGATGTTGTATGAGGTAATAAGCTGATCAGCATCCAGGATTATCTTGGCTATGTCAGTTCTGCAGCGTTCACTGCCCTCCAGAGCTTGTAGGGCAGACATTGAATCTGTGAAGATGACAATATTTTGGACCTTTGAAGGGTAAACATCCATTACAGTCTATAGGTGGTATACTGCTGTTTTCAGTGCAATTATTTCAGCTTCATAATTTGAACAGAATTCCCCGCATGCATCAAATATCTCTTCAGTAGATCCATCATAACCTATGTAGATTCCGTAACCTGCTTTAATGGTAGCTTTGAATGCAGATCCATCAGTATAAACATGTATCCATTCTTCGGGGTAAGAATCAATGGTCTGTAGTGATGAGTTCATAAAGGTGATTGGATCGGACTGTTTAGTTTCTTCCTCTACCAATTTTAACCGGACTTCTGGAGCTTTAAAGCGAGCATGTGGTAATAAGTTTCTTGCCCTCACGTCTTTCTGGGAGGTGGTATCTGTCCTGTACTTCATGTACACAGTGTAAAACCAATTTGTGCTTTATTCTTTGTTTGTATTCCCAATTTTCTATAAGGTGTCATTTAGGATGGTTACAATTCTTTCTAATGCACCTTTAATAAATTTCTAAAGTGGCTTTTTCTCTCCGCAACCCAAGGGGTTCCACATTTGTATGGATTTCACATGCAGCAGTTAGAGTAGACCGCATAGATCCACTGATTAATCAAAGGGCATTATTTTGTACTCTGTCAAGAAACTCTACGTTTGTCTTGGAGCAGGTTGCAAGCAGCAAGTTGTTATACTCTATCACAGAGCGAACATATCTGAGATACAAGCCCCTCATAGTTTCCTTGTCTGATCCTCAAGCTGTACCTGCAAGTCTCTTCAATAACTGCAACCGCCTGAATGCCTTATTCCTTATGTTTTCAATATGATTCTTGAGGATCAGCTGCCGGTCAAGTGTGACTCCAAGGTATGTAGGATGCTCTTCCTTCATCACTTGATGCTTGTCTAACCTTAGGTTAATATTTTTCCTTGCTACTTGATGGCTTTTGGTAAAGATTGTGTAGACCATCTTTGTATATTTAACCTTGAGTTTCCATCTTTGGCAGTACTCGTGCAGTCATCTAAGGTCTCCATTAAGTCTTTATGCTCCACTTTCTATATTTTCATGACTCTGCCCATGTGCTAGTTCATCAGCGTACAAAGCTTTTTCGACCTTGATTTGTTCTGGCAAGTCATTGATAAAAGATTAGAATCAGTGTACAGCTCAATAATGAGCCTTGTGGCAAGCCCTCCTCCAAGACTTCTTTAAATAAGACTACGTTGTGTATCTTAGTCTGGATTGTTTTATCTATCAGAAAATATTTAACCCAGTTATACAGCCTGCCATGTATTCCTATGCTCATCATCTTCATCAGGAGGCCTTTCCTCTATACTCTGTCATAGGCCTGCTGAAGGTCGACAAAAATGGCCAGTGTGTGTGTCTTATTCTGGAATCCGTCATGAATTCTTTGTGTCAGTCTGAACAGCTGGTCTTCTGTACAGCTGTTGGTTCTGAAGCCTGCCTGTTCATGGCATGGATAGAACACCAGAACTCTCAAGGAACCAATACAAGAGCCTGTTTATCATTCTTTCTGCAACTTTGCCCAAGCATGATGTTGATATCGGGCGATAGCTTTTTGGGGTCGTCTGGAGGCTTTTTGGTTTTAAGTATGGGGACAGACAATACATGCATTCCTCCATGCCTTTGAAAGTTTGCTTGATCTCCATGTCTTATTAATTAACCTGAGAACTACTTCTCTGCCAGGCCGGCCAAGATGTAGCAGCATTTCGTTGTGAATCTTATCTGGACCTGGGGATTTTCTAGGTTTTAATTTCTTCAGGGCTTGATCTAATTCATCCATGCTTAACTCATCTTCAAAAAAGGAGTCGTTGGCTGTTGGAGCTCTCTCTCTCTCTGTTTTTTCAACTGAGATAGCTGTATTCTGTCCCATTCTGTGCATTTGCCTGCTCTGTTAACAGAGGCAAAATAATGATTGAAATGTTCAGCTTTCTTCTTGTCCGCAGTAATTGTCTTACTCCCATCTGTCACTGGTTTTGGGTTCACTCTTCTACTTTCTCCGGAGAGGTACCACAGAGCTTGTGCATTGTGGTGAGCTTCTTCGGACTCAGACATGAGTTAGAAGAACCGAGCACTTTTGGGTTACTACTCATGTCCTAATCAACTGACAGTGTGAGGTCAACTATAATCAGTGTGTATCAAACACTGAACGGCTAGGTATGCTAATATACAGCATTGTACATGTGGTCTCTTTAAAAGTAATATACTCATGCTCTTTTAACTGTATGTATTATCTCTTTTTCGGCCTCTTTGGCTTAGGCTTTGCTAATGCGCTTCATAATGCTTGGGTGACAGATTTGATCCCATCTGCTGGCCTTGCGCCTTGCGTTGGTTTTGACAGTGGTATCAAGAAGCTAACCGTCCAGAAAGCAATGGCAAACTACTGGACATAGATTTGCCTTAAAAAAAACCACAACATCCCAAAAATCCTGGGGTTGGTTCTGCAAACTTCTGTAAATAATACACAGCCGACTTTTAATTATCTCCTTACCATACAAAGCATACATGGAAAGAGAAGAAGGACGTAGAGCACGAGGTAGACCAAGAACAACATGGAAGGATAACATCAGAGAAACTCTACAAAAGCACGATGTGCCTATGGTCGAGGCAGCCAGAAGAGCTAGAGACAGAACCTTATATCTCCCTCGACACCCACAGGGGTAAAAGAGGAAGTGAAGAAAAAGAAGAAGAAGAATTATCTCCTTAAGTATTTAAAACAAACTCTTCGGTACCGAAAGAGTTAAAAGGTGATTGGCATCTTGTGGTTTTCAATTAGGCTGTGATATCTATGCCTTACGGCTTCGTTCCGTATTTTCCCCCCACAAGGGTTTCAATCATGAGATTACAAAATCTCAGTCTCAGCGCCAGACCAACAGGACAGTTACCAGATACCCTGTTCAACCTAAACAAAATATAATTGAACTACTGGTAATGTCTACACCTGCCTGTACTGAAATAATAAGTCCCCTTTTATGTCTGCTCATTTCAGTCACCCCGCACTCAGGTCCATAGTGGATTGCTTCATTCTATTCTGTCTTGTGTATTCTTTCTTATCTCATTGATGGAGTCTGGCACCTTTAGCCCTTCTCATTAACATTGACCTTGACGAGTTCAGCATGAAACCAAGATGGTACCTGGGGTCATGTTTAGTGTCCGTGCCAACAGTGTAGAGACACAGGGCGCAGATATCGCAACCATTCCATTCCAGAAAAACAAGGGTTGACCACGTTCAACCAACTGTGCTGTGCTTTCTTTGTGCCAAATGTATTGGCTAAGATAGTTTCTGTGTGCCAATTTTAGTGGCTTTAATAGTTTTCAGAAATGGCAGCCTACTTCTGTAAAGAGTTATAACAGTCGAGTTGTTAAGTGTTAGTATCAGTAAAGGATAGAAAGCCTTCATCAGCATATGATATAAAATGGACAATGTAGGTTGTAGCTAGAAAGCTTTAATCAGCATATGATACAAATAGTCTATGATAGTTGTTGCTAAGCAGCCCTCATTAGCATACGACACAAATTGACAATGATAGTGCCCTAAGGACATCCTTTATGGTGAATTAAAGACAGGAATAAAATTTCGAGGCCAACCTCTACTATGATATAAAGATGTGTGCAAGCGGGACATGAATGATACAGGTATTGAGGTGGACTCATGGGAACAAAATGCCATGGACCGAGTTGTGCGGAAAGGGCATATCAGGAAGGGAATGAGAGTGAAGGAAGAAATGATTGCAGAAAGGATGAGAGCTGAGCGTCTAAAAAGAAACGGATTAAACACAGATGTTGACAACAATGGTCCTGAAATCCCATGCCATCATTGTGGAAGACTTTTCTTGACACGGGTGGGTCTTGCTAGTCACGCTCGCCATCGCCATGGGCTGTGAGTCTCATGCCTCCTCATAGCGCAATATAACACTAGCGTCTGGACACAAATGGACAATGACAGTGGTCGCTAGAAAGCCTACCTCAGCATACGACACAAATTGACAATGATAGTGGTCACTAGAAAGCCTACGTCAGCATATGATGTTTAACAGTGTGGTTTAATTCATATTTAACAATCGTAATGCTATAATCTGTTATGCTTAACAGTTATCTTGTAATTTGTAGAAATTAACAGTTATAAACTATGCTTTTTATTAAAAAGACAATAAGTATTTTTTTAAAATCATATGTATCCATTATGAGAAAATACAATTGTATATCCCAGTTATGACCCAAACATGTTGAACAGGATATCTAAAAATTACTTTTACTAGAACTGTTTCATTGCTAACATCCTTTGCTGTGTGTCTGTGCAGGTTTGTTTGGGCCTTTGGTAGTAGGTCGTGTGTTTGTGGAAGATCTTGATGACTGGGACCTGTCAGACAAGACCTTCACCTTTGCTTCACCAGCCAGCATGAAAAACTTCTTTATGTAAGTCAGCTCATTTTCACCCCTTTCTCTCTTTTGTTTTCATACACTATGTCTATCTGTGCTGACCCTCTGTCTCTTATCTCTCTTTCTGACCGTTTCCCCTCTCCAGTTCTATTTTTCTCTCCTGTCTCATGTTATGTCTGTACCTCCCACCCATCTCTCTCTCCACATTCTCTTTTTCTGTTTACACCAGGGTTTTTCAGCTATAGGCCCACAGAGGCCTAGGAAGTGGCCCACAGAGGCCTAGCAAGTGGCCCACAGAGGCCTACCAAGTGGCCCACAGAGACCTGGCTAGTGGCCCACAGAGACCTGGCAAGTGGCCCACAGAGGCCTACCAAGTGGCCCACAGAGGCCTAGCAAGTGGCCCATAAAGGCCTAGCAAGTGGCCCATAGAGACCTAGCAAGTGGCCCACAGAGGCCTAGCAAGTGGTCCACAGAGGCCTAGCAAGTAGCCCATAGATCTTTGCCAAAATTAAATTACAGTTTTGTTAAAACCCTTTCTGCATTAGGGCTTTGGCCCGTGATGGCCCCAATTTTTATCGTTTTGGCCCCGCGTAAACTTAGTTGAATTTTTCTGATCTACGCCCTCCTAATTTTTTTCTGCTCGCCTGTTTCTCTGCACTCTTCCTGTCTCCACATTTTCTCTCTCTTATATCTCTTTCTCTCCCTGCACTCACCTTATCTCTTCCTGCTATCATGCCTCTGCATTCTCCATTTCTACATTCTCTCTGTCTGTCTGTCTCTCTCTCTTTAGCCACACCCTCCCCCCACCCCTTTTCTCTATTGCTCTGTAAAACTAACCATTCAGTGGTTTGCCACTTTCAGGGTGGATGAGTCCACTGGAGACATTACCATGAAGAAAGGAGTCAAAGCCAACTTTGGTGAGGAGCCCTACCAGTTTACGGTGGATGTCTTTGATCGCCAGTTCCAGAAAACTGTCACCAGCACTGTGTCTGTGGTGGTCAAGGATCTGCCTGAAGAGGCTGTGCTAAATTCTGGAGCAGTCCGGCTCCAAGGTTTGTCTTGTGTGTGGTGTTGGGCCACTGCTGAGTGTACTCTTTGTGTTTTGTGTGTGGTGGTGGTGTTGAGCCACTGCTGGGTGTACTCTTTGTGTTTTGTGTGTGGTGGTGGTCTTGAGCCATTGCTGGGTGTACTCTTTGTGTTTTGTGTGTGGTGTTGAGCCATTGCTGGGTGTACTCTCTGTGTTTTGTGTGTGGTGGTGGTCTTGAGCCATTGCTGGGTGTACTCTGTGTTTTGTGTGTGGTGGTGGTCTTGAGCCATTGCTGGGTGTACTCTTTGTGTCTTGTGTGTGGTGTTGAGCCACTGCTGGGTGTACTCTCTGTGTTTTGTGTGTGGTGGTGGTCTTGAGCCATTGCTGGGTGTACTCTTTGTGTTTTGTGTGTGGTGTTGAGCCACTGTTGGGTGTACTCTTTGTGTTTTGTGTGTGGTGTTGAGCCACTGTTGGGTGTACTCTTTGTGTTTTGTGTGTGGTGTTGAGCCACTGTTGGGTGTACTCTTTGTGTTTTGTGTGTGGTGTTGAGCCACTGTTGGGTGTACTCTTTGTGTTTTGTGTGTGGTGTTGAGCCACTGCTGGGTGTACTCTTTGTGTCTTGTGTGTGATGTTGAGCCACTGCTGGGTGTACTCTTTGTGTTTTGTGTGTGGTGTTGAGCCATTGCTGGGTGTACTCTTTGTGTCTTGTGTGTGATGTTGAGCCACTGTTGGGTGTACTCTTTGTGTTTTGTGTGTGGTGTTGAGCCATTGCTGGGTGTACTCTTTGTGTCTTGTGTGTGATGTTGAGCCACTGCTGGGTGTACTCTTTGTGTCTTGTGTGTGATGTTGAGCCACTGCTGGGTGTACTCTTTGTGTCTTGTGTGTGGTGTTGAGCCACTGCTGGGTGTACTCTTTGTGTGTGGTGTTGTGTGTGTGTGTTGAGCCACTGCTGGGTGTACTCTTTGTGTTTTGTGTGTGTTTGTGGTCTTGAGCCACTGCTGGGTGTACTCTGCTGGGTGTACTCTTTGTGTCTTGTGTGTGATGTTGAGCCACTGCTGGGTGTACTCTTTGTGTCTTGTGTGTGATGTTGAGCCACTGCTGGGTGTACTCTTTGTGTCTTGTGTGTGATGTTGAGCCACTGCTGGGTGTACTCTTTGTGTCTTGTGTGTGTGTGATGTTGAGTGTACTCACTGCTGGTGTGTACTCTTTGTGTTTGTGTGTGTGGTGGTGGTCTTGAGCCACTGCTGGGTGTACTCTTTGTGTCTTGTGTGTGGTGTTGAGCCACTGCTGGGTGTACTCTTTGTGTTTTGTGTGTGTGTGATGTTGAGCCACTGCTGTACTTTTGTGTGTGTCTTTGTGTGAGTGTACTTGTGTGTGTGTGTTTGAGCCACTGCTGAGTGTACTCTTTGTGTCTTGTGTGTGTGAGCCACTGTTGAGCCACTGCTGAGTGTACTCTTTGTGTACTTATGTGTGTGTGTGTTGAGCCACTCTGAGTGTACTCTTTGTGTGTGTTGTGTTGTGTTGAGCTGTTGAGCCACTGCTGGGTGTACTCTTTGTGTTTTGTGTGTGGTGTTGAGCCACTGCTGAGTGTACTCTTTGTGTTTTGTGTGTGGTGTTGAGCCACTGCTGAGTGTACTCTTTGTGTTTTGTGTGTGGTGTTGAGCCACTGCTGAGTGTACTTTTTGTGTTTTGTGTGTGGTGTTGTGTGGTGTTGAGCCTGTTTGTGTGTACTCTGTGCTGGGTGTACTCTCTGTGTCTTGTGTGTGATGTTGAGCCACTGCTGGGTGTACTCTTTGTGTTTTTTTGTGTGGTGTTGAGCCACTGCTGAGTGTACTTTTTGTGTTTTGTGTGTGGTGTTGAGCCACTGCTGGGTGTACTCTGTTCTGTGTGTGGTGTTGAGCCAAGTCTGAGTGTACTCTTTGTGTCTTGTGTGTGGTGTTGAGCCACTGCTGGGTGTACTCTTTGTGTTTTTTTGTGTGGTGTTGAGCTACTGCTGAGTGTACTCTTTGTGTTTTGTGTGTGGTGTTGAGCCACTGCTGAGTGTACTCTTTGTGTTTTGTGTGTGGTGTTGAGCCACTGTTGAGTGTACTCTTTGTGTTTTGTGTGTAGTGTTGAGCCACTGTTGAGTGTACTCTTTGTGTTTTGTGTGTGGTGTTGAGCCACTGTTGGGTGTACTCTTGTGTGTTTTTGTGTGTGGTGTTGAGCCACTGTTGAGCCACTGCTGTGTGTACTCTTTGTGTTTTGTGTGTGGTGTTGAGCCACTGCTGGGTGTACTCTTTGTGTTTTGTGTGTGGTGTTGAGCCACTGTTGAGTGTACTCTTTGTGTTTTGTGTGTGGTGTTGAGCCACTGGTGGGTGTACTCTTTGTGTTTTGTGTGTGGTGTTGAGCACACTGTTGTGTGTTGTGTGTACTCTTTGTGTTTTGTGTGTGGTGTGTTGAGCCACTGCTGGGTGTACTCTTTGTGTTTTGTGTGTGGTGTTGAGCCACTGTTGAGTGTACTCTTTGTGTTTATGTGTGTGTGTGTGTGAGCCACTGCTGAGCCACTTGCTGAGTGTACTCTATGTGTTTTGTGTGTAGTGTTGTTGTTTGAGCCACTTTTGTTGCTGTGTAAGCTAAGTGTGTATGTGTGGTGTTGATAGTTTCTTTTTGTGTGTATGTGTGATGTTGACCTCAAAGTATGCTTTTTGTGTGTATGGTGTGATGTTTGACCTCAAAGTATACTTTGTGTGTGTATGGTGTGTGTTGGACCTCAGAGAATACTTTTTGTGTGTAAGGTGTGGTGTTGGACCACTCAGAGAATACTTTTGTGTGTTAGTGTGTGTGTTGTGTTGGACCTCAGAGAATTGAGCCACTGCTTTGTGTGTAAGTGTGTTGTGTGTGTGTTTGAGCCACTGCTGGAATACTCTTTGTGTGTGTCTTTGTGTGTGTGTTGAGCCACTGCTAGGTGTACTCTTTGTGTTTATGTGTGTGTGTTGTTGGAGTGCACTGCTTTGTGTGGTGTGTAAACACTTTGTGTCTCTGTGTGTTTTGTGTGTGGTGTGAGCCACTGCTGGGTGTACTCTTTGTGTTTTGTGTGTGTGTTGAGCCCACTGCTGTGTGTTGTGTGTGTAGTGTTGAGCCACTGCTGGGTGTACTCTTTGTGTCTTGTGTGTGGTGTTGAGCCACTGCTGAGTGTACTCTTTGTGTTTTATGTGTGTGGTGTTGATCCAAGTCTGAGTGTACTCTTTGTGTTTTGTGTGGTGTTGGGCCACTGCTGGGTGTACTCTTTGTGTTTTGTGTGTAGTGTTGAGCCACTGCTGGGTGTACTCTCTGTGTCTTGTGTGTAGTGTTGGCCACTGCTGGGTGTACTCTTTGTGTTTTGTGTGTAGTGTTGAGCCACTGCTGGGTGTACTCTTTGTGTTTTGTGTGTGGTGTTGAGCCACTGCTGGGTGTACTCTTTGTGTCTTGTGTGTGGTGTTGAGCCACTGCTGAGTGTACTCTTTGTGTCTTGTGTGTGGTGTTGAGCCACTGCTGGGTGTACTCTTTGTGTTTTTTGTGTGTAGTGTTGAGCCACTGCTGAGTGTACTCTTTGTGTTTTGTGTGTGGTGTTGAGCCACTGCTGAGTGTACTCTTTGTGTTTTGTGTGTGGTGTTGAGCCACTGCTGAGTGTACTCTTTGTGTTTTGTGTGTGGTGTTGAGCCACTGTTGAGTGTACTCTTTGTGTTTTATGTGTGTGTGTGGTGTTGAGCCACTGCTGAGTGTACTCTTTGTGTTTTGTGTGTAGTGTTGAGCCACTGCTGAGTGTACTCTTTGTGTTTTGTGTGTGGTGTTGAGCCACTGTTGAGCGTACTCTTTGTGTTTTATGTGTGTGTGTGTGGTGTTGAGCCACTGCTGAGTGTACTCTATGTGTTTTGTGTGTAGTGTTGAGCCACTGCTAAGTATAGTTTCTTGTTGTGTGATGTTGGACCTCAAAGTATGCTTTTTGTGTGTATGGTGTGATGTTTGACCTCAAAGTATACTTTTTGTGTGTATGGTGTGGTGTTGGACCTCAGAGAATACTTTTTGTGTGTAAGGTATGGTGTTGGACCTCAGAGAATACTTTTTGTGTGTAAGGTGTGGTGTTGGACCTCAGAGAATACTTTTTGTGTGTAAGGTGTGGTGTTGGACCTCAGAGAATACTTTTTGTGTGTATGGTGTGATGTTTGACCTCAAAGTATACTTTTTGTGTATGGTGTGATTTTTGACCTCAAAGAATACTTTTTGTGTGTAAGATGTGGTGTTGAACCTCAGAGAATACTTTAGTGTGTAAGGTGTGGTGTTAGACCTCAGAGAATACTTTTTGTGTGTAAGGGGTGGTGTTGGACCTCAGAGAATACTTTGTGTGTGTAAGGTGTGGTGTTGGACCTCAGAGAATACTTTTTGTGTGTAAGGTGGGGTGTTGGACCTCAGAGAATACTTTTTGTGTGTAAGGTGTGGTGTTGGACCTCAGAGAATACTTTTTGTGTGTAAGGTGTGGTGTTGGACCTCAGAGAATACTTTAGTGTGTAAGGTGTGGTGTTAGACCTCAGAGAATACTTTTTGTGTGTAAGGTGTGGTGTTGGACCTCAGAGAATACTTTTTGTGTGTGTAGTGTTGAACCACGGTAGCACGTGCTTGCTATGTTTGTGTGTTGGAGCACTGCAAAGTAAACATTGTGTGTGGTATTAGAGCAGTGGAAAATGCTTAACGTGTGTGGTGTTGGAGCACTGGAAAATGTTCCTATTGTCTGTGGGGTTGGAAAATGTACCTACTTTCTTTGTGGTGTTGGAGCACTGGAAAATGTATACCTACTGTCTGTGTGGTGTTGGAGCACTGGAAAATGTACCTACTGTCTGTATGGTGTTGGAGCACTGGAAAATGTACGTACTGTCTGTATGGTGTTGGAGCACTTGAAAATGTACCTACTGTCTGTGTGGTGTTGGAGCACTGGAAAATGTACCTACTGTGTGGTGTTGGAGCACTGGAAAATGTACCTACTGTCTGTGTGGTGTTGGAGCACTGGAAAATGTACGTACTGTCTGTGTGGTGTTGGAGCACCGGAAAATGTACCTATTGTCTGTGTGGTGTTGGAGCACTTGAAAATGTACGTACTGTCTGTGTGGTGTTGGAGCACTGGAAAATGTACCTACTGTCTGTGTCGTGTTGGAGCACTGGAAAATGTACCTGCTGTCTGTGTGGTGTTGGAGCACTGGAAAATGTACGTACTGTCTGTGTGGTGTTGGAGCACTGGAAAATGTACCTACTGTCTGTGTGGTGTTGGAGCACTGGAAATTGTACCTACTGTCTGTGTGGTGTTGGAGCACTGGAAATTGTACGTTGCCTCTATGGAACATTGTAGGGGTCTAGAATCTGCAGCAGGCTGTTCAGTTGCTGTTTGGACAACAATTGCAGCCATGTGAGATACTTGCTAATTAGAAAAGAAAAATTGTTTTGACATCCCTGCCTGCTTCACATTCTGAAATGTATCCATTCTCTGTTGACACACTAGGTATGACTGCCGAGAGGTTCATCATGGAACCCAAAGATCCTCGCACAGGGAAAAGAACAGACAGCTTGTACACACAGTTCCGCCTGTTGCTGTCCCGTAAACTCGGTTACACAAGCATCAATAACGTGGAGATTGTCACGTTGCTGGACAGAAAGGACTATTTAGAGATCCGATATGCTGCCCATGCATCCCCGTACATGTCGTCTGCTCAAGTTGACAGTGCTGTTATTTTGAACATGGAAGAGGTGAGTTTTCTGTGTTATCATCTATTTAATCCTTTTAATTCAAAACCAGGTCAAAGCTTTCTTCACAGAAATATAACAGCATTTCTGTAAAGATAGATAAAAGCGTTTCAACAAAGAGGGATAACAGCATTTCTGCAAAGACAGATAACAGCATTTCTACATAGACAGATAACAGCGTTTCTAAAAAGACAGGACAGCGTTTCTACACAGACAGATAACAGCGTTTCTACATAGACATATAACAGCATTTCTACATAGACAGATAACAGCATTTCTACAAAGACAGATAACAGCATTTCTGCAAAGACAGATAACAGCATTTCTGCAAAGACATAACAGCATTTCTACAAAGACAGATAACAGCGATTCTACATAGACAGATAACAGCGTTTCTACATAGACAGATAACAGCATTTCTACATAGACAGATAACAGCGTTTCTACAAAAACGGATAACAGCATTTCTACATAGACAGATAACAGCGTTTCTACAAAAACGGATAACAGCATTTCTACATAGATAACAGCGTTTCTACAAAAACGGATAACAGCATTTCTACATAGATAACAGCGTTTCTACAAAAACTGATAACAGCATTTCTACATAGATAACAGTGTTTCTACAAAGACATGACAGCATTTCTGCGAAGACAGATAACAGCATTTCTACAAAGACAGGACAGCATTTCGGCAAATACAACACAGCATTTCTGCAAGACACTTGACATATATATCTATCTTAATTATTTGTAACTTCTTTCATAGTTGCATATTTAGTGCTATAAACTGTATTTGACTTGAGATTGTATCAACTTTTGATATATTTTATCTCCAGTTTGGAAATCTGGGAATTAAAATCATGCCTCTGCCGATCGACGAGTGCCAAGACGAGGTTTTCGAAGGTGGCTGCTACAACCGGTTGGAGGTGACAGGAAGCCCCGTGACCGTCAGCGCTAACGGCACTAGCTTTGTGGGGGTGGAGGCTTACGTGGTTGCCACAGAGGGCTGCGAGGCTAACATCTTCAGCCAACACGAGGAGTGTACGGGAGACTACTGCTACAATGGTGGCACCTGCAACGTAGACAACTGGGGCACTGTGTCGTAAGTTATCTTCTTCACTTGATACATTTTTCATGTTAGACATGATTGTTTTAACTGCTTTGTCTGCCGCTGTTATAACTCGTTCTCTGCCAGACATTTACTACCCAAACCATCTCTGTATTATGGTAACCCATGATGTACTAAACAAGGGGCAACTCACCTTGCATCCCTCCTTGGGCTTGACTTCCTCTTGTCTCAGGCAGTAGCTCTACCTTTGCCATTAAAAGTTGTCACAGTGTGTTGTGGTTTTCAACAAAGGTGCAATACAAGGTCGGACAGTTAAGTGATGAGACTAATTCTATGCAAATTTGAATAATCAACAGTTGAAGAAATAACCTGTATTTTTATTCAAAACAAGGCCCTTTTACATTGATACAGCAAGTGGCACGATCTAATAAACACTAGAACAAACCTGTGTAGTTCATCTAATGTTATGGCCCCTAAAGTGGAAGTTACGGCCATGGGTGTCATCAGTGTCGTCAAAGAAGTGTCCTTTCAATGGTAACTTTAATTTTGGGAATAAAAAGTAATCACAGGGAGACAAATCTGGGGAATAGGGTTGATGGTGGAGACCATGCACTTGTTTTTTAGCCAAAAATTTATGTGCAGCTACCGCCCGGTGAGCCGGTGCATGGTCAAAAAAAGGGAAAAAACTGCCAGGTGTTGAATTCTCGGAGAATCATTTTCTATAGATGTTTCAAAATACTTTAATAAACTGTGGCTGTGACAATCTGTCCCTCTGTAATAATTTCTATGTGAACAACTCTATTGCTGTCATAGAAGTACACTAACATTGTCTTCAGGTTTGAAGATGTATTTTTTGGCCTTTTGGTGATGATGATGATGACTTCCACTGAGCATTTTAATAGCCGTCTGCATCTTCTTCCTTGATTAATGTTTGCCAGTAATTAACATATTGCTTTCCCGCTCAATTTTTCCATTCACGATCTTGTTTGGCCAGAAATGTGCAGGATTCTCCTTAGACACTTGTTTGTAAAAGATGGTTATATTGTACATCTTGTAATACATTATGACATTCTCTTCTGTCTCCCATCTTGGAGACGAGCTGAACAAGTGGATTGATTCTCCAGAATTTCTTCTCTTCTCTGTGGCAGATGTGCATGCTCTGATGAATTTGATGGGCCCCGTTGTCAGCAGCGACGGCATCACTTTGATGGCAACAGTGTGGCCATGTACCGATCCCTGCAGCAATGTGAGAACTCTCAGACCAGCATAGAGTTCATGACCAAGCAGGAGGATGGAGTTCTTCTCTACAACGGTCCCCTTGGGGAGTTCGATCCATTGGAGGTATGTTGTTGCTTTCATTTTGATGGGGAGAGGATATTGTAGGAGGTTGATAGAGTCCAAGAGTTAATGTGTTTGTGAGGGAACTTTTCTCCTCCTCCTCTTCTTCCCATTCACCAGCCGTAAACTCCGGCTAAAGGCTCTGTTGGTTCATTACCATCTGGACTTGGTTCATTACCTTCTGGACTTGGTTCATTACCTTCTGGACTTTGTTCATTACCTTCTGGACTTTGTTCATTACCTTCTAAACTTGGCTCATTACCTTCTAAACTTGGTTCATTACCTTCTGGACTTTGTTCATTACCTTCTAAACTTGGCTCATTACCTTCTAAACTTGGTTCATTACCTTCTGGACTTGGTTCATTACCTTCTGGACTTGGTTCATTACCTTCTAGACTTGGCTCATTACCTTCTAGACTTGGTTCATTACCTTCTGGACTTGGTTCATTACCATCTGGACTTGGTTCATTACCATCTGGACTTGGTTCATTACCTTCTGGACTTTGTTCATTACCTTCTGGACTTTGTTCATTACCTTCTGGACTTGGTTCATTACCTTCTGGACTTGGTTCATTACCTTCTGGACTTGGTTCATTACCTTCTGGATTTTGTTCATTACCTTCTGGATTTTGTTCATTACCTTCTGGACTTGGTTCATTACCTTCTGGATTTTGTTCATTACCTTCTGGACTTGGCTCATTACCTTCTGGACTTTAGTCTTGTTCCAGAACCTCAGTTTTGCATGCCCATCCATTTGACAGGTCTGACTTGTTCGGATGATATTTTTTTTAAAAACTCCCAGCAGAAAAACCAATGTAATGTAACTTACTGAGAATTGGAACTTGGGTCTCTCACATGAGAGCCTCGTGCTCTTATCCGTGGAATGACATTTATGTAGTTGTAGAGTGGCATAATTGAAAATGCATAGATCCCAGAAAGGTGGCAGCATGGTATGATATTGTTGCTGTTTTTAATTGCAGAGTCCTCAAGATTTCATTTTCCTTGAATTGAGGGGAGGCTACCCAGTGCTGATTATAGATCATGGAACAGGGGCCACAACTCTGGCTCTTGATGGGAAAGATAACCATGGCAACCAGCTGCTACAGAAGCTCAATGACGGTCGGTGGCATCACATCGACATTAACCGCAGTGGCAAGGTGAGACTGAGACACTTTGTTGTGGGTGTGTGGGGCATCACATCGACATTAACCGCAGCGGCAAGGTGAGACTGAGTCACTTGGTTGTAGAAGTGTGGGGCATCACATCGACATTAATGGCAGTGGCAAGGTGAGACTGAGACACTTGGTTGTGGGGGCGTGGGGCATCACATCGACATTAACCGCAGTGGCAAAGTGAGACTGAGACACTTGGTTGTGGGTGTGTGGGGCATTACATGGACATTAACTGCAGTGGCAAGGTGAGACTGAGACACTTGGTTGTAGAGGTGTGGGTTGTTGGCATCACATTGTTGTATATGTCACCTAAGTGTAATATGCAGTTGTCAAATGTTATGTATACTCAACCCCAGTGTAATGGTGCAGAAACTTGGACAATGAACAGACAACTACAAAATCAAATTGGGTCTCTTGAAATGTGGATATACAGAAAAAGGCTATTCATAGAAACAAAATTGAGTTTTGGGGAGACTGCAAAAAAAAAAAAAAAAAAGGAAATTCATGTAAGAAATAAAAAAAGATAATTGAAGTATTTTGGCCACATTAAAAGAATAATTTTCTTTTGAGAGGGGAGGTCGAGAACAAAAGGTAGACAGTGATACAAGTTGGAGGATAATATCAAGAGATGGACAGACAGCAGTCTCAGAGAGTGTTTATAAAAGACAGCATGCTGGAGATTGACTGCAGCCAACCCTCATTGTGAAGATTGATTGTGATATGGTGGTTTTAGAGGAAATGTAGGACACATAGTTGTCATTAGCATTGCCAACATGTTGGGGAGCAGTTTAGCAGTTGGTCCTCTAACCTGACGTAAACCACTTTCAGGCTTGGATATTTGTTGTTTTCTAGAGAGAAAATGATTGTAAGTGAGGTCAAATATGAGAGAGTGCCCAAGACTGTTGTGGGTCATAGTTAAAGAGAATGGCTATGGCAACAGTGTGGAGGTGTCTGAGTGACAGATGAAGATTTGAATATGAGAGAATTGATTTGATGAGTGAGACTTGAAAGGAGTAAAAGTCATTGAGTCATTAGGGGAGGGAGAATAAGGAGGTCAAACTGCAGTTGAGTTAGAGAGTGTCAGAGGATGAGATGAAAAAAGAATTCTGTTTGAGAGAAAGCAGGGCTACCCGTCTGGGTTCTGGGACCCCATTTGTGGGGGGGGGGGGGGGGGGGGGGGGGGGAGGGTGTCCCCACTGCTCCCTTTTGAAGCATGTCATGAAAAGTAACTGATTAGGAAAGTCGCATGTGTTGGGCAGATATCACAGCTTAACTGTAACCCATAACCCAACGTACCAACTATCCCTTTAAGGTCAAATGTAGAAGCAGAGGAAGATATCAGGTACGGGATTGAGATATTTCCTTTGAATAATGAAAGCACGTTAACATAATCTGATTTGCATTTGCGACCCCTGAAGGTTGTTGGGATGGTGGTGGACAAGTGCACAGATGCCATGGACCAGAACCATTTTGTGACCGATGACCGCGCATGTCGCACCCAGAAGGAGACCCCAGGAGAAAACATCTTCCTCAACGTGAACACACACCTGCATCTGGGTGGCATCCTGACCTCGTCCCGGCTCAGCCACCTGGGTGGTCGCAGTTATGTTGGCTTCACTGGTTGTATACGCAACTTGGTGCACAACAAAAAGGTAAGCTTGCTGGTCATAGTCATTGTCTCTTCTGCCCTTTATTCCCCTGTGGAGCATAGGCCCTCAGACATACTAAGTCATGTGATCCTTTGCTGTCATGTGCAGCTCACTCCTTGTTTTCCACATACTTTCCACTCATACCATCACTGTGTGTTTTTCGGCCCTCATTTATTGTTCTGACCTTGTGAGTTCCAGTGCAAAGACATTCTAGTTATATTGTTATCAGGTTTTCTTAGTGTGTATCCCTATCTCACACCATCTTTTCTTCACCTCTTGATTTTTTTTTTTCTTCAAGTTCTCTACCAGAGCTCGGCAAAAGTGATTCGGTCATGAGATTTAATTTCCTGTATTCTATGTAGGCACCAGTTAATGGATGTTTTGTTTTAGTTACTCTCAATGTTCCTGTCCCATAGAATAATGCTGGGTGATCATTTCTCCTCAGTTATTTCCTTGATCCTCCCCAATCAATGCTTTCTAATGGTCATTTTGTTTTTCTACAGCCTTCTGCTAATTTTGTAGCTTCCCTGTCCCAAGCGATGATCTTTCTACAGCTTCTTTGTCCAGACCCTCTGTCCGAGCAGTTTAGACCTGTGATATCCATTTATCCTTGGTGGATGACATGGATGTTTGGCAAGTCTTGCTTGAGGTTCTGTTAAGAACACTGTTCTTAGCAGAGTCGATTGCTGCCTGAGTTGAGAAATAGCGTAACTGTTTACATACACCTTAACCTCATTCATCTTGTTCAGCCCTAACATATGGTCTCCGTGGCGAAATGGTCATACCGTTTGCTTTGAGCTCTGAAGCTCATGGGTTTCAGTGGACATGTTTAGTTTACAGGTTTTCTTTTGGCAGATATTCTTGAGATTGGTGCTGGATCTATAGAGATTTTGCTTTGCGGGGTGTTGTTGGCAGGTGACTAGCTGTTCCGCGGAGAAAGGCCGAGCCATGTGAGGTACCCTAGTGAAGTGAAAAAGATCCTCTGAAAGTTTTCAATTTGCCCTCAGACGTTTGGCTAAAGTCACCACACCAACTATAGACCCAGATCAGCGCCATTGAGACCTCTCAAACATAATACTGTCTTACTGGTGCAGGTCCCAGAGCTAAAGTTTGGACAACATTGCCAACCCCTCCCCCCACAAGCATGTCATAGAAGGTGATGAATTAAGGGTCTTTCCTTTAAAGTCACGGTACATTTGCTTGAGTGGAAAGGAACCAACAGTCCGTGCATACAAATGTCATATCTGTAAAATGGATGTACACACAAAACTCAAGTTCTGGATCAAGACCAAAGTCCAGTAGTGGACAAACAACCAGAACTGTTTACAGGAGTTTACAGCTGCTGAATGCTAAGAAGAAGAAAAAAAAATGCAGTGGTCAGTTAGTTGCATATCCTTTACAGGACCTCACAAAGCAAACCAAGCATTTGTTGGCTGTGTGTGGTTTTGCTAGACAGTTTTACATTCAGTAGTTTGCCATTGCTTTCTAAATGCCTAATACCATTGTCTTCCTCTACTTTCACAGTTGAAAGGGTGGCAGCCATGTTGTGTTGGGGTTTACAGATAGGCTGCGATTTCTGCACCTTTTGTCCCAACCTATACACTTTCAGTAAACCTCAAATTAGTCACTTTTTACTTTTATTAAATGGGGGGGGGGGGGGGGGGGGGGGGTCTGTTTTCTCCTCAGTGTGTGACCCTAAAACCCACACCAGGATATTTCTTTATCTAAATCAATGCAAAGCAGTTTGTAGCTAAATCGCCTGCAGTGGACTTGATTGCCTTATGTTGAAATTTTGAAACTGTTTAAAAAAAACCTAGGGCACAGACTAAAAAGTAAGTAAAAAACCCTTCTCCATGCCTTTAGGCATATAGGGCTAGACCTATTTTTTATAGACCAGTCGGCACAAGATAGTGATGTGGTCAGCATCACGCCGGCAACTTTTATGGGACTGCACCCGGTACTCACTCAAGGCTGGGTCGACTTGGGAGCCAGGGTCATTTTTGGACAAAGTCCGGTTTCCCACAGACTATGACTCAGTATTATTATGTTCTCAGCTGTATGACCTACACTTCAAGCCGATGCCTGGACTGAATACAGGACAGAATGGATGCCCCCCAGAGGACAGCCTCTGTGAAAAAGGTCGCCTGGCGCCAAAATGTGGAGCCCATGGTATCTGTGAGGCCACTCTTAACGGTGTGTCCACCTGCAGATGTAAGCCAATGTGGTTCGGTTCTCGGTGCAACAAACGTAAGCTTGCTTTATTAATTTTTTTTACATTTGTTTTGTTATTTTGTTAATTTTATTTTTTTGCCTTTTCCGCAGTAAAGGTTGGCTACAATCTATGCCCTGATATCTATGGATATTACCAGCTGTACCCGGCCACGCGTTGCTGTGGCATAGTTTGGATAAATGGAAAAGAAAGAAAATAGAAATCGCACGTGTCTAATATAGTTACCACCGACTACTGCTCTCTCCCTCTTCGAAGGATTTGAAAATCATCACCTGGCGTAATTTTTTTTTTTGTAACTGACATTGACATCCCTGTCCATCCGGACTAAAATGGGGAGCAGGAATTGTAATAGGTAGTAAATGGGGCTAGTGTAATATTTACAACATCACCCTTTAAGTACCAGTACAACTACTACCACAACCACTACCACAATAGCTAAAATAATGTCACTGTTATCTGTTTTACCATCGGAGTGGACAGGGAGTCGTGAGCCAGAAGATTTGGCGCCGCATGGCTAGTGCTGTCGCCACGGACTGGTCAGGTTTGGATGTATAATTTCGCTCCCCGACAGAAGAACGCCATAACCTTACCAGCAGTCCTCGCATGAGAGCACTACGGTGAAACCGCCCAACCACATCTACTACTGCTGCTGCTACTTTGAGTGCGTAAGGCAGTTACTGTGACTTAAAGCTCTCTCAGTAGAGAGTGTGCCCCCCCCCCCCCCCCTCAATTCACAGACTACTCTTTTCCTCATCGAAGTAGTTGTATCGCATCAGGTGTGTGATGCTAGACACATGTTTGTATAGGCGGTCAGGCATTGGTCCACATACTATTGGTCACTATCACTTTCTAGGGCTCTTAGGCTAGATCGACCAGGGAGCCAAAACCTTTTTTTAAGTGAAACTGTGGGTTTAAACCCTTAACCTCTGGATCACCGCAGATACGATCAGGAGTATGAAAAAGTCCATCAAAGATCGGAGGACGAAGGGCTTGACAACCAGCCCGCCATTAAACACAGTAAACACAAAGAGGTCACGCAGGAATACGAAAACAGCGACGTTAAATGTTAGCGGACTAGGGGATAAGGAGACGGAGTTGGTAGAATTTATGCAGAAATACAAAATAGAAATACTGAGGATTTCGGACTTGAGAAGAAAAGGACAAAGTACAAAATTAATACATGAAAATTACGTATTAATATACAGCGGAGTAGACAAGAATAAAAAGGCGACTCACGGCGTCGGAGTTATAATTCACCCAGAAAAAGCTAAATATATAAATGAAACAGAATACATATCAGAAAGACTAATACGCATACAAGTTGTCGAAAACGGCCTACCTACAACTTACATACAGGTCTACGCTCCGTGCAACGACGACAACAATGATGAAGAGAGACGGGAATTCTTTGAACAGCTGTCAGACACACTCAATAGAGTCAACGAAAGAGACGAGTTAGTTGTCATGGGGGATTTTAACGGGAGAGTAGGGAAAAAGTAAGAACAAGAGATTTGCATGGGCAATTTCAGTGATACAACAAAAACAAGGAACAGTAATGGCGAAGAACTGGTTAACTTGTGCTATGAACAAAACTTGATTATCACAAACACATTCTTCAAACATCGTAAATCACATATGCAGACATGGTACAGATGGAATAACTTAGATCAGTCATCGCAAATTGACTATATACTTGTTAGACAAAAACATAAAAACAAAGTGACAGATGCAAGAGTCTATCCAAACATCAGTATGGACACTGACCACCGGCCTGTGGTGCTATCTCAGCTGAGGTATGTTCCAAATAAGAAACAACACATACAAAAACGAGTATACGTGACCAACTTAAAAAAACTAGAGGACGATACAATCAAGAAAGAGGTGTGCACCAAGATGTCTAGTATGTATGAAACATTACCAGCACAAACAGATAACATAGATACAGAATGGAACATTTTCAAAAAATCCATTCTAAAAACATTGAATTCAACATGTGGGAAACAACAACAAAGACGAAGATTTAAGAAAAGAACACCATGGTGGAATGAAGATATAAAAAAATCTATAAAGACAAAAAAAACAACTGTTCAAAAAATGGCTACAAACAAAGACAGTAGAAGACTATACTAACTACAAAAGTGCTAGAAAATCTACTAAACAAATAATCAAAGTGGCAAAAGAGGACTCATGGCAGAAATATGGCGAACAACTTGTGAAAATTTCAAGGGAAAGACCTAGAGACTTTTACAAAAGTGTACATTCTATGAGAATAAGGGACGAAAGTTTTAACCCTACCAACATTATTAATGATAAAAACGGAACACCGTTATTTAACGCTATCAGAAAGAAGGAAAGATGGAAGGAATACTTCTACGAACTACTCAATCCAACAAATACACAAAGTAAAGAATACTACTCCACCTATAAGGAAGAACAAGAAGAACCTTGCATTCTAATTCAAGAAGTTGAGAGAGTTATCAAGATGAACCCAAATAATAAATCAGCAGTTATAGACGGTATAACGAACGAGGCAATTAAAGCGTGCGGAAAAACCGGAGCAAAATGGCTACATAGAATATTCACGGTAGCATGGAACGAAAGGAAAACACCGGAGGATTGGCAAAAAGCTATCATAGTCCCAATTTGGAAAAACAAGGGCAACAAAAGAGAGAGTGACACATACAGAGGAATTTCTTTATTGAGCCACGTAGGGAAGCTATATTCAAAAGTACTTGAGACAAGAACAAAACATATTGTAGAGACACAGCTGAGTAAAGCTCAGTTTGGATTTAGGAAAGGAAAAAGTTGCACAGACGCCCTTTTCACCCTAAGACAACTTAGTGAAAAGGCAATAGAATATAACCAACAACTCAATATAGCATTCATTGACCAAGAAAAAGCCTTTGACAGGGTAGATAGGAACAAACTATGGAATATATTGAACGACTATGGAGTACAAAGTCAGCTACTAGACAACATCAGATCTCTGTACCAAACAAGCTCAAGCGTAGTTAGAACAAATGTTGGTGTGACAGACGAATTCATACTAAGAACAGGAGTAAGACAGGATTTTGTACTATCACCACTACTATTCAATATATACATGGACAGAATAACAACAGCAGCAAACCATGTAATGATAAGCGAACTGTTAACTACACCAAGCAGTGAGACAGGGTCAGTTGAAAGAGATCATTATAATGAAAACATACACGCCGATCCTGAAGAAGTACATCCCCAACTGAACGAAATACTTTTCGCAGACGACCAAAGCATAATTCATGAAAACGAAAAAGAACTTCAAATCCACGTAAATGCGCTACACACAGTCTGCAACGAATATAACATGAAGATCAGCATCACCAAAACAGAAGTTCTGAAAATAAGTAGAACACCTAATATGCTAACTATTCAAGTTAACAACGAACAACTCAAACAAGTGCAGCAATTTAAATACTTGGGGAGCATCTTCACAGATGATAGAAGAATTGATAGGGAACTTGAGGCAAGATGTCAAAAGGCGAACGCAGTAACTTACCAACTCTCCCCACTGCTAAAACACCCAAGCATCGCTATGGCACTAAAACGACAACTGATAAATTGCATATTTATACCAACCCTCTGCTACCAATGCCAAACCTGGTCCCTAACAAGAGCACAGGAGAAAAAGATCACGATGTGCGAAATGAGATGCTTACGTAAGGCTGCCAATGTCACAAGGAGAGACAGAGTTTGAAACGAGAACATTAGATCAATTGTAGGAACCACACCATGCCTGCAATACATAAAGAAGCAACAAATCGAGTGGTTTGGCCACTTGATGCGAATGCAAACCGACCAACTGCCTCTACGAGCATACAACGAACAACACTACTGCCCTAGAGCAAGAGGCAGACCGAGAGTACGATGGATAGACAATATATCAGAGATCCTGAGGCAACACGGACTAACAACAACACATGCAACACACCTGGCCCAGGATAGAAAACTGCGACTCCCCACTACGCTGTGAGGCAATTGTGGACAAGACAAGACAAGACCTCTGGATCAGCAGGCTATTGCCTGGTCTGTATGTTACCGCAACTCACAATATATGAAGAGTTTTAAAAAACTTTTTTTTTTAAATATTAAATCCATTGGACTGTTCGTGTCAATTTCTGCCGGCTGAGGGAAGTTCAATGCACACAAGGTCTCCATTTGAAACTGAATTTTGCACTTTCATAATTTTGTCTGTAGATGATCTTGTCAAGGTAATTTTAAATTATCCATGGATAATCTTGTCAAAATAATTTTATCTGTGGCTGGTCTTGTAAACAGAATTTTATCCGTGGCTGGTCTTGTCAACATAATTTTATCCGTGGCTGCAGATGTTCATAGACTTTTTCCTATAAACATAATTGTGTCTGGGTGTTTTTGTTGCCATCATTTTACAGTGTACATTCATCTCAGAATAATTGGATCTGTTGATATTATTCTTACAGGCATGTTTTCTCTGTGAATATTTGTATCAGCATGATTTTACATGTGACTGTTCTCATCACTATAGTTCAAACCAACCATATTTTCCCGTTAACATTGTGAAGCCTCAGTGTCTGTTGTTGACCCACTTTCAGCTGCCACTGTGAGGGACTTTGACAGAAACAGCTACTACTTGTGGGGAATGAAGGATGTGCTGTTCAACACGCTACGCATGACCCGCAATCGAGATTTGGACGTGCAGATGATGTTTCGAACCCGCCAGCTGACTGGCATTTTGATTGATCTCAGTGATTACTCCTCCACAGAATCAACACTTCACATCCGACTTGTGGTCAGTGCATGTTTGACATTGTTGTGTTTTATACACTAGTCAGTACTTGTGGTCAGTACATGTTTGACATTGTTGTGTTTTATACACTAGCCAGTACTTGTGGTCAGTACATGTTTGACATTGTTGTGTTTTATACACTAGTCAGTACTTGTGGTCAGTGCATGTTTGACATTGTTGTGTTTTATACACTAGTCAGTACTTGTGGTCAGTGCATGTTTGACATTGTTGTGTTTTATACACTAGTCAGTACATGTTTGACATTGTTGTGTTTTATACACTAGTCAGTACTTGTGGTCAGTGCATGTTTGACATTGTTGTGTTTTATACACTAGTCAGTACATGTTTGACATTGTTGTGTTTTATACACTAGTCAGTACTTGTGGTCAGTGCATGTTTGACATTGTTGTGTTTTATACACTAGTCAGTACTTGTGGTCAGTGCTTGTTTGACATTGTTGTGTTTTATACACCAGTCAGTACTTGTGGTCAGTGCAGGTTTGACATTGTTGTGTTTTATACACTAGTCAGTACTTGTGGTCAGTGCATGTTTGACATTGTTGTGTTTTATACACCTGTCAGTACTTGTGGTCAGTACATGTTTGACATTGTTGTGTTTTATACACCTGTCAGTACTTGTGGTCAGTACATGTTTGACATTGTTGTGTTTTATACACTAGTCAGTACTTGTGGTCAGTACATGTTTGACATTGTTGTGTTTGATAGACTAGTCAGTACTTGTGGTCAGTACATGTTTGACATTGTTGTGTTTTATACACTAGTCAGTACTTGTGGTCAGTCCAACACACTCTATCACTTGTCTTGTTTGTACACTCTGTCAGACTGCTGTTCATCCATCTCTTGATGTGGTCCTCCCACTTGTAAGGTTGTCTACCTCTTGCCATCGACTTTTCTGTCCAGTATGGTTTATGAAACAGTGTTATGAAATTGAATATGATAAAAATATTGCAATTGTCTCTTTAAAAATTCTCTTTTTATTTGCTCTCTGTCCTGAACCTCTGTATTCTCCCCCCCCCCCCCCCTCCCCCCCTCACTTCATGAAATACGAACTATTCTTGAGTAAATCCACATTTATTCGAATGTTAAAATGATTTTATTAACTCAGCATTGTGTTGTTCTGTTTGTTGTGGCAGCTCAACGATGGTAAAGTGCGTCTGGTGTACAACATGGGTGACGGAGAACGGTATCTGGACCTGACCCATGCCCAGGCCAACAACGGTCAGTGGCATGTGCTGCGGATGGAGAGACACGGCCATGAGTTCCACCTGCAGCTGGACGGCGGCGAGGGCAGGAACTACAACTACACGCTGGCCTCTGACAGCCACAGGGAGCGGGATGTGTTTGTGGTCGGCCGACGGGTCTACTCCGGCGCTTACAAGCAGGGGATTGGTTTATCTTCGGTGCTCACTGATGATCTTATCAACAGTAAGTTTTGGAGTCTCTTGTCAGGTCTGGTTCATCTGTCTTTCTTGCTTTCCTTCATGAATTCTTTCTCTTTGTTCATCCAGTATTTGTTTTTTAATTATATTTGGGATATTATTGCATTGTGCCAGTTCACATCCACATCAGAGCTGACATCATCATGTAGCAGGTCCTTTGCAGACCATCACTGTCGTCGCAGTCTGCTTGAAAGAAATGTGGTCTCCCCCTTGTTCACTTTCCTACCCAAGGTGTCACTTATATCCTGTGTCCATCTTCTTGCTGGTCAGCCCCTGCCCTTCATTTCCAGTACAATGCCTTTTGCTATTATTTTTCCAATCTGCCATGGTGCTTGATATGGCCGAAATATTTGTATCTTCCTTGATCTTTTAGAGTATTGGTGTTTCTGGTGAAAGCTGGGATATTAGCATCTTTAAGTTAAAATATCCAGGTTATGTGGTGACCAGGGTTAGTTTTTTCAGTAGCAGGGATCAACATGTTGAGGTTTAGTGTGGTTGTTTGACTCTGGATGTTGCTGTTTGTTTGGAACTAGTACAGTTTGTCGGATAATGAATTGATTATGGGGAAGATCCAAGCACCCGCAGACTTGTCTTGAGTGTAATGCATGGTAGTCCATACAGAACTGAAATGGTCTATGTGAAACTGATTTTTCGCCAGGAAATATTTATTTTTCATGTGGAAATATGGATCATCCAAGTGAAAATGTGAACCTTTCATGTAAAAATGTGAATCTCTCATGTGAAAATGTGAATCTTTCATATGAAAATGCATTTTTATGATGTAGTATTGTTGGTGAAATGTTAACCATTTCCTTGTGACTTTGCCCTGCAGCATGCATACAGGATGTGCGAGTCAATGGGGGCTACTTTGCCATGAACGAGGCTGAGAATGATGATGTTGATACTATGGCAGTTGTGGAGGAGAACCAGAACACCAAAGAAGGCTGTACCAGGCATGATTGTCTGCCAGGAATCTGTGCTGCTAATAGGATTTGTGTGCCGTTATGGGAATATGTGGAGTGCAAGTAAGTAACTTACTCAAGACCTCAGTCTTTTCTCTCAAACTTTCAATGATTCTTCTTCTTCTTGTCTTCCACCTTGTACCTCAGTGAAGTGTCGGGTCAGATGTAACAATGAAATGATTAAGAGAAGTAATTTGAGCTCCAGTAGAGTGTACAGTGCAGACCTGATCTGAACTCACCGGGGACCCAAGAAGTGGTTTTTCTTATCAGGAAAACCTCTTATCTAAGAGTGTGAGCAGGAAAGTGCAGAGGATAAACAGATTGTTGTTTGCAACAGGAGTTCACAGCATCTGAGATTACCTTGAGTGTGCTGAGCTGTATTAAAGTTGTTACAGTTACAAAGATTGTAATTAAGTTCACTGTAAACCCTTTGTCTTTAGATGCTGATCCAGTAGCTTGCTTTATTTCAAACATTTTTGTGTTACTTGTCCTTTGCAGTAAACAAAGCAGCCAAGAGAGATTGACAACACATGGTCTCTATAAAACTACCCAGGCTGTGTGCTATGTAACATAACATGCAGACGAGTGTTGCTAGTCACACTCACCATCTTGAGCCTTTTGGCCGACACATCTGACTTTACGGGCATTTGTTCGCTAAGTTATCTTCCTGGTAACACTGTCACATGAGAAGATGGAAAGGTGCCAGTCAGTCTGTCTACCAGGATATACACTTGTCATTTTTCCTAAGCTGCAGAACAGACTATCCATACCCTAATAGACTGGTTCGCTGGCAAGTAGGCAGAAGGTCTGAACCGTTTCTCATGTGCAGGGGAAATGACAGTTGGATTTTTTCTTAGTATTCACCGGCTGTAAACTCCGGCAGAAAGTTCTGGTTGTTCCAGAACTTGAGTTTTGCACACACATCCGTTTTACAGACCTGGCTTATTTGTATGCAGACTATTCGTTCCTCACCTTTCAGGCATATGCCCTCCAACTTCAGAGGAAACTTCCCTAATTATTCATTTTGTACGATGTGCTTGTTAGGGAGGCAGTGGGTCCATTCTGTGTTCCCCCAGAACCCACATGGAGAATAGGCAGACTATTAATAAGGTTGCAAATGGCACAGTAGGTATGGGAACTCTTCATTGGCTGTTGAGGGAGTCAACAGAGCATGTGTAGGAAATCCCAAAGTGCAGTTATGTCAGTTCCTTGTTCGTTCATTCATGTATTTTTTTTTTATAGCTTAAATTTTGAAATGCTTTTTTTCTCTGTTGCTTGTGATCAACCGTGACCAATTATTCTTGTTATGGATATTTTGTGAGATATTTACATGTACAAATAAGTGATTTTCTTGTTTGTAATTATATCCTTGTTCTTTTGTGGCTTGTGCTAATGTAAGGCCGCAATGTTCATTACTTCGTCATTTAGACTGTAAGTTTGTTTCATTAATATTTGCCTTCCAACACCATCTCACCAGATAGTTTTCAGATTCAGAAGTAGGACCGTCTGCTGAGGCAGTCGTCACATAGCCATGAGTCTTGCTGCGAATTCTACACACATTGCTAAGCCACTGAGCTTTTAAACTAAAGCAGCGGATCTCTGCAGGCCTGCACATCCAATTCTATATAGTTTAACAAGATAGTTCGTTTCTTCCAGTGCTCTACATCGGGAGAATTTCTCTTGTTCTGCCACAGCAAGAATTTCTCTTGTTCTGCCACAGCAAGAATTTCTCTTGTTCTGCCATAGCAAGAATTTCTCTTGTTCTGCCACAGCAAGAATTTCTCTTGTTCTGTCACAGCAAGAATTTCTCTTGTTCTGTCACAGCAAGAATTTCTCTTGTTCTGCCACACCAAGAATTTCTCTTGTTTTGTCACAGCAAGAATTTCTCTTGTTCTGCCACAGCAAGAATTTCTCTTGTTCTGCCACAGCAAGAATTTCTCTTCTTCTGTCACAGCAAGAATTTCTCTTGTTCTGTCACACCAAGAATTTCTCTTGTTCTGCTACAGCAAGAATTTCTCTTGCCACAGTAAAAACTTCTGTCATGCTGCTATATAAAGTATTTTTTTGTGATGACTAAGTTACAGAATTTCAGTTTGTAATCTGTGATGTTACCTATCACTTGCAGGTGTGAGCCTGGCTATACACTAGAGGGTGACCAGTGCCGCTCAAGCTGCAAGCCCAACCCTTGCTTCAACAACGTCACCTGTGCTATCTTCAGAGGAGAGGTCACCTGCCAGTGCCCACCAGGCTGGAGAGGCCAGTTCTGTGACGAGCTGGCTCCAGAAGAGGTCAAGAGCGGTGACCTCAGCGGTGGAGCACTGGTGGCCATTATTATCTCAATCATTGTTGTCATATGTAAGTGGATTCGCCTGCATAATCACTGCATTTTTGTTACCAGTCAGTGTGTTTTTTTTGTACAACTTCTGCTTAGCTCAGTGTACATTTGTCTCCAGTTTGAACTCAGTCTAAGCATGAAATGATCTTCAGGTGTCATCGTCTGGTGTTTGTTGGGTCACCAGTTACTGTCTGATCAGCCCCCTCCACCTTTGACAGTAAAATGCAATGGTCTCCATGGTAGCACGTCTAGGGCTTGTATGGTTGGTCAAGTTCTATAACCAAGTTCTTCTGAGTCCACCATTTCTCCTCTGCTGCTTTACTGAGCCATGGAGTTTTGTTTTTTGAGAGGTCATTAGATCTGTTTAATTAAGATCTGCACACATATTTTCAACTTATTTCAGCAGTCATGTCATTTCTCCATGCAGTTTTCACTAAGTTTACGATTTAAGGCATTCGTGGCTTAGGCGTTGCGAGTACGACTTGTAATTCCAACATGCCACAATCAAAACTCACTGCTGGCTGTGTAGATTTTTATCATGGTATGTTTTAGATCGACCCAGCTTAAAATGTGTACCAGGATGGATGTCCTGGGGAAGTAAAGATGGCCGGTGTAATGCTGACCACATTACTCACCTAGTGCCAGTTGGTCTGTAAAAAGATGGGTCCTCTTTCCATATGCCCGATGTGCCTAAGGCGTAAACAGGGATCTTTACTTTACTTACTTAGGACATAATTTGATGTTCAGCTTTAACTGTCCACAGGGCAGAAAACGGTAAAAGAAAGTTTGTATACCACATACAAATGATACATGATGATACTGATCTCTCCCTGTTGCGAATGTGAAGTCTGAATGTATCCATAAGAGCAGCCCAAAAACTGTCTGAGCGCTCCAGTTACCACATCAACCGAAACGGATCAGATGTCAGCCCGACACACACACACACGTGAGGATCAGAGCAGTTTTGAAATGTGCATTGAAGATGATCCTGTAATAATCGGTCAAATAAACCCACAATAAAATAATTTTTTTAAACATTTTGTTGAGAAAACCATATTTTTTTTCTCCGTGGGGGTTCCGGGCCCTGTTATAGGGAAAACAAGAAAAGACCCACTGCCTACCCAAAAGTATGTTGTAAGAGTTGATTAATTGGAGAGCTTCTTTTGAAGTCACACTGCATCTGCCTGAGGCAAGGAACTAGCAGTCTGCATTCAAATGAGTCAGATCTGTAAAATGGAGGCACACACAACACTCAAATTCTGGAACATGACTGCAATCCAGAAGTGGATGAACAACCAGAACTTTCCACCAGAGTTTACAGCTGGTGAACACAAAAAGAAGAAGAAGAATATTATTTTTTAAATTTTTTTTATCACAGAAAACCTTACAAGGCAGCATTGTTTAAATATCATAGAAAACCATAAAGATGTTAATTACATATCGCAGAAAACTGAGATTTTATTTAAATATCGCAGAAAACCATACAGAATAATATTGTTAATATATAATTGTGTTGTATTTTCTCTCAGTGCTGGCACTGATCGTCTTTCTGCTGTACAAGTTCTGCCCTCACAATGAAGATGGGGAGAAGTATATCCTAGAGGTGGACCCTGAAGACGACATCCGTGAGAACGTCATGAACTATGATGAGGAAGGAGCAGGTGAGATTTGATCAGTTGTCTTTTTCTT